TTTGACTGCTTCCAGAATTGTCTCAAGAAAGAAAATCAGTCCAGGGGCTGAGATCATATCTGCTTTGTTGTCATGGTAACTTTAGTTAAGACAACAGTTCTTAAACATCCTAAGGTGCCAAAATATCCTAAATATTTTCTTAACTTTAAGACAACCCCAAAGCTGTCTTAACTTGTGTTTTAATCATCTGTTTCTGTTGTTTTATGCAGTGATAGGCAGCATAGCTCACTATAAGAAGCATAATCACGTTAATGTTCCATTTTTTTTTAACAGCGTTTAAAAGCCCCATAAGCTACAGACACGATCTTCACCGTCCCCTCTTATTACCTTTGTGTGTTAATGTTGATGAAAACTCGTCAGATAAAATATTACAGGGATGGTGGTGAATAATGAGCAGACAGAGCAGAACGTGTGTCTGTTTATTAGGAGGAATAACATTAGCATGCTCGGCTGAAGTGTTTGGGAAGTGAAACTGAAAGTGGAGAGCAGCGGCACTCTAATAAACAGCATGAAGCGTTGTCACAACATTATTAACTTTCAGTTTATTGCGCTTTAGTTTTATTTGACTTTTTTACCTCAGTAACGGTAGCTAACATTAGCTGTCTGGCTAACTAACTTGATTACGTGTTTACGTTTCAGCTGTGTGCATATAGTCGGTTGTTAGGTAAAAGACGTGACAGTTGATTGTCGACTTCAAGTCGAGTAAGTTAAAATTTCCTAACTTGAGATAAGATGCTGTAAGATAAGATTCCTAAATAAAGATAAGATTTGCTTCTGTAATACGAATTTATGAAAAATCTTATCTTGACCTTGCAAATCTTAAGTTAAGACAAAAAGATAGGAAGCTTCTGTAATATGGCCCCTGGTCTCTAGAGTTCATCTGCACCGTTGGCTGTGTACTTTTTCAGCTTAAGCAAACCCTTGGAGCCTAGTCTAAACTTTTTTTCCGAGAGCCAGATTAGACAAAATACCTGAGGGCCAAAATATTATTCACAAAAGATTAGAAAAAAAAGTAGAATTTGAAAAATACCGTATAGAGCAGTTAATCGAACCAAGCACCTTGCTAGTGATTGATTCTAAGAATTTGACGATGACCATTAAATGTGTACAGATCTGCCGCCAGTGGAGTCAGCATGTAGAATCTGAGCTTTCTGTGTGCTACTGTGGTTCTTATCACTGTATAAAAAATGCATGCGACTTGTTTTATTGTTGGATTGCTCATTCAGAGCAACTTGGATCAGTAAGCGCTTGTAACAAATTATTAATTTGTTTAATTGGTGTAACAACAAAACATGACTGATGTATTACGTATTCAAGCATTTACTTGTTCAAAAATATAATTTGTGAGACAAACTAGATAAAAATCTCAATTTTTGTTTTTGTTAGATCATGTTATTTACATATCAAATAATGCAACAACAGTCTTCAGAAATCACTTAATTACAGAAGTAGAGCAGATTAAACAGCTTAAATCGCCACATTTTTAAAGGGTTACTATTTACTGAACTGCCGAATTTGCTCTGATAAGAAGTTGGTGCTGTAAGATCCAGGTAGCTTGCAGTTGCTTTACTTCCCCTGCCCTCTCCTCCCCTAAATATTTTTTTGTAACATACTTTGTTTCATGTCTATTGATATTAAATTCATTACAGTCTTTTGACATATACATTTGTTGGGGGTGTCAATGAAAAAATTGTGAAATTTTGATTTTACCCAAATTGCTGAATGTTAATGCTTTATGGCTGTTGTCTTGACTAAAAAGAGGAATGGCTAAAATCTGTCCACGGGCTGTGTTTAGCCAGACCCTGGACAGCCATGCTTTAGGTCTTTGATAACACAAACGTCTCCTGTAATAGCATTGGCTCATCATCAGCGGCTTATTGAACCATGTAGTTTTCACCCATGTAGTTCTAGAGTTTTAGAGGACATACTGCTCCCAATAACTGCATACCCAGCTTACTTATAGCCTCAAACATGCATAAATGATTACCTTTCTGTAAGATGTCCAAAACATCATACATCCGTCCACTATTTTTTGGACAGAAGCATTATTACTGTTGGGCAGCATCTCTGCAGGAATAATAAGAGTGGCTGTACAGGCAATATTAAAAGGTAGTAAAAACCTCCACAAGAAAAGTAATAGATAAGATCTCAGAGCACAGCCCCCCCTTGTTTTGATCTGACCGTCTGCTGAGAAGTGCAAAATGATCACCTAAGCCATTAAAAAATTCCCTGTGCTTTTCATGCCTAATCAGCACTGTAGGTCTAGATTAAAACTGTTGTCCTTTACTTGATGCCTTATATGTGTATTTAAGCCTTGCAGGAGTTTTTTTTGTGTGTTTTTTTTAGAGTGTCACTTTTTGCTGGTTTACTTTACTGGTTGTTGATGTGCATTTGCTAAGGAACTTTAGAAATATTTTGGAACTCCTTGGAAACCTTGAGTGGCAGTTGTATCTGGCACATAAGACAGCATGAAAATGTTCCATCAAGCCTCTTAATGGAAGATTGTGTCAATTAGATTGAAGTGCCTCTCCTTCAGAGTGCAGAGACATGCATGGTTCCAGCAGAAGCTCCATTTAACTCTTGTTTTAATGGCATGAGCTGTCTGTATCGTTTCCATCGCAATCAATCACAGGGTGATGGTAGATGAAAACACGTTCTGCAGGCCAAGAGTGACTGACAGGCAGGACTCACATTGCACAAATGACAGAAGTACTCGTGTTGATGGATGCGTGCCAGACAGTCTCCTCCTCACCTCTTACAGCTTTTTGAGATGCTCCAGAAACTAGGAAGGCTGTTCAGAGCTCTGCACCTGTTGCCTGGGCAGCAGGTCAACAAAACAAGCAGAAAACCCCCACGCAGGGCCATGGATGAAAGTGGTCGGATCTGTCAGCGCCATCACCAGAGCGTGCTGGGAGTTGTTGGGAGCCACTGGGAGTGGCCAGCCTCCCCCTGTTACTCAGGATCGAGTAGGCAGGAAGGTGTGACTTGTGCAATTTTACCTCTGCCTTCAGAATGGAGCAGGCAACTGGTCCTGGCATGAAGAGTGAGGAGGTGGATGAGAATCTAAAGAGCCAAGAAGAACAAGAACCAACAACAGCAGCAGCACCAGTAGCAGGATCTTAAAAAAAACAAAACGAAAGAATCCCACAGTCGATACCCACTGATGGAAATCAACAGCCAAGTGCATGCGTTATAAATCCTGCTTGATCCTCTAGAGATAAGAATAGAATCCTTTTTTGAATTATGAAAAGTATTGGGGGATGGAACTCAAGAAGAATACTTTTGGTGTATGTAGATATGTCAGCACTGATTAATATAAATGTTTTGCTTAGTAGAAACACTGCCCAAAAGGGTACCACCTTTTGTGCTATTGTTGCTTGACAGTGCTGTGCTGGTTTGAATCCTAGCTATGCCATGTGCTATCCTTGACCGGGTTTCTCAAAACTATTGACGAGGACCAACAGATCAGCAAGCCTCAGTGGAAAGTAGTAAAATAAATTCAGGGTTAGAGACTGTGACCTGTTTAGACCAATGCTGTATTTGGCTTTTTTGGTATATGTCTGCTATAGAGCTAGAACAAAAATATGGGCTATCACGATTCTGTAGTGTATGGTTTTATGAGCTTCTTCATCACTCTCTGAGGCTGTCTGCCTGTCTGTCTGTCAGACTGTCTGAGCAGCATTCAATCTCTGGAGTAAACAAGGATGCCAGGTGTTGTAAATGGCATCAGAGGATTGTTTCCATTGTTCGGGCACATGGTGATTTTGACATTGCAAACGGAAATTTTGGGGCAATTAATGAAGACTGCTTAAAATCTGAAAGTAATTACAGTGGTGTGTTGTGGATTAGATTAAGCGCCTTTGTTCTGGAGAGAAATGAGGTAAAAGATGGACTGTGTCCTGCAATCTCAGATAATCTCAGAAGGTGTACAGCAGTCCAGTCACAGTTACAGTGAGTTGTGCTTTCTTGTGAGTAGGTCAGATGCAAAAAGCAAAGAGATGACTTTACAGTACTCTAATTTTTCACATTTAGTTCGTAGTCAGAATCATTTGAAAATTAGCTTGCTCAGTAAATGTTTTTTGAAGTTAGGTGAGGCCAATAAATGCCACCACCTCACCTGCCTCACGTGGCTGCACCCATGTTCTTCTCTGAGCTTATTAGAATGGTCAACCTTTTCTCCTCTTAAGTCAACGTATTACAGCAGCATCTCTATGCACACACCTATAAACATGGAAACAAACATGGAAAAAGTTACTCAAAAAGATCACTCATCTGGTAGACATACTTCTCAAAAGAGGACACACCTATTGTACAATTGGTGCCTAGCAGAGCAGTGCAGGATTGAATTCTATCTGGAGCATGTTCCATCTGTGACTCTTTGAAACTTTGATTTCTAGAGAAGTACAGTGACAACTGTTGTAGTGATCATTGTGTAGCAATGGATTGGATCCTCCTTCTAATGGTTAAGATAACATTTTGATGCAATCAAAAAACTGGGTCTAAGACAGTATGTACATGGTCACTTGAGAGTTTTGGACTTAAAACTAAGGTGACTCCTCTAGTACAGAAACAGCTGGACTGGCAGGCTTTATATCATTTGCAGGGGTTTTGTCTTGGTCTTTTCATTTGTAGTGGGCAATATCGAAGCCAGTGTAACCCCTTAATTGGGAACTGCTATAAATATGTGATAAATAAATTAATGTTTTAATGTAAATATGTACCAGTTTGCCTCTGTCTGCTATAGTTTTATGGTTTAACGTAGGTTCATCTAATTCATACACTGCCACCTTAGCCAAACAGAGGTTAACATGGGATTCTATATATTTTTTTTTCCTCCAGGCATAAGTTCCTAATACCTGTCATTTGTATAAATTAAACGATCTAGACTTTTACTTACTGTGCTAGAAATATTAGCAACTGTGTTACTTATAACCATACTGAACTTGCAAGTCTCACGTGTGTTCGGTTACCCGTAATTCTTTTGATATGTGTCTCCTCAGCTGCTGGAGTATGTAGGGAAGGGGAAAAGCATCATGGATGTGGGGCTGGCTCAGGCTCGGCAGCCGCTCTGCACACGGAGCCACTATTTTGAGGTGGAGATTGTGGACCCTGGAGAGAAATGCTACATTGCCTTGGGCCTTGCTCGAAGAGTAAGTGAAGCCTTACCGTTATTTATATGTAGTTATATGTTTAGTTTATGATGATGAAATATTGCTGGAAGTTTAGAGAGAATAAAGTGTTAAAATTAAACGTTTTCCAAAGACATTTGAACTTGTAAAAAGTTTATTTTAAGTAATTTAAAGAACAAAGCAAGTTGCCTTTCTGTCTAAAATGAGGATTTTTTTTCAGCAAAAGAAGATACATGGTCAGGTCATTTAAAATATTCAGTGCCTCTCTTGGGACTGCACATATTGGCTCTGTATGATAGAATATAATGCAGGGTCCATTTTTGCCTGCATCAAGGTAGCGCACATACATGAGTCACATCCTTATTGCGGTTCACCTCTTGCTCTTTCCTTGACGAAAGATGGTCAGAGGAAAAGAATAATCAGCATTGTCTGTAAAGCATGTGGAGTGTTTAGAGCAGAAACCTTTTTTTTCAATAGCATAATCAAAGGAGTGTTCTGACCTACAAAACAATGAAAGAAAAATACTCTTTCTTAGTACACAACTGACTTTTATTTGTGGATATCCCTGGCTCTGCTTCACTCTGCCTTCTTTGTGTTAACCATGACAAACTTACTGTCCCTACCTTGTTATATTGTTATGAATGTAATAAAGTGCAGTAAATGTGTGACAGAGACCGGTGCACAGCTTCCACATCTCCTTGTCTTTTGTCTTGGACAGTCATACCAGGAGCTTGGATAATTACTCTCAGGTCTGCAACCACAGACGGTAAACAGACTTGTCAGGCAGAGGGTTGAGCAAGGCCACTGCCTTGTCGTCCTCTGAGGGGAATAAAGGGAAGTGGGAACGGTAGGGGAGGTTTATCAACGATACTGTTACTTCCACTGGAACGTTGTGGTCCTTGTGCATCTGTGTTTCGTTACACAACGTTTACGGCAAAGGCCAACAAAGGTGGTAAAGCAGGTAATTGCAGGGCTGCTTAATTACTGTTTACTTGCGTTGGATGTCAGGCTTCTCACAGCATCCTGTGTCTGAGAGACTGTGGCATGTACGCTTGCAAGCTGGAAGTTCACTTGTCCCAGAGAGAGTCATAGCTGGCCTTTTCAGTTGCCTACTCACCTCTTGTACTGGCAGAACTGAAGGGGAAACCCAGTGCAGAGTTGGCAGTCCTGAAAGTGCCGCTTCACAGAAGAACAGGCTGTTTTATCAGTCTGATTCAGATGGCTATGATTTCAACCCTCTAGATGTCAATAACGGAGAGTAAGTTATATTGAAAATGTTATTTTAGCAATGTGTGCTTAAAGCATTAGAGGTTTATCACTTTGTCCACTTCAGCTCCTCTTCCAGTTGATAAAGATTTTACAGCTCTTTATTATCTACTTTAGGCATATTAGAAGTTGAAATAATATGCAGCAACCCCTGGATTTGGTTGGAGTTCTAAAGGCAGATTTGGCTCATTCTCTAGCTCATGCAATGGATGTGCATAGATTACATTCTTGAGATTGCTAATGTGTTTTCCTGAGTTCAGTATGAGTTTGTTTGAATGTGTAGAGGCACATGGGGGCTGAGGTGAAGGTAGAAGGCTGTTATCTGAGATCAGTGAACCCTCACCCCGCTGGCTGAAGACTGCGCTACCGAGCTGCTTCAGCTTTAGCCTGAATCCCCCCCACCCCGTGTGCCGCCAACAGCTCGTTTGCAGCTCTGGAGCACTTCTGCTTGCATCCGGAATACACACCGGTTGCTAGGATACAGGACAAAGGTCTGCATGACCCTAATGAGAGGCGGCGGCGTGTCCCGGTGGCCGGTGCCCCAGCAGCCACAGCCGAATCAATGGCCTCGTCCCTTATCGGCCTCTGGCCTTCCCGACCTGAGCCGGCCCTTTCCTCTCTTCCCTTCCGGCTGCACCACTTCAGCTGACTCTACAACAGTTCCCATGGAATGTGCGTGTGTGTGTGTGCGTGTGTGTGTACACATTTTGTTATAGCTGGTGGACAAAATAAGAGCAAATATGGCTTTATTACTTTCAGTTGTTCAGTAACATTTATTTTCATTGTGTGAACGCAGAGTTCACACGAACCCGAACATGAAAGTCTTATGACCACAGGGCAAACATGAAAATAGAGTGAACCAAGTTTCATCACCGAAGCCAAATGAGAGTAACAGTGGCTACATGTTCCAACTCCTCTGCGATTGTAGCCCTTTCGCTCTCATTTCGCTGTTATATGTAATTTTGAGGAGCACTATAGTGTGCCAATTTGCTGTTGTTAGATTGCGGGTTGTTGATTTATCCACAGTTCTCCAGTGTAGTCTACTCAAGATGCCTTCCAGTGCTTTAGTTACCGGTTTTACTGACATTGCTGCACCAGTGTGTGTGTGTATATGTGTATGTTTTGCTTGGAAGCAATACTGCAGACTCAATGTACTTTGGTGATAAACAGATTCACAAAGGCAGTAGCTGTATTTGAACGACAGGACTAGAGCAACAGAATCAAGTTTCAGTGTGCAAGCAGCTGGGCTTTAGGCTGTTTAAGCTGGAACTAGTTTGAAGGGTCGTTAATTAATATTAGTGGCATTGATAGTGTGTCATGTTAGCTCATTAATGTCTGCATATGTGAATTAATCCTGAAAAATGATCGCTGGTGTTAATAAGTGTGGTGTAGTTTACGATTAAGTTAATTGGTAGTATCATGAAATGCCTGTAGACTGCATCTTGCGATTTGGCATTCAAGTTGAACAACTCAAATATCATAGAACATGTCGCTGCGGCTTTAAGATGCACTAATCATATTTGTCTCATAATCTTTCTTTTAATATGTTCTTTTAGTGTGTTTCCATGTCCACATCAATCTGTTACACAATTTCAGTACATTCTGTGTCAGCACAAGACAGCCCTTGTGTTTGTATTTTATCGTGGTCATTTTTGTTAAACAGATAAAACCGTGTTGCAGCCTTCAACAGCCTGGACTCCTTGCCTCATGAAACAGGGGCTTAGCTCAGCTTCATGAGGGCTTAAAAGATTTCCATGTTGAGGTTACATCGAAGTTAATAAAAACAAATATTGTTTTTAAAAGCCTAATAATAGGAAGGAAGGCTACAAAAACAGTAGCTTATTGACTGACTTTACAGGAAATTTTTGCCTTTTTTATTATTTTTACATGAAGTGATTTATATGCTGTAAGTGCACAGTTTATTAAATCTAGAGCAAAAACCAAACCATACCAAAAACAAGATTAGCTTGCAAGTTTCTGAGCAGAAACTCAAGCAAGTTTATTTTGTCTGATTTAAGCAGGCTTCTTTGTGTGTTACCATATAGCCTGCTGTGCTGAAACAGGTTATTGCAGAATGGAGCAGTCTCTCAGTCAGTATTTGCAGGTGTTTTTCAGGAATCGTGCTCACTGTGTGCTTTTTTTGTTTTTTGTTTAAAGCAGGTCTTGCTTAGCTTGTAGCTCTTATTAGATGTGTGTTTCACTTAAAACAGACCAATTACAGTCAAATCTTAATCAGCTGTCTAGCCCCCTAAACATGCGTTCAGAATAAAACAAGACAATTTGCAGTATCCTCGAGTCTCTTGAAAAGAATGCCTCACTATTTGACCGTTTTCTATTTGTGGATACACTACAATTCAAGAACAATTTATTAACACATGATTCAGACATGAGCTCAGATTCAGCCTGTTGTATTGCAGGATACCACAACACCAGATACTGAAGATTTTCTTTGCAAGTACGTTTCAAACATCAACAGCTTCGTAGACAACATCCGTGCCCTGTGCCCATGCAAAACTTCAAGGTTCTTCTTTTTGGCAGCACTGTTAGGTTGAAGAAAGTGACTTCATTTCTAGTGTTTAATTATTTCTACATCTTTTTATTAAAAATTCATGACTTTTCTGATGAATGTGGGACAATATGCTGAATCCTGTTGTTAAAATATAGCTAATAGTGAGGCCAGGCTAGTGACAGCCATGGCAAATTGGTATGCCCTTCTTCAAACGGCTAATAGCTATAGATAAGGAACATCTTTAAGTCAGTCAAAATGCTGAATTGCTGTTGCAGAGTGTGCAGGATGCAAAGCCAGTCTTATCACATGCTATTGAAAGCATTTGAAAAAATGTGGTTGTCTGCTATTGGTAACCTAAATATCAATGAAAACACACAGTTGTAAGGACTTAGAAATGTATGTTCAGAAGCCAGATGATTTTAAGAATTTTGACTTTTTCAACCAGTGTGAAATCTAGAACTCTGAACCACTACAAAAGACAACCCGGGCTAACAAGAAACTTTGCAGCGACTAGAAAGAGAGCCTATTTTATGAAGTTACAAAATGTAAGAACATTTGCCTAAGTAAAGTTACCTGTAATGTACTAATGTAAATTCATTTTGCATTCGTAAGGTGACCTTGTAGACACCAGTCACAAAAAACAGATATTCTAATAGTATGCTCCAGCAACTACAGTGGCTAGTTCTGCATTTCTGATGTTTTGACTGCAAGAAAGAAGGGTGTTGGTGTGGATAGACCATGTATGTAATGGCACCGTGATAGTTCCCTCTCTGATTGATAAAGACAAAATGACATTTACAGACTGTTTTTTTCCAGGCTTTTTCTTTGAAATGACTTTGATAATAAAGATGGTGCTATTTTTCATAGCTCTGGTATGATGCAGCACTATGTTTTATAAAAGACAGCTAACTGTAACCGTTCCTCTGTGACATGAGCTGCTTGTGCCCTAATATTTTTTGTAGTTATCGCACACTCAGGTCAAAAACATATTTGATAGTACACAGTTCATTTCATTTTAGACATGCTTCTCTTGCAACACCCCAATAAAAAGTTATTTAGATCAGATTGAATATCCATGTATTAAAAAAAACGTCCTCCATATCTTTGTGTGTGCACACTTCTTTACTTAGAACTCTTTAAGTGCATCTGGACACACACACACACACACACACACATATATGTGTATATATGTGTATATATATGTATGTATGTGTGTGTGTGTGTGTGTGTGTGTGTGCGCGTGTCCAGATGCACTTAGAGAGTTCTAAGCAAAGAAGTGCGATGTATATCGCACAAATATGTCGATGATAACTTTATAGGAGAAGGAAAAAACCTACTTTACTTTTAATATCAATGGAACAAGACTAGTCCAGTCATCATGACATTTACACACAATGAAAAGGGTACAAAAATGACAAAACGACAAAAATGGAGATACAAGGTTTTCTTCAGACAACAGTGATATGTGTGTGTGTTTGTGTGTGTGTACATATATATATATATATATATATATATATATATATATATATATATATATGTGTGTGTGTGTGTGTGTGTGTGTATATGTATGTATGTATGTATGTATGTATGTATATAAGCTCAGAGTGCCCTTTAGACCATAACATCCTGCTGCTTTTCAGAAACACAATACTAAGACCAGCAGAGGCCAGGGAATTTGTCTCCAGTTGAATTTGATGTTTATAATTCAACAGTGACGAGAGGTTGGCACAAAGGAATCTTTTCACACTCCTACCCTACCCTCATTGTGGCGGTCGGGGGCCCGTACCTTACTCTCCCTCGCTTATCTCTGTGCTAAATTTGTAGCTGGGAGATGGGCATCAACCTCCATCAGCAGCCTCTCGGCCACTTGTTGATTTTGCCACAGTGTGGAAATGCAGGCTGCTCAAATAACGCAGATAAAATGCCCCAGTGGATCAGATAGGACTGTGCCATTGACACAAGCTCTACTGTTTGTGTTCCTTGGAAGCATGATGCCTCCCTTTAATGGCTTTTGCAGCCTAGTTGGAGGGTAGATACTCTCTGCTTGGATATTTCTCTCTGTCAAGCAGTGGAGAGGGTTAATTGAAAGCTTTTCTTTAAGCCCTACAACGGTTATGTGTTTTCTTTTCCTATGCTACCAGCATGCTTGATTGACACGATAATGTGCTCTGTGTAATATTATTGTTAAGTGCCTGTGCTTGTGTGTGTGTTTGTGTACGTAACATGATCTGGAACACAGATGCAATCGAGCAGATGTATGGAATGTGCAAACATTCATCACACTGTCAGGAACCCAGACATAAAACTCATACAAAATGAAATTACGTATGAAAATGATTAATTTTGACATGTATAATCTCCCAAGACTGCTTCCTATTGTCCCTGCATGCTTGTCAGGTTTGCCTGAGGTATCATCACCTAAATCCTCTTTTGCAAATTATTCTTATGCTCAGCTTCATGCCCTAATCCTAACACCCCAAAGAATGCTTACGTTGAGATGGTTCTTAACTGTACCCAGAGGATGGAAATAAGGGAATGGATAGTTAAGCATATCATCCATCTTGTTAAGGCTGGGGTCTGTGGCTTTTTTAGCAAGACAGTAAATCCATCAGCTTTTACTCCACTGGTCACTGACCTCGTCTCTATTCCTAATTAGATAAACAGATCAAACAACACCTCAGCGCAACACTGTTGTCAGCCACGTTCTTTTATGAACCTGAACCAAGACAATTTCCTGAAGACATAAGGAAACGTAATCCTGGAGATGAGCTTACGAAAACCAGGTCTTGTGGTTACAGAGTGGAGAATGAGGATTTGGCTAAAGCAGAGAGCGTAACTCACATAGTTGTGTCGCTTCTCCTTTCCTTGTCTCCCATCCTCTCTGGCGCTACACTGCCCCCATCCCCCCACTGCCCAGCAGTGTTGCTGCTTTCTGAGAAATGGTAGGGTTTCCTGTCATTATGACGACTTGAAACAAGGGACAAAATTGAAGAATATTAAACAAATGGCATCCGTAATAAATAATGAACAACATAAAAGAAGTAGAAAAAAGCAGTAAGGCATTGAAACTGCTCTTTTTAATATTTTACTAACTTATGGAGAACACTCTCTGCACTCACATTTACTACAAGGGAAGCGTTTCATTGGAGAAGAGTGGGCTTTGTCAGAAAAGTGCCTCTGTACAACTGTTAGTAAAGTACTATTTGTAGTTTTGTTTCTTATCTGTGTCTTTCAGTATCGGTGTGCGAAGCACAGTGACTACAGGGATCGCATTTGAGGTTACTGCTTCCAAGGAGGTCCCATGTGGAGTTTTATGTCTTTTCAGAATCTTTCGTTTGGCTGGTTGTGCTGTAGTTGAATGTTCTCTAAAGCTAGACATACACCCTGTAATTTTTAAACATTGGGCCTCATTCACCAATTGTTCTTAAGAAGAAATTTCCTCCTAAAACACACTTAAGCAGTTTTCATCAAGATTCTCCACTCTTACTGGGGAAGCAGTCGTGATTGTGTTTAAAACTGGCTAAAATCACACAGTGTAGGGCTGGCGGGAATATCCCAAGGTGGAATGTTTAACATGATCAGCAACTTTGTGCCTGACTGTCACAGAATCAGTTAAGACTTCTCTGTGAGCAGAGCCTCCTTCACTGCCTTTATTTGTTAGCATGGCAGTGTACACTTGGCCTACATCAAAGCTGGTATCCAAATGTTGGTTTTGGTGAATTTTTATGAGTACGAGTAAATGAGCACTGCATAGGCCCAATACCTGATACCAATATCGGTATTGATGCTTCCCTATTTACATTTAATGTATGTCTTCAATGATATTGAGACTGCAGCTCTGGCTCCACAGGATGCAGCTGTGGCTCCCCAGGGTGAAAAAGGTCCACTGTTTAATTTTCCTTCAGATCCTGATAGGACTATCCCCATAAATCACACCATTAAGGAATGAATGCTCAATCTGTGTGTTCAGACATTAGGAAGAGATGAAACATTTGAGGAATGAATAAGGGTTGCATATTACTTGTGCAGGTGCTTTGGTTGTCTCCCCTTATGGAGACACAAAAATGCGAAAACACATTTCATATAATTAACTCTGACTCATTCTCTGATCTTATCAACAACAAAAAAAAAGGAACAAATTGGCCGCTCTGAATGTTTGTGCTGGCGTGGCATGGCTACATACAAAAGACGTATCCTGTGCAATGTGACAATACTCTGGCAATCCGTTCCCCAAAAACCCAAAACACACAAGTGTAACACAGTAATTGTTCTATGTCTTTAGTGTTGAAGTATGAGTAATTAAAGTGATGTGGAAGTGTTGAGTGAGATGTTTTGATTTTAATGATCTTGTACATTTACCATATTAAAGGCTTTCATAGAGCATATAAATAAGGGTTCAGTGGTCATGCTGAAGGAATCCGTAATAAGAAAGCATAATGTTTTTTTTTTCTTCTTCTTTTTATTTCTTTTTCAGGACTACCCAAAGAACAGACACCCTGGCTGGAGCAGAGGCTCAGTAGCATATCATGCAGGTGCGTATCTTTACCTTCTTTTTGTGTACTGCAGTAGTCCAAAGTTTTTCGTAAACCATTGTACAACAAAAATGTCCTAAAATGTTCTATGAATGACGTTCTGTTAGCACAGCAACGACCTTCGGAAGCAAGACCTTCTGCCATAAACATTAATGAATCAGATAACATTTTTTGTGATGGGAAGTTTTAAATGCACAAAAATATTTGGTAGCTCATGTCCTATGTTGGCCCTAATATGTTGACTATCTTTGAACAGCAATACAAGGTAGCACTTTTTCTTTGCTTTGGATGTGCTTGCTAAATAGATAAGCCATGGTAAGTTTTAGCCATATTATTATTTTTAACAAGAAGCGATTTATAGACTGATAATGTACTATTTATTTAACCTACAGCAAGAATTACCAAAGTTAACCTACAAGTTTCTGACCAGGAAACATATTTTCTCCTGTTTAAGAAGGCTTCTCAGTGGTGTTACTGTGTTACTTGCCATGCTGAAATGGGTTATCGAAGAAAAGTGCAGCGAATGTGGATTCAGAAGGTCCTCAGCTTTAAGTTAGGGTTTTGCACAGCCTCATGGCACCTGTCATCTGTCTTTACACACTAAAAACGTGCTCAGATAGTGTGCTCGCGGCGCATATACGTAAATATTAGGGATGCATGACAACAACAGTCGTATCACTATATTGGCAACATTTAGATGTGAGTGATATTTCAAAATAATATTTGATGACATATTTATTGTGCTCCGGAAAAGCAGAATGTTTAAGTATCACTAAGCTACTGTACTAAAATATTTGCATTTTAGTCACATATGTGCATTGGTATCAGCATTAGCAGATGTTTACATTTTTACAAAATATATCAGCGTTGGTACACAATTCCCATATTGGTGATTCTTTAATAAATATTCTTCTTGTAGAAAATATATATTTCTTTTTATTTTCTTATTTTATTTTAAAACATATTTATTAATAATAAGTAATAATTTCTTATTGTTGTTCTTAATAATTTTATAAATGTTCTTTATTTATTTAGTTAGTCATTTGGAAAGTGACTTTCATTTGCCTGCTGCCATACCTAAAAAGCTCCACCCCAGGCCACGATTATTAATATGGCTAGCGTGTGCAATCAGATGATGCCGTATTGCGTATGATTTTACAAGCCTACTGGTCAGCTGTAACTGTTAGGCCTGGGCGATTTCTAAAAGCAGTTAGCACTATAATTTCTAGTTGAAAAAAATCTGGATTATTGATATCGCCTGAACCCGCCCTGTGAACCCCACATGCCCGTGAAACACATAGATATGGTCCGCTGCAGCTTTCACCTACTTTCAGTTGTGTATATGCTTTTTTTGAACATTAACTGTTCTAATGAAAATCTGAAACTACATATTGAGTAACCCAATAACTTTGGAAACCTTTTCTTCACCTTTTCTTATAATAGATGTTACTGCAAACACATTCACGAGCATTCACAAGCTTTTTCTGATTGTAGATTTCTTCAGTAGGTTCCTCTGCTGGAGAAACTTCAGACTGCAAGTGTTTTTCATGGCCACGTGCTTTCATCATTAAGAACAAGGCGTTTTCTGTCCACACAGCAGCGTTTTAATAATTCAGCTAATGCAGTGTTTTAACAGTAAAAGTGAATAAAACATTATGTGAACGTACCATTCAGTACTATTTATTACCTTTTTTTCTGAGAACACCGGCCATAGATGGGGATCAGAAGGGCTTTCTCTCCAGGTTAGAGCAAACTTAGAGTAATATCCAGTCATTTTAGCTCATTTTTTTCTTTTACTGCAGTGTGTCACTTTGAAGAAAAGCATAAGTTAACGTCAAGCAAGAAGGGGAAGCTGTGTGTAAAGCTCGCATTACAGTGCATACCAGAGAGAACCAGACAGCTTCTTAACAATCTCCTTCTTCTCTCTCTCTCTCTCTCTCTCTCTCTCTCTCTCTCTCACACACACACACACACACACACACACACACACACACACACACACACACACACACACACACACACAGGAAAAAAACCTCACTGTTGGGGTGTGCACTTGCACACTTCCTAAATGTGAACCCCAATTTCCCAACATGTTGTAGCAATTTCAAAAAATGTTTATATGTTTATATGTTCAGCTGCAGTAATTTTCAGGGTTTATTTCTACAGGGCATCTTATTGTGAAGCCTTCTTTCCTTGTGTTGATGCTTAGTTCAGAAAGAAAGCATCAGTTTTATCATTCAAAGAAGTTTGAGATAGCGAGGCTGAGAGCAAAAGAAGAAACGTTCTATGTGTGAAGCAAGGCTGGAGTCAAATACAGCCTTAAATAGGTGGTGAACAGCTGATTAACTGCTGTGTAACTGCTCATCGCCCAGGCCTAATAACTATTGAGAATGCCCTCAGGCACTGCCACACATAAAAAACAATTAGTAATCAAGACAAACAAATCTTTTTGGTACTGTAGTGTTTACACCCTTTTTTTTTCTTTTTTAGAACCGGCTTTATCTAAAACTGTAAATCTGCTCAATAATCTGCTCCTGTTTCATGTGCCTGTGCTCATCCATGGATTACATTGAATTCCTGTTAGGGGCTTTTGAGTGTGGTCAGGAGCCTCAGGGCTGCCATGTATCTTTGAATCTGTGAGCTCTATGTCTGCAGCTCACCGAAGGCCTGATAGCAGGCTTCAGAAGATGGAAGATGGAAGGCTGATTAGCAAGGGAAACGGGGCTTCTGAAGACCTGGAGAGGATAAAAAGCGCTATCTTAGCCTGCAGCCTCCCATCTCCACACAGTAGAGAAAGGCAGTTCCGCTATATCAGATAGAGTTGAGTAACCATGCACAGTTGGCCCCACGTGAAGACAGCCACTTCTGTGCTATCCCTCCACACATCTGTCATGGCACCAAGGCTTTGTGCTGAGGGGATTAGCCTGCCTAGGATGACCCACTATATCTCCATGACCAGACTGGGCCTGGATGCAGGAGCTTGATGTGGTGAAACATTCCAAGTGCTGGCTAGTGGTGTAAATCTGACAATAATTTGGATTGTTCATGATTCTTCAGGAGATGACTGAATGCATCATGAAAACTAAAACGATATAGACAATACATGAAGCTTTTATTACGTTTGTGAATAACCAGAGAGTTTTATTTCAGTCAAAAATAAACATGTGCATACTTATAAATGATACTTATCGTGCAAAATCAATGTAGTTGAATCCCCACCTTCAGCTTGATGGATCACAACGCATCAATGTGTTTTTATGCCCCAGCTTGTGAAGGTGCTGGTTTTAATTAAGCGCTGTGCACTGTGGCTGGTGCGGTGCGTCCCCCTGCAGCGACCTATGTGGCACAGACTCAGGGCTCTGCCACTCACTGGGGGTTTTGTGGTTTCCCGCAGCTCCTGGCCTCAGAGCTGGAGAAGGCCGCAAAAATGTGAGCGCCCCAGCACAGCTCCCATTAATCTTATTTGTTTGTGAGGTGAATGATGGATGTGGTTTTCCATGCATTGCGCGAGGTTTGCTTTACCATGCCTGAGTTCAAATGCAGGAGTGTGCTCATGGTTCCACAGTTCCAGCAGATGCCTCTGCATGGTTTCTTCAGCATCAGTGCTAACTCCTACATCAGCACATGAGAGCTCAGAGAATCTTAATGCACTAGCATGGTGGAAATGGCACAAAACTCTGTGTGCTGAAAAACACTTCGCTAGCAATGAGCAGCTGTGTAGCTTCATTTTTGCCTCTTTTATCATTTGTTTACAAGTCGTGTTAGTGGTTTGTGTGGTCTAAACTCATGTAACAGCCCTTTAATTACACAAACACAAACTTGCGGTACATTTTTGTCTGACAACAAATGCAGCAAGAGACTGATGTAGCAAATGTGAGTGGTACCTTTCCTCCAGTCATGAAATCCGATCGCCGGAGACGCATTTAAGAACCATGGAAGTGCTAGGTGTGAACAGCTACACATCTTGCTGTCCAATTATGATCAGATCACTTGAGATGCATGTTAATACCAAGCGTGAACAAGGCCTGTGTTTCTTGTGCATAAGAATCAGGTAGTGATTCTATTGATGTTAATGTCTGACAGCTTTTTTTTTTTTCAGGGATATGTTGGTGAAAAATCACATTTACACAGTTTCCCTTCAACCAAAATGTAGTTGATGGACCAAGACCAAGAAATTGTTCCTGAAAATAACCTAAAATATCAGTCCTGTTTTTTTAACTGTCTTCATATTTTTTGGATTTGATTTACCGATTCTGCCTGCTTTTAGGAGAATGTGACTTGTTACTGGTGCTAGTCTGTACCCTCAGTGAGTATTTTTACAATATCAATTACATGAATGTGATGGCATTAATCCCTTGATATCATAGGCTTATTGTAAGGCGTATTATTCTGTAACTATATGGACCACAGTGCAGACTGGCTTAGTTTTAATTAATAGGAGTGTGTAGTAAAAGTTTGGACGCGTAGGATTTTACCCATCAAACCTGTGCTTTGCTTCAGGTTGCCATATCCTCCCTGCTCCTCCACTATTATTGTTCCCTATGCTATGAAGGAGCTTGCCTGCTTATCACATCCATCAAGCCATGGCTGTTTGTTATTGGGAGGCTTCTTGAGGAGGCTGCTTCTGGGATGCTTCACAGTGCCATGTTTATGGCGCGTGTCTCCTGAAGGAGCTTTGGCAAGGTCACAGCAGTGGTCTAGATGAGGAGGCCATGCCTCATTAAGGTACCCCGATGTATATGAAGCCCCCATCTGTGAGACTGGTACTGTCTTATACAGACCCCTGGGGCAAAGCCCTCACTGGGATCAATCCAAACCGTCTGTTGTTTTATCACGTACCTGCTCTTCTTCTGTGCTGGTACGTGATTCCTGTCCATAATAAAAGAAGCTTTATGAGTTTGGGGTTTGAGGTTTTCATCTGAAAAAGATGTTGTGTAGTAAAGCAGTAATGTCTTATCAGATAGTGGTAGCTAAACATTTTGGGAGGGGCACTTTTCTCCTCAGAGTGTTATACAACTCCTGACTCTGCCAAGTGGGCCAGAACTTTTGGCATTCCCCAAACTGCTTGATTTAAGTATTGTAAAATCCACCATTACTCCAGAGAAATGCAGGTGCGCAACCAGCCCCTTGGCCAGTGGTACGCACAGTAATTTTTACAATGGGTACAACCTCAAACAGTGTTTCCCACAGTTCTGAAATAAACCTGGGGTAGCATTGTAGGGTAAATTAATATATACAGATATGCACGAGTATGCAGAATTGAACAACAAATGTTGATGCACAAACAGATATTATATCACATGCTACGTGAAGTGTGACCATTTTTATACATAACAATATGAATATCTTGGCATTGGGTGGCTGTGTATCTGTGTGTGGGAAAAACTGTTAACTTGTCCTTATTTGGCAGGCAAAGGACTTTAAAATCATTAATGATTTTGTTTTCAATAGCCTTTTACCTCTAATTTTTCACAAGTATTACATTTTGAATGAATGTAGCCAGGGTGTTCGGTGTGCCAGGAGTATTTGAGAGGTCTTTTGTTGAAAACAAATTCGTTTTTGACCATATTCCGCAGGCATGATAAGCATTTGTCAAGGGCTCCAGAACGCCCTGTATCTTGTACTAAACGTACTTGCGGACCTCTGCCCCTGGTTTTGCTCTTTAGTCCGAAGGACCATAAAATTATTCGCCTTGTTTATGGAAGCATTGGAGTCAGCAGCATCCCGGCGGAGATGTCTTCTCTCGTCTTTTCCAGACAGGGCTCTGGGAAATGGCCTGTCGTACGAGGAAAGCCCTGTGCATTCTCTGGTGTACCGTTTCCTATCTGCTCAGGTGCCAGAAGGCCTAAAAGTGTTCCAGCAGGCCGAGAAAGCACGCCCAAGCACCCCTCTCCACCACTTGCCCCCCTCATCTATTTTTAGCCATCTTCCTCTCCCACACTGGTTGTGGTGTTTGCTGAGTGTGTGGTGTTGTGACAGGGCCCCGCATGGGAGCCTTAATGATACAGTGTCTCCATCGCCCTCCCCGTATTCAGATAGAGATTGTTTAAACAGTATCCTGAGCCGGGGACGGGTCCCATGACAACTCCACAAATATTTACCCGCCACGCAGTGCAATAGGCTTTTTTTCTGCAGGCTACCTTTTCAGTGTCTCTCTTACACTCCCTCTTTTATTGTTGTTGTTGCCTCATCTTGGCATCTTTTCTTTGGTTTTGTTTTCCGCCAGAGCGCTCAAATAAAAGAGCGGGGAAGAAGTTTAGATAGAGAGGAGAGAGCTATGTTTTGTTTTGACCTGTCAGTCTCTGCATCAAGAGCATAACAAGTTCTGGGATCATTAAGAGCTGAACACGAGCGGAATGTTCTAGCAGTACAGGGACGTTTAAGTTCAGACAAGGTCTCAACGTGGAGGAGCAGGTGCGGAAAACCACTGGCTCTGGCATTGTCTCTTTCTCTTGCAAGTTTCTTTGCAACTTCTCAGATGCATTTGTGTCTTATGAATAGTATCTAGGGTTGTACAACATGTTTCCCTAATTGTCATTGCGACATCTGATTTTGCAGTAATGATTTCACAGAAGTGTGCAGTGATCCTCTTTCCAATCACTGAACATTTTCTTGTGTGCTTTGAGCATCCTGGCAAATCACAAATCTGCTTTGACTGTTTTGAATGAATCAAGGCATTCACATTATCAAAAAACATAAACATATATAATGCAGGCCAGACTGTAACCAAGTCACATCTACAATTCACTTTGATAAATTGTGGGGTTTATATTGCAGTTGTAATATGTAGCAATATAACTGCAGTATGATATTTTGTGCATATCCTAACCAAAACACTGAACTACCTTACTTTACTCTCTACACACAATTTTTCTCTTAATAGAGTCATAATTATCTGCATTAGAAATGCTTTATCTAGGTAAATGTTTGAATACTTTTTTTTGTTTTACATCACACATCACAAAAAAAAACTTTTCTGTTGTTCAGCCCTTGTACTTTCTAGTTTTAGCAGATAGGGGATCTTTCTTCCATAGCCAGGGCCTCGAGTGGGTCATTGTAAATTGAGAATAGGTCTGTAAAATTGCATTGGTAGCCTGTAGCCATGAAGTCACTTCAGTCTGCCGTATATGTGCTGTCAGTGAAGTTCTGTCTTCAGAATAAATGTTAGTTGTATAGGCCTGCTGGTGCTGTACATAAAATAAAATATAATGCCCTGCTGAAACTCATAGCTTGACAGTATAATCTGTCTGTGTCACACACTAAATTACTCTTCAGGGCCTTGGTTTAAGCTACGCCAAGCATCAGCTGTGCAAAGAAATTATTAATGCTATCCTAGTTTTCCAGAGAACTTTAGCCTTTATAAGACAAATGGTGGGCAAGAAATTCCTTTGAGTTTCAAACACTGCCACAGTCAGCCATGGCCTTATAGGCCTTTTGAACGTAAGACCGTAGACTGGACTGCACTTTGACCTGAAACTGTGTAATTGATAGATAAAACTAGTATTTTGTTGTTGTACATGATGTAGAAGCATAAAATTAACCAATACTAGGTTGCTTGGTTTGTGTCACTGTCTCCAATAGATGATGGAAAGATCTTCCATGGAAGTGGAGTTGGAGATCCGTTTGGGCCTCGCTGCTTTGAAGGGGATATCATGGGCTGTGGGATCATGTTCCCGCGTGACTATGAAGGTAAGATTCCTCCCAGACTTCATGTTTAATATAGGGCTGTTGATATATTTTTTTTTATCTACTTAACTGAACAATTACAAACCATGCCTTATAAAGATTCCATAGATACACTAGAGACTTGAGACATAAAAAGCCTTTCAAAAATTCTGTAGAGAAACTAGAGACTTTAAAAATACTTTAAAGATACATAAAGTATACATAAAAGGTATAAAAACACTGACAAAACTGCATATAATTGGGTGTGTCATTTTTTTTTCTCTTAATAAGAGAGCAGTAGGAAAATTTAAAAATATGGTTTTAAAAATATTATTTATTCTGACAACTAATTATTGGCAAATCACTGAGAAAGTAAATTTTAATCTTTTTCAATTGAGTTATCAAGTTTAACTGATTGATCATAACAGTCTTAGTTTAATAGTGTGCTTACCTTATCCAGTATGGAGATCTTTATAGTTGAGGGTAATTCAACTGTTTGAATGAAACATGCTGCAGAGATGTGCCAGTATGCTGGCTAGAGCTGATGAGGGTTGTCAAATTGTGGCAGTTTTCCAGAATTCTCCAGTTTCTTAGTAATTCATGGTCAGTGTGCAGAAATTCATAATGTTTAATGAATAGTACTCCTAGAGGAGCTTAATGGAAGCTAAAATAAAGATCATACTGAGCCTTCCTATTTTTAATTGTTAGCCATGTTAGCATTTCTGTGTAAAGTATTCCTGTAGTGTGTGTTTAATTGTGTTCAGCTGATATATTTTTTTCTCTTTCAGATGAAGTTGATGATGGGGAAGCAGCGGATGAACGCCCCAAGCCGGGCCGTGTACAGAACTTTCTGTACCTGTATGATGAGGACGAGGAGGAAGAGGGAGATGACGCAGATCAGGAGCAGGAAGGCAGGAAAGTTATGGTAAGCGGTTCTGACGTTCATGCTGACTCCAGTCCTTGGACTACACAAGAGCTAGGACAATATAAAAAGGTTACAGTACGATAATCATAAGCCCTTTCTGAGCGTGATTAGTTTTACCTGGGGAAGTAGTGTAATTTAAGTAATTACTGATGAGATCAGTGATTTTAATCCAGTATGAACTTGGAATGGCTGTAGTTTTTGCAAGTCTGATTAATAATTATAGGGCAAATGGCCTTCTGTAATATTGCGGAACTCGCTCTGTAATAGTAATATAATAAAACCTGCTAATAGACGTGACTGTAATGTGATGCGGTCTTGTAATGCCAATGTGAATATTTGGACTGTATGTGGTGATTTGGGGAAATTACACAGATACTTTGTCCCATACAAATTGGCAAGTCAAAGCCCACAAATTACCTTACATTTATTGAGTATGTTTATGCTCTGATGAAAGTAATGTATCTTAATGAAGTTGTTTTTATATCTAGGTCATGCATTTTATTGATGCATTTTATAAATATCTGTTACAGTTTTAATGCCATTTTTGCTTAATATAGTGAATTAATGAATTACCCGTTAATTAATTATTTATTCCTAGCTAAATATCATTTACTGGCAAGCTGGTAAACTGCTTCTTTGTCTTGCCTGTCTCAAACATACACACCCACGCCCATCCAAAGACCCACAGGCAAATGCTTCTTTTAAAAGGTTTGCTTTACATTTGTTGCTGTAGCAGTTGGCCATCTGACAGAGATCCCTGTGTTTTTTCGCTTTTGATGACTGCGTGTGACCCAGACTCTTTCATCATCATGGGCAGTGGTGTTTTTTAAAAGCATAATCATCCATATTTCTTTTTTATAACAACTGCTCCCTGACAGGCACTCATTTGTCACTGCAAAACCTCAAATCCTTAATTTGACAGCTACATAAATTAATCGTCATGGTCTTTGTTAGATGCTGCTTCAAATGTAGGCTGGAGTTGGTTGCACACAACTTTGTTTAAGTCAGCAATGTTTTCCCGTAGCAAAGGGCAGAGTTTTATGTGCCAGTTCTGAGCATGCACTCTCCGAGTGCTTTTCATTTCCATGGGTGTGAAAATTGAGCAGTGCCAGTCTTATTCATGGGGGATTTTGGACGAGCACTTGACCACAGAGCCTTTCAGCTTTGCCCACTGGGAAAGGGTTATCACGTGCCTTGCCACACTTTCACAAGAATATTGATTGGTGCACTAGGTTTGGCAGTGCGTTGCTGCTTGATGGTAAAAAGCTGCAAGAAAAAGAAAAACAGCACTCTGTTTGGAACATTTGCACATTTTTATCATCATTGTGCTCTAAACACATTGCAAAGGCTTGTGATAACAGAACGGATCAAATTACTTCTACAGATCTCCAGTACAGAGTGACATTAAGAGCCGTGCTTAACATCAGAGCAGTGGCGTGGTCCTATAGAGCCTGCCAAATTCTTTTAATTTTCTATTAATATTAGCCTGTTTTACAGTGTGCTATACTACAGTCCCCAGCATGCACTGCTACGTAATGTGTGTTTTGAGCCCACTCTCCCCAACAGCAATCTATAGGACAGCAGTTATGCCACAAAAAGAAAAGATGGCAGATGTGAAGTTCAAGCAAGCAGAAAGGTTTAAAAACCTACCTACTATTTTAGAGGTTTAAGTTATCTGTAGCCATATATGCTAGACGTTTATTTTATTTTGCTGAATAAAATAATAAACAATGGCCAGCTCAGGTCATAGCATGTTAATAATGAAATCAAACGTAAGTGTTCTCTGGCCCACGGATTTATTACAATTTTTTAAAATGGTCCTTTTAGTGGTTCAGTTTGACACCCCTAATGTACATACATGTTCACAACTGAAAATCTATGCTTTCCATTACTACTAGCCTGTAAAACTTTAAACTGGTTGACTACTCTCTCTGCACTGTGTTGTGTAAAACATGGCAAGTAGTTGTGGCAAGTGTTACAACAAACTTGCATCATCATGGAGATGTTTCAAAATAGGAGATTTTAAGGTGTTTCATACATATTTGTGTTGGTAAGCCTATATAAGAAAAATACTGTAAGGGAAATGCTGACTCTTTTTCTAACACCATAACAATTAGTGATGCAATGGATATCAATTAATAATCAAAAGAATACAAATATTTGGAAACAGTAAAGCCATTAAAAAACGTTTTATGATACTTCATAACATAATGCTTTAAAGAAAATACAGCTCTGCTTTCTGGAAACAAACTTTTGTGTATCAAGCTAAATGCAAGCTAGTAGGTAGTCTTTTGTTCTGCACAATGTGACAAGCCTTAAGAGCAAGATACAGTCTCAAATGTAGTTGTAAGACACTTTGGTGTTACCAGCACATAATTTCCTGGTGAGTACTGAGTCATGGCAGTGCTCACCAGGAAATGGCAGGTCAGCTTTTTGTTGTAGCAATGTTTTTACACTGACCCAAAGAATCGCCTGCTCCCACTTACCAGTTGTTCTTCTCACTGTTCGACAAAACTGTTCAGACTCTCTGGCGACAGTCAGAAGAAGCTTGCAAGAGTTCCGCACTACTGTTTTAGAGCTTAAATTTGAGTCAGTAATGTCAGTCTTAGCCACTTTCAGTCCCAATAAGCTTCTTGCTGCACCAGATAGCTAGCACGGTCTGAGTTACATTTAATACCAAGAATAAATGAGGGCCTGCTGGCTAGTGATGTTTCAAAAGTTGCTGTTTCCTCTGTACTCCTGCATCTCTCTGTGGCTGTGTTGCCAGATTGGGTCAGATCCCTTGGATTACCACTTGCTATTAAAAAAATAATTGTTTATTAGTGATGATGTTAATGTTGATCAGTACCTAGTACCATTTGTTAGACTTCATTGAAAGACATAAACAAAACAAGAAAATTAATAGAATGTTTGCACTGGTACAAAAAAAAACAAAAGAATAATAATAAAAAATGTGGTTTCACCAAATTTTAAGGAAATGTATTTTCTTATTAGAAAAGAATATTCTAATATTCGAGATGATATTCAATAGAATTTTCAAAAATGTATGTCCATATCATGCAGCCATGCAGCAAATGAATACAAATGTATTAACATACCTGGCAAACAAAAACAGATTTCAATTTTGTTTCTTAAAAGTACTTTAGTTAATCAGAGTAAAAGGGTGATTGGCGAATAATAGCAAGTAAACCTTGAGAGAGCTTTTTGAGCCAAAGAATGAAGCACAGAATCTTTTGTTTATGTATGTCTAATACATAGGGCTTGAGACACAGCTTTTATAACTAAGCTCTGTCTGCTCTAAAAGACAGCTGTTGTTGGCTACGTCTCAAGCCCTGTGGCTCTGAAAATGTTGACTCACTGTTGCCCCCTGTGTGCACCTGGTAGGTTTTCTTCACCCGGAATGGCAAGATAATTGGGAAGAGGGAAGTCATGGTGCCAGCAGGGGGCTTCTACCCCACCATTGGCATGCTCAGCAGCGGGGAGAAGGTGAAAGTGGACCTGCATCCTCTCAGTGGCTGACAAGACAGCAGGTGCAGCCAATCTGGTGTCAGCACCTTATGCCACGAGCCAGTCTGCAGGCTTTCAGTTGTCTGTCGCTTAAAGCAGAACCACAAGGTTAGATTGGACAGATTGAGATTGAATCAGAATCTGCAAATCGATTTAATGTTATTTTTTTTCTTATTCATGGGTGAAAACAGACACTGTAGGAGGAGGTGAATGCTTTTCATATCAATTGCCATGGCCCCAAAAACAGCGAAAGCATGATTTCCACTTAAACACAGACAACAGTTGCCTCTGATATCATCTTTAGATCTTTGTCTGAGTTCAGACAGAGGTCTATGTTCTTTGTTCTTTGTTGACGGTTCTGTATGAAACCAAACCATATTTGACTAACGAGAGAATTAACAGATTGTATGAAGATTTTTTTTCTGTAAAATGCATAGACCATATGTTACTATATATTTTTAACGTGCTTGTACATAATGTAAATTTATATGGGCTGCTGTACAAAAGATGCCACAGAAAGTAACAAAGAATCACTTCAGGAAAATGTTGAATGAATGCATGAATGAATGAATGAATGAATGAATGAATGCAGGGGGTGAATGGGCAGAGGTTGGCATTTCGGTTTAAAATAGCATGCATTCAAGGGGCAGTCACGTCCCTGAGCATCGTCTTCACACTCCCATTCACTGCCGCAAACTCCCCCTCCCCTCAGCCAATCCTAAAGCTAGTGACATTTCCGTCCTTTTTTTGTTCTTTATTTCTGAATGTCAGAGTTAATCATGTGCCACTTTGTTATCTCTTCTGCCTGAAATGAGGGCTAAGGTTGGAGGAAATTGACGTTTTGCTTCCAGTGATGCACATTTTACTCGGCTGCTATGAAGCAAAATTCAGCAAATCCAGGCAAGTGAGAGAGGTTTCATTTCTCTAGGCTGGTATAGCTACACAAATATGCAATTCAGTGCAAATCAGTTAATGAAAAACCTCAATCAGTTCTAAGCTATAGTCTTAACCTTGCATCAGGTTGTACCCCAACAACCCTCCCTCCCCCAGTCCTCATGATCACTTTATTACTTCAGTTTAGCTATTCCGGTTCACTGATGCCACAAGCACTTTAGGGCAGATTGATTTGAAGCTGTGTGTACCTAAACGTATGGAGGAGAGAGGAATAGAGCTGTGAGTTTATGTATGTTTGTATTGAAGAATGTTGGAGATGGGGTGGTGGTGAAATTAGAAATTCTGTTCCAACCATTTGAACGAATGCCATTTTGCACCTTCAGACCAATCTGCAAACTTGACACAGTAATAATGTTCAGCCTGCTTTGTCTTTTTCTTGTGATAGTCACACAAAAATTAGATGTATTTTTTCATACTGTTCAATGCCAAAATTGTCGCATTTCGTCAGCTTGTGTCTAGCACCCTCAACCCATCTCACAAAAAGAGAATTTGATTAATTGTCTTGCATATCAATCATTGAAGGATTACATTAAACTACATCTGTCTGGCAGTGTTTGCTTCACTTTGTGGTGGTTCAGATTTTTTCTTCCTCATACTGAGAATATAAGATACCGAGAATCTACATATGGACGTCAGGCCTAAAATTCAGTCTCCAAAAAAGGTAAGACAACAGTAACAGATCACATTTACATGGACATTGATCAAGTTTAAGACTTTGATCAGTATGTTTCTGTAGAGTCACTAATTCGGGACCCTTTTTGGATAAGAGACTCCAGGCAGAGCATGCTTGTATGACTTAATTTTAGCAATGAAAACTCAACAGTCTCTTCAGTTTCCATTCAGTATTTCCTTTTGCAGGTTCTATAAAATGAAATACTCATATATGCATATAAGCGAAAGTTTTCCTGATGTGCTGACATGAATACACATCTTCTAAAGCTTCTATGCTGTCCATAATATGAAAAACACCTGACTGGACCATTATGTATAATAAAATAAAAAAAAACTCATAAATGAGCACTGTGCAGGGAAGCCAAAACCAAATACCTCTTGTCAGTTCAGATTGTGCAAGAAGCAGACAGTCAAGTGGTCTTCTTCTGCAGAATACTTCAAATTCTAATGTTGGAATGTGGCTGGTCAGTGTGTTTGGCAAATCATGGATGACTGATATGGCCATGAACGCTGCTGCTATGTGGGATCTCTCTGTGTTATAAATGAAGAAATCTTTAATTGTGGCATGCACTGTTTTGGAAACATATGGTCTTGACAACTATAAAGTTATTATTTCCATATGGGTTTTTGGGGTCCAGCATTTCAGTGAGATTCCGTTTCATAATTATAACCCCATATCCAAGATTGAGATTTATCTTCTACAGAACCATGATCAGACAGAATTATGCACTCTGCGTATGAACAGAATGTGTGTAACTGTACAGTGAATAAAGAGGTCACATTCCACTGAGCATTTGTAGCGCAAGCCGTGTTAGTTATGGTTGGCTTAGCGCACTTTAGGAATGCGAGTTTAATCATTTCCTTCAAAGACATACGTTTTATATATATACACATATACACACAGGCATAATATTTTGACCACCTCCTTGTTTCTACGCTCATTGTCCATTTTATCAGCTCCACTTACTATATAGGTGCACTATGTAGTTCTACAATTACAGACTGTAGTCCATCTGCTTCTCTGCATACTTTGTTAGCCCTCTTTTACCCTGTTCTTCAGTGGTCAGGACCCCCATGGACCCTCACAGAGCAGGTACTATTTGGGTGGTGGATCATTCTCAACATTGATGTGGTGGTGGTGTGTTAGTGTGTGTTGTGCTGGTCTGAGTGGATCAGACACAGCAGTGCTGCTGGAGTTTTTAAACACCTCCGTCACTGCTGGACTGAGAATAGTCCACCAACCAAAAATATCCAGCCTGCAGCGTCCTGTGGACAGTGAGTGGACACAGTGTTTAAAAACTCCAGCAGCACTGCTGTGTCTGATCCACTTGTACCAGCGCAACACACACTAACAACACCACCACCACATCCGTGTTACTGCAGCGCTGAGAATGATCCACCACCCAAATAGTACCTGCTCTGTGAGGGTCCATGGGGGTCCTGACCACTGAAGAACAGGGTAAAAGGGTTAGTATGCAGAGAAACAGATGGACTACAGTCTGTAATTGTAGAACTACAAAGTGCACCTATATAGTAAGTGGAGCTGATAAAATGGACAATGAGCGTAGAAACAAGGAGGTGGTCATAACGTTATGCCTGATCGGGGTGTGCGTGATTATATAAATATATATATATATAAATTAGATAAATAAGATAGATCAGGGCCCATACACAAGACCTACTCATTACTCAAAGTGGGGTCACTTTTTTTTGTTGAGGCTTAAAGACTACAAAGGCCTGTTCCTGTCAATGCAGTCACAGTAAATAAGAGCAGAATCTGATCCTAGATCAGCACAAGCTTAGTGAATACAGGGCCAGGTCAAAAAGTTTAAAATGGTGAAATATAACATTTTCACAATTTTACCCTTACCCCAAATATGTAATCGGTCAAGACATGGTGCATCCACAGCAATGCTACTTTTGTACTGTTGTGCAGTGGAGCTTAAACAGATGCCTCTGATGCTGTCTTTAGATCTTTCTGTCTGAATTCAAATAGAGCCCTGTGTCTTGGAGCTTTGATGATAATGTAGCTAATAAGCATTGGAAGCTGACAGCCTTATACCCACATATTAACACACTGGCCAAATGGCTGAAAACAGTAGTGGCAGCAGCAGCGGTAATTTCAAAGCCCGAGTTGTGTCTGTGCTTTTGATATTTTTCTAGATATAACTGCATGTCAGATATTACTTAGCACATGTTCATGGTTTAAGGTACATTTGTGATAGGCTTTGCAAAATGCTGAATGGTGGGGTAACCAACAGGCATTACTTATTAATTATATTTGCCTCATACATGATATGGCCAACCACAACTAATCAGTGGGTTTGGCTATTTCAGGCACAACCATTGCTAATAAGGGCATAAAATCAAGCATAAGCCATGCAGTCTTTATAGACATTGTGGCAACAGAATGGGTCGCACTGAACAGCGCAGACACCTAGTTCTACTGAAGGGGATACAGCATACAATGGCAGAACTGTATTCCTTTAACTTCATAACAACAGCGTGGGGAAGGCCCATTACTGTTTCAGCATGACAGCACCCTACTGCACAAAGCATTGTGCATACAGGAATGGTTTCGGAAGAATATGACTGGCCTGCACAGAGCCCAGACCTCAACCCCCATCCATCACCTTTGAGTTGAATTGGAAAGACTGTGAGCGAGGCCCTTTCGCCAAACACCAGTGCCTGACCTCACTAATGCTGTTGTGGCTGAATGGAAGTGAATCCCCACAGCCACGTTCCAAAATTTAGTAGAAAGCCTTTCCAAAAGAAGGGATGCTGTCAGAGCACCAAAAAAGGGACCAATTCCATATTTGTGCACATGGTTTAAGAATGAAATGTTTAACAAGCACGCATGGCTATAATGTTCAGGTGTCCATGTACTTTTATCCATGTAGAGCAGCTACAGTGCAAAACTAAAGAAGCAAATGTACAGCAACAAACATGCTGGTAAAAAACAAAGAAACAGTTATACATTAAATATTTATTGAACAACAGTGTTGCAGGAAATTTGGTCCTCAGATAAAAAATATCAAATGTGCAATTGAAAAGTTTAAAAGTAACTGATTCTAGGTTGACATACACAAATAGTGCACACAATTTTTCATTACAGCAAGTAAAGACCACTTGCGTCCCACAGTATTTCTACGCACCTAACTAAAACGCAAACGTCTTTGTTTTTGGAGAATAAATTTCCTTTCCAAATCCAAACTCTGTGCAAATGTAATACACCACTCTTCAGCACATGTAGCAGTTGAATAACCACAAAGTCTTAGTTGATGAAAAAACAAAAAGAACCTTGCATATGAACCACAATGAACGACCTTAACAAGTATTGTAGTAACAGTAGGCTGTTTTCTATATATCTACTGCTTTTTTATTCAGGACTGTGCAGCACCATCTAAAACCAACTAATAGGCAACATGATAAAAGCCCCTACAAAATAGGTTTTGACTAGAACACCATAAAAGTGGCATGAAGCATGCATTTATAATATACAAAAAAAGAAAATAAAAGACAAACAAAGATATACATGTAAAAAGTACCAAATGCATCAGTGTTCCTGGAAACTGTGCTTGTCCATCTATTTCATGTGTTGGTTGCATATAACGTGGCCCTAAAAACCTTTGTGGATGGCCAAATGATTATTGAGGGTTTCTGTATATGTTGACTTACATTCAAATACACAGGCACAAAAAAGAAAGCTCAGGACAAAGAGCCTAATTGCACAGTGTGCGAGACTGGCACACTTTAGACGATACACATCTAATAATATGTGGTTTCCCACACCCATATTAGGTCAGCTTACAGGTTTAATTGTGAATCAGCATTGGCATCACAGTTTAATCCGAGACTAGCCTTAAAGGCATAGTTTAGTGAAAAATCTAATTTATATATGTTTTTCTCTTATCCAAATGTAGTTGTTTGCACAGTTGGTGGGGAACAAGGTCCCACTGCTTATTTGCTAAATTAGACTTGTAACTCTGGTGCAAAACTAAAGAACCAAACTTTAGGCATGTTATGGCTGATTGGACTACATTATGGATAAGGAGAAGTTTAGATTTTTCTACTAGTTGTTTTGTTTTTGTTTTTTTTTACTATTCCTTTAATCCACGTCTGGGAAAATGTCCTATTGTGCTTTGGACAGAAAGACAATGAAAAATGCTGACCCCCTTCTCGTCAGTGGAATTGAATAGACTGGTTTGGTTTTGATCTTTTATTGGAAACGTGAGTCAGGAACAATCAATCTTCTTCCTCCTCATCGTAATGACGATTCCTTCTGATCAGCTCCTCCACCGACTCGTCAGCCTGGTCTTCCTCTCCTTCCCAGAATCCCACGTCCTGAGAGCATTTCTGCTGCTCTGATTCAGATCCGGAGCCTGGCTCTGATTCACTTAGGGGTGAAGAAGGGGGCGTGATATCCAGTGAAGTACTTTGGCATGTTAAAGATGCTGGCTCCTCTTCTTCCTGTTGGCCATCTTTCTCCTCTGTAACATCCTCTTCCTCTTGTTCTCCTCTGTCCATTTCTTCCTCATTGTTCTTGTCCTCCTCTTCCTGTTCAGCCACTACTTCCTCTTCGTCCTGTGCGGGACTGGCCAGTTCAACCATAGGGTCTTCAGCACTCAGGGGAGAGTCTGTGGTTGTCATTTCGTCTTCAAATAGGAACCCTTTCGTTACTGGTTGAACATTAGGCTGAATGACTGGAGAGGCGGAGTTAGTGATCAAGAATGGCCGGCTGCGTTCTTTGAGGGAGGAGCTTCTGCCGAGGCAGGACAGCTCTGCTTTCTCAGGGCTGATTGGGGAAGAGTCGCCCTCTGGTGGCCATTTTGGGAGAATGGGACGGATGGCACCCTCAACCGAGGCCCTAGGTGAACCTTCCTCACCTTCATCTGTCCTTGGAGGCCAGGAAATCTTTAGCCGGCCAGTTTCCACTGGTTTCTCCACCCACTCTGATGCAGACTGGGCCCGTGTCTCTAAAGTGGCAGCAAGTATGTTGACCTTCTCCAGGGGAGACTCTTCTACTGTAGGACTGACTGTGCTTTCCTTTGGGACATCCTTCGTCTGCTCCTCTAACTCATCTCCCCGTGCCTCCCACAGCTCCTTGTGAGGCCGGTGACCGAAGCCCTCATCGTAGTTGCCCTTTGCCTTAAACAACTGGCAGAAGTGGGGCTTGCAGTAGACATTGCTGTGCAGAGAGGCGTAGTTCCCAATACTGACCAGCAGAGGGCACAAAAAGCACGATTTGAGAAAAGAGAACGACGAGAGAAATGCGGCAATAAATCACTGGGAAAACTATACACAGAGTGACACATCAAAAAAGCAAAGACTGACTTCAAACATAAAATGATCAAGACCTCTGAGCTCTGTGACATTAAGTTTGATTATAAAATCTGTCTCATTTCACTCACCTCAGTTTGGTGTTGCAGTGGGCACAGCGGAAGCATGTGTTGTGATAGATTTGCTGATTGGCTACTAGGCGCTCCAAGGGATACACGGTCTTCAGGCACATCACGCAGGTCTCACGCACAGGCAGGCGGAACTTCTGAACACACATAAAAATAAGTTTCAGCATGTTCAAAATCCTTTAATCCTTTTTATATGAAATTATCTAGAAGATTCTACTTAAGATTCAACAAAAACCATACTTTCTTCACACAGTGGTAAAAATAAGTAGAAATCTGCAATATCGTGAGCTGTTAACTAATCAAACTAAGAAATCTTGATCACCTTGAAAGCTTTACTTTGGCCTTGGTCAGGAGTAGTCGCAGTAGGGCCTGGTTAGAGAGAAAAGCCATCACTGAGCAATACCAAACTGAGGCCACTAGAAGGAGCCAGTGGACTTGGAACACATTATTCGTTGTTAAAATTCATGCTCAACTCCTTAAACTGCAGTAGTATTCAGTTATTAATCTTAGGATATATTATTCATAAACTACTATGAAGTATTTGGTAATTACTATTAAAAAGTACTACAATAAGTTACCTAGTTATGAGACAGAGTAATTGAAGTGTGGGCGATATACGGGTGCCTTAGATTTTAAAACAATTAAGCATTAAATCACCCGTTACCAAAATCCTGCTCCCAGAAAGGAGCATGAGATTTCCCTAGAGGTTCCAATAGTACAATACTGAAGAACACACTCACGCATCACCCACTGGGATTACAATCACTAGTAGAAGCATAAATGCCTTTGAGTCTGCAGAGGCTACCAATGAGTGCTGAATTGTGTCTCACCATTGCTCTCTGCTGATGAACCCTTTCTGCTGTTGGGTTCAGAGGTTGAGATCTGTTGAACAGAGATACTGAGTAAAGCAGTAGCAATAGTGTCCCCTACAGGCAAAACAGAATATTCGCCCATCAGTTGCACATTAAGGTCATTATGAACGTACCACATCCCTTGAAGCTGGAGGGACATTCTCCTTCTGTTTCACACTGGAGCTGCATAACTCCATGTCCAGTTCACTCTGCACATGAGGAGAAACAAAACATAGTAAAGTTCACAGTAAAACCACTTAAATGAGTGGTACCTTTTTCAGAAAAAAGGTGCCACTGAGTAAAAAGGGTCCCTAAAAGATGCAGACCAATGAAACCACATATTAGTGCTTACACATCAATTAGACAGACCTCTTAGAATTTAGCAGAGGCTTTTGAACTATGCGAGATTCAATGGTTTAGAGCTACAGCTGGTTGTTACTATTGTCATTAATTCTGAGCCAATGTAGCCCTTGTCTCCGCCTCAGATGCTTCGCTCACACATACATGCAACATCAAGGATTTTCAGTTGCATTCTGATTGGCTATCTGCACTTCAATGCACTGATTTCATCACTCTAACTGAAAACAAATTTATTGTTTTATTAAAGTTACATACTGGCCTGAATCAGTAGCAAGCGAGTTTCCTTTTTCGTAAAAGGATATAGTTGCTGGATTAAAAGTAGTAAAGTTGACAATATTAAAATATATTTAAAAGATATTTTAATTATTACACTCCTGAGGTGTTTTGAAACACCGTTTTGAACATTTCCTGCTCTTGTGTCATGTAAAAACAATGGTCCCTTCACATGTCAGTCAAATGGCCCCTTTCTGTCAAAGTAGGTGTTTGTTGGCCATGTTAATTGACGAAAGCTACCAGAAAAGGTAGCTTTCAAATGAAATCACCACACTTTGAAATAAATCACCACACTTGGGCTGTTTCTAAGGTACATCTACCCTATACTCACTGCCAATTTTTTCAGGTACATCTACCATGTAAGTTCACTTTGCAAGGCCATCTCTTGTCTCTTTTATTATTGGATTGGAACCACCAAACAACCATCCCAGACCAGATATTTGGGTGGCGGACAATCCTTGGCACACTAACACTGTAGTCAAATTGTAACGTGCTGCACTGGCATAAGCATCAGTACAAGGTTATTAGCAACTCAATGCAAATAGAAGTGTGTGATGTGAAAGAAAAATAGTAAATCTGACAGCAGGACACTCACAGGAGTGGAAGAAGGGACATCTACTTTAGACACAGCTGCCTGATAGAGAGCCATTCTGTCCCTGAGAGGAGTAGTCTCCACCATTGCATCAAAACCTCCTGAGAGACACAGAAAAGAGACATTGAGAAAGACACAAGGTCAGGTCATGAATGAAAAACAAGCATTTCCACCAAAAGTACTAGATCACTTTAAGCCTGCCATCAGCACTTTCCACTGCTCCCTTGAACTCTCTCTCACTGACAGCTCTGGCCAAAAGGAAATGACACGTAATTCAAGACTTCAATAATTCACCCATTATCTAAGTACTGAGTTTCAGTACATAGTGTTTTGGGATGTTTTGCAGTACCTTTGTCTCCAAGTTCCATTTTCTCAGGGCCACTTCCTCCTGTTTTCACTTGCTCCACAGATACCTGCAGAGACAAAACAGAGCTAGATTAGCATAGAGACAGGACAAGGACTGCGATGAACTGCGTAAATCTTTCACAGTATTTGTTGATATATGAATATAAAGAATAAGACTGTAGAATCTCTATAGTAAAACATTTGTACTCTATGAATGGAAGGAATTTTCTTTCAGCAATCTAGATCCACATGAGAGAAGGAGATAGCATGAAAAGATGGTAAACACTCAGGTGTATCGTGTAGTATTAAATATGTAGGGATAAACAATGTAAACAAATTCCCTCTTACCCCAAATATACTCATTCAACCAAGACATGACAAAAATGGTCAGAAGGACTGTGCTTAGCAAAAACAGCAGTAGCAGTCATCCTGAAGCTTGAATTTTTCTGCTCTTTTTGTATTTGTTTTTTTAGATAACGGTAACGGTACAGTGTCAGAAACCATATAAACAAGTCCATTTCAAATTATTTAACACTGTTTGTAATTTTAGCCTTCCAGCACCAGTGGAAAACTTTAAAATGCAAACTCTATACACCAAACATCTGGGTTTGCAGACCACAGTTGGGGTAAAGAGAAAATTGTCATAACAGTAGCTATGACAAAGCACCATGCTTGTGCAAAGTGTCTGCTGTCCTACAGCCACTCCATGACGTTAAAGAGGTGGTAAAAGCTTCTCCAGAACTGACCCTGACTCTGCAATGTCCTGCCAGCCTCTTGTTTTTTTCCTGCCGTTAATAATCCACTAATGAGCTCAGAGCGACGGAAGCATGGCTAGACACCACCGTCTGGCCACATACACCGTGGCCACTGCCAGAGCCACCAGCAATCCCGCTAAACCTCAGCCTGCCCCTACAGCTGGGCCTGCTGCGAGGACACCAGACAGGGCCTGCAGAGGACAACACAGCTGCAGAAACCATTGGATTAGTCTGCTCTCTTTGGTTTAGCAAAGGGGTGAGGAATATGACGTTATTATTATGATACATTGTATCAAAACATGCTTTTCTGAGTATATTATGGATACTGTCTATACTGACAGAACATTATTCTTTTTAGAATTTTTTAAAAAGACATTTAAACCAATATAGAAAGCTTGTAAACCACAACAGCCAGTGTAAAGTAACAAAAAATGCAAAGCAACAATTAGCTCACTGGATGCCATTCTATTTTATTAATTTGATTTTTTACAAATTGTCTTGATGTTTTCTTTTTTTTTTTGTTCTTACTGAGTGTATTGCTGCAAACTCAAGTTTTTCATATGACTCTTAAAATGTGGCACTACTCTACTTTGTCCATTCTGTCTTGCCAACCTCTAAATAACTGTGATATACATCATATATTGTGAAAATGTGTTCAAATATCATAATGCCATATTTTTGCAATATCACCCACTTTCAATTTGGCATTGTGTTGCTTTAAGAGGAAACAACATTCAGGTCAAGGGTACTCCAAGGCCAGCGTCGGGAACTGCCAAACGCTAAACAGTGTTCATAAAATGCACTTTCTTTCAGGTTCACTAATTATGCAGACGTGAACCCTACTACTAGTTAATATTTGAATCCCAACCATGGAGTCATGACTGGGGGTCCCGAAAGACTGGCTGCATTCTCATCAGAATGGATGGGTGCCAGGCCCCCCCCTCACCTCCTTTGCTAAGAGGAACCACAGGCCAGTCACACTTCTCTATGACTGTGTGACAGATTTGCATATTGCTGCCCACTGAACATGGTGAGCTTTTCCTTAATCATTTTTATAATGTCCATAACACATAATCCAGAATCAGAATCATTTGATTAGTACAAGACGTACAACTGTCAAGGTGTCAGTATAAAATCCAGTAATAATATATTAAATGTGGAAAACATAGTATAAATGTACAATAGCTAATACATAAATTTCAGGGGAAGCCTGCAAAAGACCCATCACACTGTGAATTAACTCCTACTATGTTTTAACATTAAAACTGAAATATAAAAACGTGTCTTTATATGGCCTTTATAACTTTTTTGACTGCTTTACATTTTAAAACAAGACAACTTTGGATGTGCTATTTTTTAATTACTGCACAACAGAAACACTGCTCAAACAGAACAGCCCCTAGTGATGCTAGCAATTTAATGGTTTAAACTGACAATGCAGCAAAACAAACTTAAACTGACTACTAATAAAATTTAAAAGCACTGCAGAAGTCTTGAAGCTGAACTGAACTGCCCATACTATTCAACTTACAGTGCAAGAGATACATTGCTCACAATAGCCAAATATTCAAAATTTCCTCACTGGCAAGTCGATGGTTTGAGTTGACTAGGTAATAAAACAGTCTCCAACCTGACTCCTGTCATCATCAAACCACTGCTCAAATTGCCATAGTCTCAAGCAGGTATTACTCAGCCAAAGCTCCCTAATTATGTCTTACCTATTAAAAGAGTCTTCAATCCAGTTTAAATTTGATTCCTGGAGCCGCGCAGAGCCGTGCGTGAGTGTATGAGTGTCTGTCCAATGCCTGACTGTACTCACATCCCCAGATTAGAGATGGGGAGCTTGTCTGTGTTTTGTTGGCAGGAGGATGAAAAGGGGGTTGGGATGGGCCCCGAGCAGCTGGTGCAGCCTTTAACTACAGGGAGGGGGGTTAAAACGGTCTTGTTCCAGCCCTCCGTGGATTAGCCATCAGTTGGAGAGGCGGGGAGGCGAGCAGCCAGGCCTGCGGTTACAGTCTCCAGACTGAGTGCTGACACCAGGGGAGCAGGAGGCAAATGTAGCACAAAGGCCCCAAGGGGGTGGTAGCATAGACAAAGGCCTCTTACGCTAATCCAACATACAAAAGAGTCAGAGCATCTGAGACAGGCTGGCCATGACTGCATCCAAAAAGGAAACAGGGGAGCCCAGGAACACTTTCAGTTTTTTGTTCCATCAAAGCAGAGATTCAGTCAAAGCTAGAAGAAACAACTGCTGAGGTTTAAAGGAATCATTTGCAAAAAAAACAAATTTTACCCATTGTAGACAACTGGCCAAGACATGTTTGTTGTCCCAAATTTGGTTCTTGAGTTTTGCACTGGAGCTACAAGGCAAATGTGGCTCAGAAGTAATGGACGTTTAATGGATTTAAATTGTGCAAACTGCATGTCAATCATCACACACTAGCCTCAAACTACATTTTGTTAAGTAATATTAAACTGATCCTCTTAGCTGGTTACTGATACTATACGTCATACTGTTATCTACAAAAATGGACAAAAGTGCAGATGAAATTCAGGTGGCTGCTAGTAGTTTTTAGCTATGCAGTGTCCTACATTTAAGGTAAGGTGAAAACTTTGAAGGGACCAATATTTTAGCTGAACTGTTTATTTAAAGAATTTGAAAATGAAAGACTAGGTAAACACAGGCTCCTCACATGCAGTATAATCAGATAAATGAGTGACTTTCAAGCTACCTGAGCTTGTGCTTTGTCATCATCATATAACATCTGATTCATCAGGAATCTCACAAAGAAGCCAATCACTGCAGAGCAATCACAGCCACCCAACAAGCCCTTTCAAGAAAGAGCATATGGCTGAAATCTAATCAAAAGCACAACCTGTCTCATAATGACCACCCTTGCCAGAAGCTCATAAGGTGGTTAATTTCTCAGAGCAAGCCATTCAATCTCGATCTCTCTCTCCAGAAAAAAAGTATGCAGAGGAAGGAGAGGGAAGGGGACAGTTCAGTGAAAAATCTAATTTGCCCTATTTGGTGTCTAAAGTTTGGTCCTTTAGTTCTGTACTGGAACAACAAAGTCATTGTAGCTAGGGTATGAATATGGATATTTTTGCTCATATTTTGTCTGTATTTTTCATTGCTTAAGCAATTGTGTGATGATTTAGTTTGCATAGTGCTAATTGGTGGAATATACGGTTTCATTACATTAACCTCCAGAGCAAAACTAAAGATGCAAACTTTGGACACCAAGCATGCCTTGGCTGATTAACTACATTTGGGGCAAGGAGAAAACTGTGTACCATAATTTTTGCTGAACTATTCCTTTCATTCTGTCCGCTCAATCTCTCTGCCTCATGACCTTCCCTCCAGCTAACGCAGGAGAAGCCGGGCTTTGAAAAGAGCTGTGCTGAGGAAGGGCCTGTGCCTCTCAGCCCTGCTGTGGTCATGTGGAGCCTTATCCCATGACATCACCCCAGGGAGCAGTGCATTGTGCAGCTAGGCGTAGAGTGACCATGACCTCTGGTCAGGTGATGAGCAGGGGGTGCTGAGGCCATGCAAGGGCAGGAGGGATGCTTAGTCAGGCCTTAATAGCAGCTCCAGGAATGTGTTCTTTCAGTGCCTCCATATGGAGGAAATCAAGACCATCTCACCTTTCAAAGGCAGCAGGGCTGGGAAGGATATGCGAATATAGGGGAAAGAACACAAAAGGGAACATATGCACATATACAGATGGCAAAAAATTAAGATTCAAAGCTCAAAACACCACCCCTAACAACAATAAAATCAAAACCACCACTGTGTGATTGGGCTCAATGATTAATATAATTTTAAACTGGATTTTAACGCACCATTCACTCCCCAGTCTATATATGGAAATTAAGCTGCAAAAATGATTTGGATCGTTTATGTGAGGCCACACAAATCCATAATATATATGCATATCCACCTATTCAGCGTACAGCAGTTTGGCCCCCTCATTTACGCTGAAGTTACAAAGAGTGTTTCACCCTGTACTGCATTTTGAATGAGGCCCAATCAGAACAAAGCTCAGTTACATACATCAGTCTTAAGGCCTGAGCACCTAAAGCAGCCTGTTTAATTCTAAGGCATAAAGAGAGGTTGGATGGTCATGTAAAAGTAAATTATGGCTGTTTTGAGTACATATACCCACATAAATGTTAAGTGGTACTTAAGTAAAATAAAAATGTGGGATATGAGCCCATTAAAAGTTTGTAATGTTTTAGACAGAATGTAATTATGAGGCCCAGTCTAAGATTCAAAAAATAGTTTGGGAGAAAATCAAATTTACAGTTTCTCCCTTAATGTAATCCCAAATGTAGTTGATCAGTCAGGACATGTTTGGTGTCGAAGTTCAATTCTTCAGTTTTGTACTGGAGCTACAAATTGAATGCAGTTAACAAGTAATGGAAGTTTATATCCCACCAATTTCCACTTTACAAACTGCAGTCTGAATCATCACCCACTGTTCCTGAAATATGTTAAGCTGATTCGGTGGTTTCTGACACTGTATGACATCTTGTTTTCTACAAGTATGAACTAAATTCAGGCATTAAGATGTACAGTACTACTGCCTCTAATCTTATTCTTGCTTTTGCATCCATATTCTCTTCTTTTCTCCTTTACAGTCTTCCTCCCACCCTCCCTATCTCTGTCTCTCTTTTTCTCATTACCACATGAGAAACTGGCCACGAGTGCCCTCACAACCCTGCGAAGAGACAAAGAGCCACTGTCTCTGGTTATGGCCCTTTTTATTTTGAACACATAACCTTTTGAGAGTTAGTAGCAATGAGATTAAAGAATGCAGATGAAAAGAAGTCTACACACAAAAGTTCCTTCTTTCCCACACAGGCTGGTAAAACATCAAATATATAAGCCAGCACTGTGAATGATTCCACACATTTGATGTTTAGAAACATCTAACAGCTTTGAGGATCTGGACTGGATTCAGTTTAGTACAACAATTCCAGCAGCAGTTGTACAACAAATGTAAAAGCAATCATGTGCAATACGCATTCACTGAGGGGCTGCAGGATCTTGTGAACAAAATGGTTCCTTTTAGGAGGTTAAGTTATAGGTATAAACTCTCTTGATCAAACTGTAAAAGTGCTGCTTGAAATATTTTTCCATAACAATTCAGTAACTGTTACAACTGGGTCCTAGAGTCCATTGTATGAGCCATTTGCTCATTCAGAAAAAAGGGGCATATTTATGACTTCATGATGATAGGACATGTGACTGGCACCATGACAAGCCTCTTTAAAAGTCAACAAACATATTTACCTAGTTATTGAGGTGATTTGAATCTTGGTATCAAGGACCTCTCAATACGCACAACACTGACCAGTTATGAAACACACACTCTCAAACATATAACACACTCATATACTACCATAGTGTTCTTTCAACAGATACATACAAATTTGATAGATAAACATATAATTAGGGATGCACAATATCAGGATCACATCAGTATAAGCTGATAATTGCATAAAAAGTGATCTCTGTCAGACAGATGTTTATATTTCAAACCGGTATTTGACGTTACGTTTACTGGAAGTACTGAATGCTTAGATGACGCCAAGCTACTGTTGGAAAATGTCAGTGGCATTTGTAAACCTACTAAAAACCTACTAAAAATGTTATATTTTTCCAAAATGCTGATCCAGGTGCATTTGGTCCAAATATCTCCTTTTAAAAAATGTTTATATATCAGCATTGGCAGATATATACATGAAAAATATCAGATATGGGCATCAGCCCACAATTCCCTTATTTTTGCATCCCCCAACAGAAGACTTACAATTTCTTTTAAACTCAAATGGTTTTTCCTTCCTTTGCTTCATGATTTCTTGAGGAACTTGCCACGACAAAATCTTTGAAAGGTGACTATAGTAAAATCCAGCCTCTACCTCACTGGTCTATTATCTGTGTGGTGTGACTGGACGACAACCCCCGAAAAAAAGAGACATGACATTTATTTATCATGGCCATAAAAATGACTGAAGATTATCTACCCACCTTGTTCTCAAACATCATTTTGAGACTGCTGAGAGGTATGCTGGGTTTGTCACTTGGTGTGCTGGATACTTCTGCTGCCTCTGGACTCTCTGTATCTTCTTGCACCCACTCTTCCATAGCTGGCTCTCTGGGGCTCTGAGGTGGTTCTTGACTAACCTGGTCTTGCGTGTCTATATCGATATCTGCAGCTTTTGATAGAGTCTTTTTGTAGGCAGAGCCTACAGAATTTTGTGGAGTGTCTGTAGATGGGTCCTTAACTTGGTCCTGAATCCTGGGCTGCAGGGCTGTAGGCTCAGGGGAGAGAGGCTGTTGGGCCTCCCACCGTTTCTTCAGAACACTGAGGTTGCCACTGCGCAGGGCAGGGGCTACACCCTCCCCAGACTGGAAGCATAAGCGATTCTTTATTAGAATTGATTTATTCAATGTAGTGTAGCCTTCAGGACATGAAAGCATTTTTTCCTTCTCAGATAGCATACTGTTACCGTTGCAACAAAACTTTCTATGTCCAAAATGGTAACTTTATAGTAGAAGGAAAAACATCCTTAACTTTAACGTACGTTATGTAGTACACATGTTTAATGTACGTTGATTTCCAAAGTAATTTCAGATCCTTTCTATTGGTCTACGCGTCATGAAATGTTCATACAATGTTAATAGCTGCTGTAGTTTTCAAATGTTTAATAAAAAAAAAACTAAAAAGCTGAGATACAATAATTTGATATGACAGAGACAATATACATTAGTCTGAATAAGACAAAAAGAGACCACAATTTTAATTTTACTAAAATGATATACCAATATATTAGCTTAATGTGAGTGCATTTCAATAAACACATATAATCAAAAAAGATTACAGAAAAGCATTGACAAGTGAAAGTATCTAAAAATCTCGGCATTCTTCATTGAGATTGCAGACATGGGTCAGACAACAAACTTAGAGAAAAAAAAAAAAACTGTCATTCTATAACTGTGTTCCCTTAGAAACTGGGAACAGAGAAAGGAAAACAGTTTTAGTTACATGCTCTAAAATATTTCTTCTGCATAAAGTAAATTAGTACCAGGGGACAGTATGATCTGGTTAGTATGTTAGAAACAAGGACAGTAAAAGAAGAAAACCTGGTGAATTGAGCAGCTCCCTCAGCTCCCTGTGCAGGTGGAAGTGAAAGAAAGCTGTCCCAGATGTGAACTGTTAGGAATTATCAGCCCACCCCCCTTATGGTACGGGAGGAGAACTAGGAAGAGGGAAAAGGGGAGTGGAGGAGAGACACAGAAAGACAGGGAGAATGGAGGAAAAAGAGGCATTGAAAAGCAAAGAAGAGCCAATACATGAAAAGTGAAAGTCTGAAACATTTGCTGAAGAAGGAGCTAATAAGAAAATTTGATTGTTATTTTAAAACAAAGATGCACACATATTTACATTTACCGCATTTGGCAGACATTTTTAACCAGAGCGAAATTTTTAATCATGTTAGAGGTAGGTGGGTGTAGCTTTAGGAGTCTTTCCCAAGGACTCTTGCTGGTATAGTGCCCGGGCGGGGTATTGAACCCCAGTCTGCAGAATATTACAGAATTGCGTCAGGGGAAAATTGTGTAAATTTTATATACTGCTTCAAAATTTTTCTTCCACATATAATAACACTACAAGACAATCAGCGTGTGCCTCCAAAGTATCACAAACAAGCCGCCATTCACTTTTTTAGAGACTTTTCACAGTTGATGCCAAAATAGCTCAAACCCATTATCACATAATATTCCATACTTAGACAATACTAGATAATTTTCAGGTTCACTCTTGAGGCCAAACCCAGTTGATCCCTCAGTATTCAAAGCAAACTGGCAGAGGCTCTGCTCTCTGCCAGAGAAACAAAGAACCCACCTATAATAAACCACTGAACCATACAAGCTTCTACTACATGAGCCCCAAAAACACTCACATTAGTCTCATGGGAGAACTCTACTACAGGCCACGTATGTCTGCCTGCTTAAATAAGGACCTGCTTAAATAGCATTGTGGAACCAAAATAAAACCCTTCAAAAGTCTGGCAATATCTTGTCAAGAGAGTTTAATTTTCTCACTGTTACTTCTCAGTAAAGTAAGGAAAATACCTCCATTTTGTTAACAGACTTGTGCGTGTTTTCCAACACCCAACTTTATGCCGAGTCTTAACTGGCATGAAGAGCAGGTTTTTCCTAAGTATTGACTGAATGAATGAATGAATGAAAATCCCCCTTTTGCCCCAAAGGTGGTTTAAACAGCTAAAAGGTGGATTAAAAAGGGGAGAAAACATGTGGGCTTTGGCATTATTCCCAAGGTAGTACTTTTGTCAGTTTTCTCGTTTTGCAAAAGGTTACTGTAACAAACTTGTTTATTTAATTTATTTTGAAAAGTAAGGTGTTACCAAACTTTTGAGTGATAAAAGGAACAGAACAAGAGAAAATATGTTCCTTCCTGCTCTTATGCTCAAGCGTCTTCTGGCTGACCTCAGGTGTCCTGACCTCCCTGTCTCCAAGGCAAAAGTAAATAAAATTAAAAATAAAACAATAACCCTGTCATCACTATTGCAACATTAACGGGAAACTGTATTAGCTCTAGGAGTTTAATAATATACCGCAGTACAATCCCCAGTGATAATCGTACTGCTTCAAATCAAATTATTGTTTGACAACTGTGTATAATTACTGTTTTTTAATAATTAAGTCTTTAATAAGACTACTGCTATAGTCTCCCTGCACACACCAGGAAAACAGTTATATTGTACTGTAATTATAATTAACAGTAAAAAACAGTGCTGTTGATTTCATATTGATTAAAACTGTACTTGATTTTATTGGTGTTATAAAAGACTCAAAGACTAAAAATATGATATTGAAATTTAAAAGGTCTATTAGTGCTTTTTAATCAGCTTCTGAATATTTTAACAATGTTATGAGTGAAAATGTATAATAATTTTGTTTACTGGCTTTGTCCCATCTTTAACTAGCTAACTAAAGACCATTTCCCACACTGACTGAACTGGAAGATGTTAAGAAACGTATTGTCTCACATTCAAACATTTAAAACATACATCAGTTAATGATCTAGCTTTGGCTGAAGACTGTTTCACAAACGCCTTCTTTTCCTGCTACCTGCTTATTTCCAGTGGAGAGTCATTCTCTGCCTCTTCAGATCAGCTACTGCAGTCTTGTCTTTATGCTGATAAAGATCCTGGGCCTACATGCCAATCAGTTTCTTCTCTTCAGCTACACCAGCTGTGTTTTCCATGCTATGAGGCTCTGCATAAAATATCTGGAGCTGTTCAACTACAGGGGACTTACCTGCAGATTAAGGAGTCTAAATAGGGATTAAGTTGACTAGCCACTAACTGCAGTGTGTGGCTGGGAAGGAAACAACACGTGTGAGCCTGTCTGTTTGCTCACGGCATGACTGAATGTATACTTGCACTACAGTTCAAAAGTTCAGAATCAATCTTGTCAGTGATATAAGGCCATACTGGTTGCAGATAAACATAAACTAATTCTAATATGCTAGTGCAACTTCACAGGTTTTCATATCAATCAATAGGAAGCTTGGAAGCTGTGATAAACAAGTGTAAAATTCTAGTCCATCCAGGATGATGAACAGAGCTGTCAATAGTAACTGAGAAAGCTGTACGAACAATTAAGTTAAAATTAACATCTAGAACTCCTGGTAAGACATGATCAAATCCTGAGGCAGATAACTTGACAAAAATGACTAAATAGATAAAGTACATTATTCACTGAGCAACACTGTTATTCGCAAAATTAGAGTTACTGAATAAAACATCTAAAAATATCTTTTTAGGGATTTTGGGTTTTGTTTATGTGCATGTTTGTACACAAAAAATACAATTATTAAAAAAAAAAAAAAGTAAAAAGATATGTTTTTTTGTGTGCATGGTTAGGGGTTGAGAAAATGCTATAGCATTCTGATGCATGTTTTAGATGGATGAGACCAAATGAATCATTTATGCTGAAACATTAGTTGTTGCATGACGACATCTGAGAATTAACGTGGTTTCCCACTGAACAGAACGTGCTGTCCAGAATGCCCATTTTGCTTCTAATTCTAGGAGGTGAAATCACAGACACTCACTTTTTTCTTGTCCGAGTTGATCTCCTCTGCTGCCTTCTGGTACCTGCAGAGAAATAGTTAGGTGGTATATGGTTAGAATAGAATCAACATAGAAAGCAAAATTTTGGTGCTCTTTACAATCCTGTACACATCAGCTACTGAAAACAGATTAACCAGTGGCACTGAGGAGTGCATTTCATAATATCTAATCATCTAAGCAAATTATCCAAGTTTAGAAGATAAGGAGATTTGTAGCTCACATAAAAGTGGCTGCCAAAAACCCTTTTATATAGAACAACAGTGGCCTCAGGTGGTGCAAAATGGCAGTGTAAAGGGGACAAATGACTAAAATGTGGTCGATTTGTAATAGAAAGCTGCCACTATTGACTCTACTTATTATTTTGATGAAAAATGGAGTTGCAGGCCAAACAATTAAAACAGACTTAGATAGTCCAAAAATACTTAGTTTAAAAAGCTTAGTGGGCAAATAATGAATATAAATATTTCTTACTGTAAGAAATAACAGCACAAGAAATTAAATTATGGATTATCATCATTCCTAACTAATCATTACTTATTCATTCAGATAGTAACCGAAGGTAATTTTTTAACTGTGACGGGTACCAAATTTCTCCACAATTTATTCATGGCCAAATCCCACCAATTCTTCCTCTATTCTAAAGTAATACCGTTTCATATGGACTCTGTACCACTGACACACTGGTGAAACAAGTTTGTTATGTTAAAGTGGAATGTAATGCAGAAACAGGCATAATTATCAGGTATGACAGTCTGCTGGCCAGAACGGTGAAGGATGGAAAAAGAAAGATTAGCACAGACCTAACAACATAATCACAGCTAAAGCAGAGATGGCCCAGAGTTCTTCATACAGCTTAATTGAATTTACATGATTTTGCCTTATTTCAAATGTAGTCAAGGTCTCTTCTTTAGCTTCACGCCTGACCTAAGCAGGTGTTCAGATCTTTTTAAACTATCTAAGGCACATTTCTTTTCATCGTTGTCTATTGAGCAACCGAAGGCACTCCTCTGTGGAATATGCTGTCAACTTTTGAGCTGAGCGGCATGAAAAAGCAGCATACGTCGTTCCAGCTGCTCAACCACCATCAAGAATACCTTCTCTAGTCACTCAACCAACACGACAGAAAAGCTGGTTTAGTCTAGTTTTTAGAACACAACTGACTGTATTCGTACTTTTTTTCTTGGTCATCTTTTATATGTGTTCTGTTACAAAAATATTTTTTACATGTTCTATCTATTGTTACAGTTTCTAAATGTTTATCTACAGTCTTTCATATTCTCTAAAATTGCTGTCTTGTGTTTACCTACATGTCAATTAAATGTGTTAGCCTGCCTCTTAAGCACATCCTGTTTCTTTTTAAGCACAAGACACACCATGCTTAAGGGCCGTTTTCCTCTGAGATCCACTTATAAGGTTTGTGTGGTATATATCAAAAACATTCATAATTGTATATTATATAATATAATAATATATAACTAACTGCTGTAGGCTGAATAGCTGGATATATATAATACATTGGGTTTTGTGACAACGAAAAATCAGCGAATTCAAAACAAGCTGATTTTGCAGCACTGTTTCCATTTATTGGCTGTGGAGGGAACGGTACAATGTTTGCATGCTACATCAAACTCTTTAATTAAAAAGAATAATAATAATAATAAAATTGGGTTTTATGTGATCTTAGGCGTGGTCCAAAAGTCCCCTAATGTAGCTAACAAGTATTGGAACGCCCCACCAATTAGCAAACTGTATGTTTTAAATCATCCCATACTTCAAACCTCAAACTGTGTCAAGCGGTTATCTGAAATAGACTGGTAGATAAAAATGAACAAAAGTAGAGAAATAATTCAGTGTTCAAGAATGCTGCTATAACTGTTTTTGTCTATGCAACTTGCCTTTGTCCATTTTTATAAATAACAGCATGGTAAACGACAAGGACTTTTTTGAAGGTCCCACTTTCAAAAACAGAAGCAAACAAAAGTGAAATTAAGCTGGATACTATTTTAGAGTAAGGCTGCAAGAAGATTCAGTGTAAGCAAAAGTGAAAATAAGAGCCAGTCTGCTCATGCTGATGGGGAGTCAAAAAGCAAAATGCAGCCAAACAGATAGTGATAGAGTTGTGCATGGATGGGCATGTGCTTTCAGATAAGCATGCAAGTACGTACTTAGAGAAGCGCTCAGCTATAGCTGTGTTCTTGCCCCGTGCTCCCACAATGGACAGCTCTTTGGCTGTGACGCGCAGGGACTGGGAGGCCCACTGTCTTCTGTCGAAAGAGCTGACTGCCATCGCTGATTCTGAGGCTGGAAGGAAGAAAGAAAACATCAGCAAATAAAGTCTTGTACGGCCTCCTTGTGTCCATGAAAAAGTCAAAACAGGTTGTTTTAACTTATTTATCATATTTAGATTATGTGGGCTGGGAGTGAGGTATGTTTTGAAGCTTAGTTAATGTTCACATAAAAAAAAAACAAAAAAAAAACTATTAAGTGTCTAAAGATACTGTTCATGAGAGTTTGTGTTGTTTGTAACTGTTTCGTGTTGATACTTTATTTTACAATTTTGTACATTTATACTTGAAATGTAACTGCTATGTACATGTATTGTTCAGTCATCAAACCTGGGAAACTGATAAGGATGATGAAGTATTTACTTTCGTTCTTTGTTACTCAAAAAGCTTTTGGCAGCAAAATTTAAAATAAAGCCTCTATGACACAAAGGGACCTGATTTGACTTGTCTTGACAACATAGAGAAAACAGAGAATTTTATGGGAACATTACTTTCTTCCTCTTACCCAGGAAATGAATCATTGTTCTGATTCGGCTCCAAACACCTGCTGCTCACCTGGGGTTCCGTCACCCACTCTCTCACGAGCTATGACCTACTTTAGATAGGAGTCAGTCAGGTGTCACTCGTACCTCAGGGCATGGCGTCTGAGCCCGTACTTGGTGAGAAATAGTGGCGAAACAGACTGGCTGAAAGCAAGTGGAAACTTGCATGAAAACTTAACCTGCAGACTGACTTACAGGTGAGATCTTCTTTCTAAATCAGCAGCAAGAGTGGAAAAATCTTAATGGAAAATGGAAAACACTGCATGATGCATTCACAGGAGAAGTGTGTCAAGATACAGGCAGGTATGTATGTATTCTCTTCATGACTACTGCCTTACTGACTACGGTCTCAGCAGCTATTGCTTGTCTAATTACTGATTCAATACTTTACTGAGTACTCGGGATGTAAAACTAACGTAAAGGTGGTAATTTAACTGCATTAATTCAGCAATGTTAGAATCAATTATAGCAATAATAAACATAGTATGTGCTCATTTTTGAATAAAATTCAATTCTTAGCAATTTTCAAACAATTTTCAATTGTTCCAACTGCCTAGCTCCTTTAGTTAGCCCAATTCAGCAACAGAGGTATCCACATAGATGGAACCAAGCCCTGGGGGGAATTTTTACTTTTTGGACCTGAATTACCCACGTCTGCTCATATTATCTTATATCAATAGTCACCAACCCCGTTCCTGGAGATCTACCTTCCTGCAGACTTCAGCTCCAACCCTAAATTGACCCCATCTGATCAATCTAATTACTGCCTTAAGAAGTCCTTGATTAGCTGAATTAGGTGTATTATATTTGGGTTAAAGGTGAAAGGAAGGCAGATCTCCAGGAGGAGGGCTGGTGACTACTGCTGATGACAACTACTGCCTCACAGAACATACTTACTGTCTTACAGACTTATTGCTTCACTTACTGCTACCACCTACAAACTGCTGTCTGACTACTGAGGTACTGAGGCTATAATTCTAAGTCTAGGCTAAAATAGCATATGAGCGATAAAGCAAATTCCTGACCCAGTATCATTACCACATACTGCACTAATGCCATGTGTAAAGAAGTTCACCGTCTTGCTGTAGATAACGGTGTACTTGAAGAGAATTGTGTGTCACTCAGACAGAAGCATGGCAAGCCCTGACACAGCAGCTGACTCACGCTGTCAATTCTAAGCTCATTGTGACTCATTGTAGCACAATATAAAAGCTATTCAAGTTTGGACTACAGTGAGTTTAAGGCCCTCAAAAGTTTTTGTAATGTCATGTTTTTTTGTCCCCACTTCCTTAAGGGGAGTTGCTGTGTAAGCATTTTATTCAGGTAAACTTCAGCAACACCACCTTAGCTCTTACTCTGTACTATCTGGCCTGATCTTCAGTCAGTCCTCATAAACAAAACACTGTAGCAGTCAACAAGACAAGGCAAGATAAGAGAAGTCTGAAATGGGCCCATAATCATAATTCCATATATTGTAAAAACCAAGGGCACTATACAGAACACTACTATAAAGAACAGAAATTGTAATTCAAGCAAATGATTTGTGAACAGTTAAATGGGTTTACTCATCACTCTGTGGTAACAGTCACACTGCCTGCTTTCACCACCACTATGAAATGGGAGACTCCAAAAGTACTACACTACAGAGTGAAAGGGGACGTGATGAGTGAAAAAAAATGAGTGAACCGTGTCCCATGACACATGGAAAGGCAGCTCTATTGAGAAGTGCTGGCTCACTGAGGCCCTTGGCTTACAGGATATGATTCAGATCCTGCTACATCCAAAACTCCCCCCACACAAAACCCTGAGAGGTCAAAGGTCAGCATCTTAAGCCATCAAATTCAACACAGGGGTTTTCCAGACGTGCTGAAGACGGATGCTTTGCTAGCCAGTCATCCTGCTACGGTAATTCATAAAATTTCACAGCTAAAGTAGTGTGGCTGGTCCACCATATCATTCTGCTGTAATGACAGGATGCATTGGGTCAACAAAACCACACCAACAGCACATCATGATATGACAGTCCCCCAACATCCCAGAGAAAGACTCATCCTGCTGCCTTCCTCCATGTCCCACACTTGCAAAGCAAAGACACAATGTGTCCCATCTTTTGTTGGTGACAAAGACATTAAATGTCAGTTAAACAAAAAAGTGAGATGTTACAATTAAGAAGAACTACATTCAAAACAGAGCTGAGAAGCAGTGGAAAAAAATATTAACACACAACAGAAAAAAATTCTGAGGATGTTATTCATGTTGACATTAGCCTATTAATTTACTCATTTTCATGAATATCACCAGGGGTTATTTCACAAAGCAGGATTTACCAGCAAGCTTGGTAATTTAAGCCAAAAGCAAGCACTATCCAATAGAAACACCCCTTTGCTCTCCACTTATTAGACTGGTCTGACTTTGGACTTTAGTTATCTTGCTAACTGAGAATACTTTGTAAAATGCAGGAGAGATAGTTGCTTGTCCTGTACTACTATCAACTGACAGTACAAAACAGGCATGACAAATAATGACTTGCTCCACAAGAGTACATACCTTAAACAAGTGCACTGGGTAGTTGGTCAATCCTCCTCTTGTTGTCAAATGCTTGAAATATGTAGGTTTTAGGTTGTTTCCTTCACTGATTGCAGGCTGCTGCTGTCCTCCACCGTGTGTGAGCTCAGTCTGAGCGGTTTTTGGCTATTACACACTGTGTGAGCGTGTATGTGTGGGAGGGTGAAATACTGTGGCTCCTCTCAGCCAATGAGGATACAGCTGTCTTTCACCTAGCAGGTAAAGCTTCATCCATTCAAAGCATGCATCATCACCCCCATCTTTTCAGACACTATCAGCGTGGCCAATCAGGGTGACTCAACTCCAGACTCCCTTGGTGGACTGGGAATAACCCTCACAGTTCCTGGAAATAGCATTTAGTCTCCACTTCCTTCTAAATGAAATCATAAATCTGAAAACAAGCACAAATCACAATTCTTGAGAAACTTAATGGAAAAAATCTTTTGACTTTGTAAAGTAGGTTAAGTTTATGTAGAGTTCATTTTATGTCCTAATATGAAGAAACAAAGACCATGGAACACTATTGTCCAGAGGAAAGAATTGAAGTTAAGGGGAAACCCAGAAATCAAAGTGTAGCTGTTGCTGAAAGAGTGCAAAGAAAAGTGCCACAATACTTGTACTAAACTGCCTCAGCCAAAAATCAGTTTTTTCTCCTTTTTTGTCCTTGCCCTTTACGTAATCAAATGATATTTGCTTTTTTGAGTTGGCTAATGCATCTAAAAAGTAACTGAAACCTATAGCCACTAGTTTAGAATTATGTAAATTGAATAAATCACCACCCATCATTGTTATACATAAAAATGAACAAAAAGTAGGGACAAAATTCAGGCTTCCACTGCTAATATTGTTTGTTGTACACTGTGCATGTACCAGTTTATATAAACAAAAGTATGTAAAATACCACATAAGTATGTCTGTTTGAAAACGTTAAGGCTAGCGTGTGGTTTGGATATGCAGTTTGCATGATGCTAGTTAGTGGGGTGTGACCTTCTATTACTTGTTACATTAGCCTTGTAACTCCAGTGGAAAACTGAAAGAGGAAAACTTTGAACACCAAACAGGTCTTGGCCAACTAACTGCATTTGGGATAAAGGGAAAACAGAGTAAATTTGCTTCTGGCTGAAGCACTGCATTAGACAGTTGAAGCTTAAACAGATTTGAACTGTTAAGTAGTGCAGACATGCACAATAACCATCCCATGGCAAAGCTTTTGGGGGATAGCCTATTCTGTCTTGGCCAACAGTGCTGTCTACATGAATGTCTCATCACCATAATCCTAATCACATGGATGGCTTGTGTGAGGGTGGGCTTGGCACTACATGCCTTGAGCTAACTTCTCTCGACACAGAAGCACATCTTAAAAGGGGATTTAGAGCTCTGGCGCAGTACTTCACACTGTTTAAGGTGGAGCCCAGTGAACATTTTGTATGGGGCAAACATTCTGAACGAAGAAAAACATCTGGCTGAAAATCATTTTTTCCACTATTTTGGCCTTACTTCACATTCAATCAGTCAAGACATGTTTAGAGTCTTTGCTTCTCACGGGTTTTGCAATGGACCTATGAGGCTAACTTAGCCAGCACCAGTTTGTCTGAACCATAGATATACATACCTAGATGCCGCATTGCCTGTTGTTCTCTATCTGAGGCGATACGTCTGAACGTCTGCCACGTTGGAGCGGTCAAAATCCGCGTGTGAACAAATTCACTTACATTGAGAGATGAATCTCAGGATTAAATCATCCACAACTTCCTTATTACTCAACCGATTTTCACCAAATTTGTTTTGTTATAATCCTCAGACATAGATAAATGTACAGACTGCTCTCGGTAGCTGTCATTTCTTTAATAACTGATTGTGATAATTAGCCGGACCTGCAGGTAAGTATTCAGTGTGCACCTGATGTTAAAACCTGAGTTTAGCGCGAGAAACATAATCCCACAACCAGCAAATCCATCAATGTGTGAATCACTTCTGATCTGAATACACATAAAAATAAAATAAACCCCCCCAAAACACAGTAAGAAGGACGAAACTAATGTTGGCTTCCTATTCACCAGCTTCTTGTTCAAGTTCTCCCGTTCCACCTTAAATGGTGCAGCTGTCACTTTCTGGTGCCTGAAGCTGCACCATTTAAGGTGGAACGGGAAAATTCGAACAAGAAGCTGGCTGATGCACCATTTAAGGTGGAACGGGAAAATTTCAACAAGAAGCTGGCAAATAAGAAGCTAACTTCAGGTTCTTGTAAGAAGGTGCTTAAGTTGATCTATTATGAATATCACGGATTAATGCTATAATTTACCTAGCTACAAAACATTAACCATCACTGTAAATAAATATCTACTGCACACAGTTAAGATCCCCTGAATAGACTATTAAATGAAATAAGCTTAATATAAAACCAGAGGAAAAACAATCACATCAACAGGTTCTCTGTGCTTCACCAACCACACGGCCATATCTACACAAACATCACACAAACAATACACATCACACAAACATTAGCATGGATCGCTGTGTTCCCTTCCATTATATAATCATAGCCCACTTTCTGAGTGCAATATTCTTGAAATAGTGTAATTTTGGACAGTATCTTTCTTAAACTGCTGCTCTGTAATGCTGTAATGCTGTCCAGCAGCGATGTAGACCGTCATAAAAAGGTGGCGGCGTTGACGTGCCTGGCTGGACCCAATGCGGCATCTAGGTATGTATGTCTATGGTCTGAACGACATGCCTAAAACATCACACAGCTGAACACATGTAATCTCAAACAGACTTACTTGTGTGGTTTCTGAAACTATATGACAGGGGTGCCCAATCCTGGTCCTGGGGATCTACCACCCTGGAGAGTTCAGATCCCACAAACTTGGTTCTAGTTTTCAGATCCTCCCTGAAGGCCTTCGTTACCTGGATCAGGTGTGTTAGGCTAGGGTTGGAGCTAAACTCCACGATACACATTATGTAACAATATTTTTTTGACATCTGATAAGTTGGAACACTGTATAAGTTGGAATACTGAACTCAGCAATGCTACAGTTTAAAAAATGCTATCAAAAACTATTAATCCAATTATCTGTACTGAACATTTCACACACTGTGCTCCACAAAATCCAGGTAACTAGGACTAATGATAGTCTCTTTTTAATCAAACAAGCAGTTGGAAAGTATTTTTAATATTGCCCTATCCATGATATTTTCAGAAAAGCATACTGTGACATACTGTGATGTAATTTATCACAATAACAATAAATATCTATATTACACCGATCAGGCATAACATTATGACCACCTCCTTGTTTCTGCTCTCATTGTCCATTTTATCAGCTCCACTTACTACATAGGTGCACTTTGTAGTTCTGCAATTACAGACTGTAGTCCATCTGCTTCTCTGCATAATTTATTTGCCCCCTTTTACCCTGTTCTTCAATGGTCAAGACTCCCATGGACCCTCACAGAGCAGGTACTATTTGGGTGGTGGATCATTCTCAGCACTGCAGTAACACTAATGTGGCGGTGGTGTGTTAGTGTGTGTTGTGCTGGTCTGAGCGGATCAGACACAGCAGTGCTGCTGGAGTTTTTAAACACCTCAGTGTCACTGCTGGACTGAGAATAGTCCACCAACCAAAAATATCCAGCCAACAGCGTCCTGTGGGCAGTGTCCTGTGACCACTGATGAAGGACTAGAGGATGACCAACACAAACTGTGCAGCAGCAGATGAGCTATCGTCTCTGACTTTACAACTACAAGGTGGACAGTGAGTGGACACAGTTTAAAAACTCCAGCAACACTGCTGTGTCTGATCCACTCAGACCAGCACAACACACCACCACCACGTCAGTGTTACTGCAGTGCTGAGAATGATCCACCACCCAAATAATACCTGCTCTGTGGTGGTCCATGGGGTCCTGACCACTGAAGAACAGGGTAAAAGGGGGCTAACAAAGTATGCAGAGAAGCAGATGGACTACAGTCTGTAATTGTAGAACTACAAAGTGCACCTATATAGTAAGTGGAGCTGATAAAATGGACAATGAGAGTAGAAACAAGGAGGTGGTCATAATGTTATACCTGATCGGTGTATAACAATAAATAATGGCTAGATTTGTTAGAGGACTGATCTAATTCATTCTTCTTTTCCCAATATCCCATCAAGCATTTTCAGCTGATATTGTCCCAATACCAATATCCAAAGATACCATTATACTATCTCTACTTGTCACTGAACTATTCATTTATTAATGCATGTTTACATCAAGTTTACCCAAAATAGCAGGCCTACTGCAGCACTTCCTGAGGAACTCATTACGTTCAACACACAAACAAATATTTACAAGGCTGTAAGTTTAACTGGTCCTCTAGGGATGGTAAATAACTCAGCATGGCTGGATTCAAACTGATCTTCCCACGGAGACTTGCCCCACAGAGTCATATAACCACATGGGACTGGACTGCAGACATCAGTGTTTGTAAAACATTTACTATTGATCTTCTATGTGTACACTATCTGAAACATATCATGCCTAGTACTCTTTTAGGTTACTTAACTCATGGAGGTCAGTTTAAACACCATTCGACCTACTCCTAAGTCTCAGGAACCCATAATACATGTTCATAACACACTCCTGTCTCTACCAAAGCATTCAAAGCAGCCACTGACCTGTAAAATCAGCTCAATAAGGCACGACAAAATGTTCAGGTACAGTAAAGCCTAAACTAAATCACAACCGCTCCTCCCTCATCTTCTCCCGCCCACTCAGTGGGCTCTTCCTGGAAGAACATTGTGAAATGAGCATGAAGGAAAAAAGGTTTTCATCTTGCCTCCCCACAATTCTGGAAACAAAGCAGCCAAGAGACGCCAGACGGTTTCAAGCTGTAAACTGTCAGAGGTACTTGGAGGCTGCTCAGTAGGAATGGCAGCAGTGTTGTGACTGGAAGGCTGCTGGTTTAAACACTGCAATACTGAATAAGGCGTGTTGGAGCAAGAAAAAACGCAAATACATGCAGTGCAGATGAAGGGACACAGGACCTGGAAAGAGTGCACTGGGCTACAGGTTCTAATCACAGGTGTACATGTGAGAGACCTAGACTGAAGCGAGGTTGCCTGGTCACTATGTTGGTACTCCATTACCGTGCCGTAAAATCACTGATTGTCTACGGATATACTCAATTTATAAAATGCATTTTACAAAACCATGTGCCGCATTTTCCTGCATCAATACCAAATTTAAGGGTTCAGCTTGTAAGGCTATCTGGTCCATTACTTCATTGAGTAACTGACCAGCGGTGGATGTGTTCAATTTTGCTGAAGCACTACAATGCATTTCTAGTTAAGTCTTTGACTAGGCCTACTGCTTTTGAGTTTAATTAAAAAAAAAGTATGCCACAGTATATCATGAAACTATATTATATTATACATTTTTGTATTACAGTACATATTAGTTTTCTAATGTCTTATTTTGCTTAAATGAAAAACACCTGGGTGATTATGCAGCACTGGAGTGACTGCTGAGAACTACCAGGGTTTCTAATATGTATACCTATTTGTCTAGCATGGGACCTGCTTTAACAATCAGCACTGGTAAATCTGACTTTAAGTAAAGGCACTTTAATGTTAAAGTTCCCCTAGGGGTGCTGCAGCCTCTACAGGCATTCACTGTACAGTACTGCAGTTATATTGCTACATATTGCTATTGAGATTCACCTAGCAGTATATTAAAAACATAGTGAATCAATAGAGTGACACAGATAAAGACTGCCTAGCATTATTTTAACCAAAATAATTGACCTTGCTGAACTGCTTGATACTTCTAAACACCCACAAAAATACTTATCTGGAACTGTAGTCAGGATGTTCACATCATGCATGTAACTCACACATTTGCACTAAAGATTAACAAACGATATACTGTACAGCACTAGTACAGCTGTGTGGAGCTGAATTTTTCTGAATCTAGCCACTTCATACAGATGGAAAACACTTGACCTAACAGTGCTACAGTCCAGGTTCTTTCCAGCATATTCTGAGTCATGTCTGGGAGAAACGGAACCCTATCAAGGAAGTAAACGTCCGTCTGAAACAACTTCACCTTTCCCTTAAAGCCCCAGGCCTCTGGAACTGCTTATTTCCTTCAAGTCTGTTAACTAAAAAACATAGCACAGTAACATCATGTACATTTAACTGGCCATCATTTACTGTTTTACTCTTTACTTAGGGACAAAGACAGACAAGGAAAAAAAGTATGAGGTTTGTAATGACAATCCTGTTGCATATATATTTAAATATACAGTACAATTACAATGTTTGAACAAACAAGCTGTGCTGACCCCATGTGCGAGAGGCTAGACATTTAATTCATGAAGCGCTACTGCAATATCCTGTCATCTACAGTACATAAAGCCTTTCAGTGTTTTTGCTCCACGATTATTGAAAATGCAGACCCTTTCCTTTACTTATGTTGCTTGTTACACATGGCTACAATGATGGATGAATGAACGAAAAGAAATGCACATCTACCTGTAGTCATCTACACTCATGTTGAGAAGAGCCACCAAATCCATAAGTGATGGATTTATTTATATTTCCATTCACTTCATAGATAGAATAAGAGTCCAATTTTAGTTTGGTGTTATAGTTTCAATTTGAGACTAACATGATCCTCTTCCAAAAATCAATGATAAAAGATATCCCTTAAACTGCAGTATGGGCACAAATTAACCTTCTGTCATGTACTGTGTGACCCATCTTTTTGTTAGTTATCCCATGTCCTGTGCAGCCTTTGTCCCTTAACAAGCTTTATGTCATCTGGTAAGTTGTTCAAAACACTGGTTCATAAATCTATAGCTACAGCAACAACTATGTAGCAAAATATTAAATGTTAGAAATCAGTGTGCAGCTGATCCTAAACTGCATGGACTTTACATGCTGGTTTACCTAATGTTACGGCACCAGTGTGGTGACCGTAGTGCTCCCCCTGCTGGGCTGGTCCGCCTTGCGTCAAAGGTGCTGCTCCATTGGCTGAAATCACCCGCGTCGTTCCCTACGTCGATTATACGAATATCACAGATGAAATGGTTTGACAAATTATTCCACAAGGGAAAATAGTGGTCAATCTGAAAACAAGTTTTCTTTCTTTGGGGATTATTTTACCTTAGAACACTCATATCATTCTACCATGAATGGATTAAAATAAACTGATTAAAATACATTTTAAACCAAAAAATAGAAAAAAAACTACTGTTGAACAATGTCTCAGACATCAGAGCGTATTCCTAACCATTTAAAATAATAATTTCCTGTGAGTGAGCTTTTAGAGGTGGAGGTCTGGTTCCTAATACCACCACTGTGAACAATACTAGCTCTGAAAGTTTAGCTAGAACGGAGCTTTTCATACCAAACCACTCTGGATGATTTTCTTGACGTTAACCTTTTAATTATGCAGAAATTATGAAAAATCGGTGGAGTTCCCCTTTAAATAGCAGCACATATCTAGCTGGCCAACACTAATTGATACGAAGACTGGGGCACTCCCAGGGCTGCTTAATTTCAAGGGGGACCTTCTGAATAAGGTATAGTTAGGATGAAAGTTAGCTAACCAAAGAGCCTGTATCCACCATTAACCTACTTGATATTACATACAGGTAAACGTTACTTGCAGCCACTGTTCCCGCATCATTAGTAAGATTTAACCTCCCTCACAAAGAGGGGATTTCACGGGAGTACGTTATCTAGCTAACAAGCTAGTTAAACACCAAAAGCTGAATAGCTAACTAGCCGCTTCCACTAAATACGGTCTTAAATAATGAGCTGATGATATAACGTTACTTAAATGTCACAGCTGCAGTAGCTAAACAGGAAATTAATGGCATATACTAGATGGTATGACGTCAGGGCGGACCAGCTGGGCAGGGGTCAGCTGGGTCATCTCAGTGGACCAACGCTAACATGCTAACTTACTGCTTGTTGGCTAAATTAGATGTTACCAAGCAAAGGTAGACCGTCATTCGCTGTCGAGATTTGCTCGCTATCAGATCACTCTGCTTAAAACACCTAAAGAAAAATAATAGCTATCGTCGTCAGTGCTATCCTAACGTCACCTCATTAAGGAACAACACAACATACCACATACGCACGTTAAAAAACATAAACTAAGGTTATACAGATATACATAATTATAAGTCTATTAATAAACACTAATATACCTCGGAATATTTTCTTCACCTGTACTGACTGAAACGGTCGTTGAACTGAGCTCGTGCTGACCTGATGACTTTCCGTTGAGTTTTAAATTTGAAACTAGTTAGTGTGATGGTGCGCGAGGGGTGCAGAGCAAATGGATTAATCGTTGATACATTAACCAGCATCAGGGAAAAAATCATACATACTCTACTGAGGGAATACGTTTAAACTGTGTGTTTAGTGAACTGACCTACTACTCTGACCTTTACAATTAAACATTGTTTTAATCGTGATGAAGGACCGGCTGGATACGCTTCTCCTCTGTGGTGGAAGAGTCCGGCGCATTAATACTTCCGATTCCAATGTTTCCTTTTTAAAAAAGTCAGTCCTCACATAACAATAACGACGGTGTTTTCTTTGTGCAGTAAGCTAAATGTAAATCTTTTTTATTAAACTGAATGTATCTTTGCTGAAAATGTGAAAAAAAGTAAATAAATGTGTAGAATTGGAACTACTTTTCCTTCCGCCCTTTCTCGCTCTGCTGCCGACAAACACGAGCTCAGACAGATCTGTTTCAGAGTTCACCCCAGTAAAGAGGTCAGTTAATGTGGCAATTTACTTAATAATATTAGGTTTTTATGTCCACATACTGGTTTTCCTTGCAGAAGTCACAGTGAAATGCCCATTTTATGTGCACAAGAACACTTTTAAAAGTATCAGTGAGCCACTGGTATCGTGATTTTTGCAATTAGTGCTATTGCCCTTCCCTACTGCGTAGCCCTAGTGCTGTTTCACCTATGTTTGTTATGTTTCTGCTATTTTCCAGAACATTTGCAACAAACTGTATTTTTATATGCTCAGCAAGTGGTGGGGACAAAATGAGGCACTCAAAGTGGCGTGGCATCCATATCCCCAATGAACTGTTTTAGTCAGAATCAGTCTTTATTTTAATATAGTTTACATATGATATAGTTGAACTCTTGTACACGTTTGTTTCACATAAAATAAAGGTTTTGGTTCAATCTATGGAGCCTATCCTCCGTCCTGTTGGTGGCAGCAGAGAGCTAGCAGGCCAGTCACATTGCACGTCATCAGAAGAGGAAAAACCAAAACAAACGAAAAGCGCCCTTCGTACAGATCGCAGCAGCAGTTTAGTCACTTGAAGTCGTCGCTGAATTGTATGTACATATTTAAACAATCGTATGTCCAGACGTTACATATATTCTCAAAATAATGATCTAAAGATCAGCAGTTGTAGCTCCGTGAAACCGTTTGGGCTACAACATATTATGTTCTGCGGAGGTAAACTAGGTTAGCTTCCGTTTATTTACATATTACAGTAAACACTGTTTTTAAAAGATGGATAGTACCTGCTCTGTGAGGGTCCATAGGGGTCCTGACCACTGAAGAACAGGGTAAAAGGGGGCTAACAAAGTATTCAGAGAAGCAGATGGACTACAGTCTGTAATTGTAGAACTACAAAGTGCACCTATATAGTAAGTGGAGCTGATAAAATGGACAATGAGCGTAGAAACAAGGAGGTGGTCATAATGTTATGCTTGATCGGTATATATATATATATATATATATATATATATATATATATATATATATAAGGAAATCTACTGAAAATTGTTCATAGTGGTGGAAGCACACGTCTGAAGGGTTTAATAATTCCTCTAAAAGCTCTCTAGCAGAAAGTTATTTCATAAAATGGCTACAAATACGTGGCCTGATTCCTGAGACATTGTTTTATGAAAGGTTTTGGCCTAAACCCACTTTTAAAAATACATTAAAGGTGGAGAGGTACATGCAGGGTGTTGTTAGGCAAAATAGTCCTCTTTTTCACAGACTTACTACTATTGTCCTGTTGTCAACATAACATGTAAAAACTTAGAGGACAAGTGGAGGCTCATTGGTCATTATAGACAGCAAATATAATAGGTATATTTACGTTGTAGACATCACAACCCTTGGTTCCTGTCACCACCACTGTAAAGAAATCAGAGCTGGTTTCTCTAAAATGTATCAGTTCACTTCAAACTGCTCTTGACTTTGTTTTCATTTCAGTAATTGAATTACACAGAAATTTAGAAAAATAGATGGATTTCCCCTTTAGACCATCAGTGGCTCAAGATCCTCGCAGCGCACACAGAATATTTTTAAGGTGCTTTTTAAATACTGCAATCTTTTGTCATACATGTGCACTAATGTCCTGCATTCTGTGCCTCTATACAAAGAAACAACAAATGTTGGAATGCAGTAGTACTTGCCCCATACATCATTATGCACAAAGATGGGAAAATGAGTAGGTTGTGTGTTAGATATGATTAACAAAAACATCACTTAGATAATTTGAATACAAACTGGAGATGACTATTAGAGTATTTCACAAGGACTTCTGAGTTAGCCAGATAACTTGAGCCCAAAGATGAGGACTGTCCTACTGGACAGTCAGTAGTTCTAGTACTATACACTAGGTTAGCTCTCCTCCAAAAAGCTTGACTTTTAGGCTAGGTTGTCTGGCTAACTGAAAAATCCTTCTTTTTCCCCATGAACTAGAATCCTCATCAAAGGCCAGTCTTCCTTGCTGAAGGGGAATTTCACAGATTTTTCAAAATTTCTGAATTCAGAATTCAATCATTGAGATGTAAACAGTCATTAAGAGTGTTTGATGTGAAATGATGCACTGAAACCAACCCAGATGTCTTTACAATACGGGGTGATAGAAATGAGGGGTTGCAATGTCTATGACACAAATATAGCCATTTTAATTACCATTATCCAAAACCTATTTGTGTCTTATGAGTTTTTATATGTAATGTTAATTAGGGTAAAATTGAAGTAAATTGCAAAAAATTAGTTACCTTTGGGTAATATTTTTGCCTTTCAATGCTCTGCATGTACCTCTCTGCCATTAATAAGTTTTAAAAATATGATTTAGGCCAATCATGAAAATGTGGTAAAACCACATCTCAGGCATCAGGCAATGAGTGAGGCTGCTTTTAGACGCATTAAACCTTTTGGACATCTGGTTCCTATTATCACCACTGTGAACAATTCTGACACTTTATGTTTCTCTGGAATGGAGCTGGTGCAGGAATGTTCAAGATCTGTTTTCAATAAGTACTGACCAGAGTTAGGAAGTGGAAAAAAACAAACAATAATAAAAAGAAGTTATAAATCAATTAAGAAGATCAGAGATCTGAAGATACGGAAAGTGTACACAGCTTTTTAAGGATCTCATAACACAGTAGGATGGTACAAAGATCATTGGATAATGTAATAATTGACTAAAAATGTAATTGGAAGGGGTTACGTCACTGGTCTCTAGACAAACTAAGAATTGGAACATGCTGAAAAATGATTGGCCATCTATAACATAATTGTTGGATCTAATACTGTAAATGGCATCAAATCTTCTAGAAAATTTGAGCTTGTGTTTACATGCAAAAGGTTAAATGCTGACAAGCAGTACAATTCATATATATAGAAGCAGTTCCAGATAGCCTTAGAAAACTAGGGCTAAATTTGTTCATATAGAGAAGTGCAAGCATCTGGATCTCATTCCAAAGTGACCTGTACAAATATGATCAAAATGATCAAACATACATAGGATTCAAATCAGATCTGACTAATATCCGAATCATATCCCTTAAAATCATTTTGACTCATAGTTCTTTTATAGTTAACGATTTACAGAAAACACGATTAATACCCATTGATTTGATCTAAACTTTAGCAATCAATCAACCTATAACTGGATCAGTTAACCACCTCAGAGCCACATCAGACCAGGAGTGTTTCACATCAAACCACTCTGAATGACTTTATTTACATCTAAACAATTTAATGATGCAGATATTTTTAAAAAATGGTGGACTTCACCTTTAAACAAATAAACTAACTTTGACTACCCAATAGTGGTGATGCATTGATTTCAGAATGTTAGAATCAATTTTAATTGATTGGAATATTCAACAGTATGCACTGATTTTTGTCTGCATTGTGTAAGTAGTTCATCCCGTTATATTGTTGTTTCACAATGCGATGAATCGTTTCCTAAAACTGAAATCAAAATGTTTTGAGGTCAGAGATTTTCATCCCTACAAACCAAGTGTCACAGATTTGTAAAATGTTAAAGTACCTTTAAAAATGATAAATAGTGTAAACTGTTCTTTATGTTTCTGCTTTTTAACAGGTGAGCTGGAGAAACGCATCTCCTGACCATTCCAAAAGAACATAAGGAACGATGGATGAAGATCCAGCAGGTGGCACTAGGATCATACAGAAGTTTAAGCCTCAGCTCATAGATGCTCTGTGTGGAGATGCAGACTTTGTGCTCCAGCATTGCCATTCGCTCCGCTTACTGTCCAAGAGAGAGTATGAGCACGTCAAAGCCACTGCTGTCCCGTCTGAGAAAGTGCGGGACATCCTGGATTTTGTGATGACAAAAAACAGCAAATGTGTTCAGAGCTTCCTGGATCTCTTAAAGAAGAATGAAATGCAAGAGACGTTTCAAAAACTGGGCTTCCTCAAAAAGCTGCCTCAGAGCAAACCACAGACTGCAGGTAACCACATCAACCATTGTCATGTGAAGCCTCAAAAAAGAATTCCAAAAGGAATAGTGAAATGTAAAATAAATTTAAACGATTTTAAATATGTTTGACTTTCAGAGAAGAAGAAGACAAAAAGAAAAGGAAATCTGCCAGCAGAAGAAGTGCCACTAAAGCAGCCACGCAAAACCAGTGAGAACCAGTTTTCGAGTACAAGATTTACTTTTTAAAAGAAAATCCCCATTAGTTCAAAACTAGACTTTCTGGATTTTGGATAATAAAAAATATTCTTGCTACTTGCTATAGATCTTTCTGTGAGATGTACACTGTCGTTCAAATTTGAAATCAGTTGTCATGTTAACAATTTTTGTTATATTCTTACAGTTATAACTTATTGAATATAGATTTATATGTAATAAACTAGACCCCAAATGTATTTTTAGTATTTGTATTAATATTCCAGATGTGTTATTCATTATTTCATGCATTTTGGGAACAAATTCTGGATTTCATATATTAATTTTATTATAACTTCATTTTTGATGCTATATGGTCATTTTAAATTAATCTATAGCACTGATCATCATTTTGGATGCTTCTATCAACATCAACATCAACATTTTCAATTAAATAAGACCAATTTTGTTGCAGGAAAAAGTTGTAAATGGTTCTAATAAGTCAGTTCTGTGCAACATCACAAATTTCAAATAATCTATTGGATGCTACGAAGCTGTAGGAAAAAAATGTAGATGTGTCCAAAATGATAAACAGATTTGTCGACTATAAGTGAGAAAGTTGTGTAAGTTCAGAATGTCAAATTTTTCAAAAAAGGTGGGTTTCATTTAATACTTTCTTGTTGATCCCAAAATATATGAAATCTAAAACTACCTATTGGTGTCTAGTTCAAAACATTTAAATCTACATTGCATAAGTTATCATTGTATATGAAAAAACATCAATTAATTGTATTCAATTCCAAACCTTTGAACTTTAGTTAATCTGCATCCACATTTGGTTTTATTTCGTTGAAAGCTTTCCAAATATTTGAACAGAGATGTTTGCAGTCTCTGTAACATGGTGTTCTTTCCCTCAGGCAGTGGAATGGTGACGGAGAAGCAGCTGATGCTGGTGGCTCGCCACATCGGCAGCAGTTGGAAGGAGGTGGGCAGGGCGGTCCTAGAGATCTCCACCACCAGACTGGAGCAGATTATGGAGGAAAACCCCCGCAACCTCAGAGAATGTGTGTTCACCATGCTGCGAGACTGGACCATGCGTGAGAGGGAGAAGGCCACAGCGGACCGCCTTCACTCCCTTCTCACTCAGGAAGAGAACGCAGTGGTCCCTGGGAGCATAGACTTCCTGCTGGAAGGCAACTGAGCTGCCATGCCACTCCCAGATCAGCTAGATCAGGATAGGAGGAAAGTAAGGGTGCTGCATGGGTTAGTGTTCTGGGTTGTAAATCTTTAGAAAACGATTCAGTGCCTTCAGTGAACTCTCAGATTTCAGCACTGTTCGGTTTGTCTGTGATTCCTTAGAAACGATTCAGTGCATCATAAACTTAGGCTACATTCACATTACAAGCTTCATTGCTCAAATCCGATCTCTCTGACACAATGGTTTACACTCGTTTAGGTAAGTGATTTAAATCTGTCGTTAATGTGAACGGAGGGGGCAGTCATGGGCTGGAGAAACCAGCCTTGTGACCAGAAGGTCGCCGGTTCGGTCCCCTGTGCCGACAGTATGTGACTGAAGTGCCCTTGAGCAAGGCACCTAACCCCCAACTGCTCCCTGGGCGCTACGGACAGGGCTGCCCACTGCTCCGGGCAAGTGTGCTCGGCGCCCCCTAGTGTGTGTGCGTGTTCACTAGTGTATAGTGTTTCACTGCATGGATGGGTCAAAATGCGGAGGTCATTTAATTTAATTTAATTTAGGACCGGCGTCCTGAAATGATCCCCATGCGCACATCCTACTCAGTAATGTCACGTGAATAAATCACGAGCATCATGAGCAAACAAACTAACGAGCAGAATGAGCCTTCGCTGTGAAGACAGTTAACTCTGAAAAGCTCTCAGCTGTTCATTATTAGGGCAAGATGAAGGCGGAAAAGGTGAGATGTGCTGCTTTTCCACCCTTTACAGGCTTTAACTTCTGTTCAGTGCTGCTGCCATGGTGACGCTGAATGATGGCACACGCGCAGTGGAAAAAATGCACATGAATTCCAATCTGAACGTTCACATTAAGGTCGCATGGCCACAAATCAGATACGTATCCGATCTAAGACCACATATGAAAGTGGCTGAGGTCGGATTTGAAAAGATCAGATTTGCGACTCCACACAGCCCTGAAAACATCAGATCTGAATCACATTAGAGCAAAAAAATCCGATTTGTGCCACTTCAACCTGGTAATGTGAATGTAGCCTTAAATTTCATCTCAATTTAAGTATGATTCTTTATGAAATGGTGCAGTGCATTTGTGAATTTTTTCTTTTTTTTTTTTTTAACCGCTATACGGGTTTGACTACAGCTCTTTAAGAAGTGATTCAATGCATCAAAAATTCTCTTATTTCATTAGTATTCAGTATGCTTCTTTAGGAAATGATTCAGTGTGTCATAAAAACTCAAAGTTCACTTTGTTTCGGTTCAACTTTGATGCTCTAGGAAATGATTCAATGCATCTTAAACTTCAGCACCATTCAGTTTAACTGTTTTTCTTTAGAAGGCGATTCAGTGTGTCATAAAAACTCTCAAATTGCATCATTTATATTCAGTTTGAAGATGATTCTTTAAGAAATGATTCAGTGAATTATGAAATCATGAATCACCACTGTGGGATTCAATTAGATTATTTTGATAGTGCTATATATTTATATATATTTATATATACATACACTACTTATTTTCACTCAGAAAACCAACAATCAGTTAACCATAAAATTTAAGCCAAATAGAAAAAAGAATAGACATTTCTATTAGATGCCCAACACACCAAATCCTGCCTCATGAAATCCCCCTCAGGGACTTTTGTGCATTAAATCAGTCTTAGAGAATGGGAAACAAAGTCTGGGAATTTTTTGTATCTGTTGTTTTTATCTGTTTTTGTTTTATCTGTTTTATATCTGCATGGGTAAACTATGTGGTAAACATGTCTACAGTTGCCTCAGTGGTATAAGAGCACTGAAGGATCTTTTAGAGTTTAGAAGAGTGCACTGTTAGCTGGAATTTTTCTTTATTCCTACCAGGAATATTTTGTCTGCTCTGCATAACTTTTCATGTGGGTTTCGCTACATTCTGTAATGCACTTTGTGTATTTTTATATCTATAAGAACATTTTTACTTGCTGTTCAAAAGATTGTGTATTAATTGTGTTAATCTCTTTTTGTATTAAGTGTGTTCATCTCTTTAAAGCAATATTCTTGGTATGGAAAGCATGTGCTTATTTTCTCAAATCAATGGAATTCTAATGCGGTCCATTTATTTAAAAAAAAAAAAAGAAGCAAAATAGATTCATGATCATCTTATGATTTGGTTTTTATTCGTAAAGAGAGGAAATACCAAAACTTCTTAAAGCAGCTTACTCTGAGGAGTTTGGCACATTTCCAAATGCAAACTAAGCCTGTTTTTGCACTATATTATACTGTAACTAGATTTTTTTCATTTTTTGGAGCATGGAGAACAATCACAGCATTCCAGTTACTATCTGTAAGTAATGTTAATATAAAGATAAAACTAGATTTAATGTGTTTTTTTTTTTGTTTTTTTTTAACAGTGTGGCTAGGGTTGGTTTCCCACATGCGGATTAAGGCATTTTCTGCAGTAATGTTGGAGGCTGTCTAATTAAAACTGCTTTGATTGTGGTATTTGTCCAATTAAAACTCCTCTTGCTTTACAACTGGGAGACTTAGCTGTAACAGCTAAGCTTTTTCTCAGAGAAGCCCTGGCGTGAGAAACGGGGAGGGTTTAAAGGGATGGCTTTTATGTTCCAACTTAAACAGTTATCTAGTGGTTCTATGGTGACCTTTGTTCTCTCGGCAAGTATCACGTTGTTTCACCCTGATGCATTTTCACCCTGGTGTTTCACCCTTGTTCACCCTTGTACTGTGAGCCAAGTAATCAGCTGGGAGGAGGGGTTTTGTACTATTCCGTTGCACCGTCATCAACTTGCTAGCGCTGCCTGACAGCATGGAATATTTTCATTCCAAGGCTGTTTAACATGCTTTTTCCTTCTCGTCGAGCTTCTGTGGGTAGAAACTTGCCATTAACATCAGTTACTTCCATTTTGAGTTATCATTTTTCACATTCATCGTTTCTTCTCACTTATTGATTTCCCCCTACTTGTTTCTTTATTTATTTTTCTCTTTTTTTGGCCTTGGGTCGGTTTTAAGTCAATAGGAAAAAAAGCATTTTGGTTAATTATTGTCATAGTGGTGAAAAGGACTGGAAGTTAACCAGTAACAGTTTTATCAGATTTTACAACATAATTTAGATTTTTGTCAGATTTACAATATTGTATTTATTAGTTTATGAGCTGATGCTTTAACAACTGTAGCCTCTACTTGAAGCATAATTTCCTCTAAAATAAGGAATATTATTCGCCTGGGCTTGAGTTCTTTTTAAAGTAGTTATGTGTTGAGACTTTTGAGGCTTTATATGTATTTGCTATAGCTTAATATATGACTTAAATGTGACTCTTCTCACCAGATTGTGTATAGAAAACCTTCACTGGCAAAAATGCCTTAGAGCTTATATTGTTGTTTTTACACCCCATTAAATATTTCATTTATTGCTATACAAAGCATATTACACTATAAAAAGTGGCTCGTCAGATCTACTTAAAAAATTACTTCATATGGTAACAAGTTAATTAACTAGTTTTATTCAACCTAAATAAATACTTGAATGATTCTTTCAATCAGTGTAGTTTTTTAAGTTGAATAAAACTAGTTCAATTGCTTGTTACCACTTTAAGTAATTTTTTACGTAGATCTGACGAGCCACTTTTTACAGTGTATGGCATTGTTGTTTTGATCCTTGCATGAAGATTCAGTCCAATATGATGGACTCATTCGTTGTGAATATTGCAAAACCCTGCCTTAGTAAAATTAGTAGGGAATTGTTTCACACTGAAATGTTTCCTTAAAGGGGAATTCCGATGATTCTTCAAAATTTCTGTACAATTCACTTATTAAATGTAAACACAGTCATTCAGAGTGGTTTGGTGTGAAATGCTCTGTTCTTGAGAAATTTTCCAAATCAGACTTGTTCACAGTGGTGGTGATAGGAACCAGATGTCTCAAGCATTTAATGCCTCTAAACGCTCCCTCACAGAAAATTATTACACAAAGTGATGACAATTACGCTGCCTGATGCCTAAGACTTTTTTTTTGATAGTTCTGAGATCAGGTTTTTAGCACAAAACATGTTTTTGTATATCCATGCATGGTGTAACAGTACATCCAGGCCACTGTAAGGCAAAGTAGTCCCCCTATTAGATTTTAAATAGTAGATTTACTACCATTTTATCATCATTAGCATTGCATATAAAAACTCATGGTTATACGTGGTTACTATCACTAAAACTGTCAATACATTTCTCTACAATAAACCTTTTACACCAAACCACCCTGAATGATATAGTTTATATCTTAACCACTGAAATATGCAGGAAGTTTAAAAAATCGGTGCAATTCCATCTAATGGGACAATCAATGATGAACCAAAACCAGTAAAACCCCAAACAGCCAGACAGGGTGTGTTATAAATTAGTTTTTAGTGACTTTAGTGACAGAGAACAACAGAAAGAAGTTATAGATCAAGGCATGAGACCAAAGATCTGAAGATCAGGGCAATTTACAGTGCATTTTAAGGGCCTCATGAAAATAGTAATCAACTAAAAATGTGATTAAAAGGGGTTACATCACTGGTCTGCAGATAAAATGCGTTTTTGAACTAACTGAAGCCTGGTTGGCTATCAAAGTAATTGGAACTGATGCCTTGTGGAAGCTTTTAGTTTTATACTTACAGGCGAAATTAACGCTGACATTTGGCAGAATCAAATGTAAGGTTGAAACAGGGCCCAGAATAAAAGTTCAAATTTGATCAGATAAGAGAAGTTAGAGCATCTGGGACTGTCTCAAAATTCGGAACTCAAAACTCTCGACTCTTTAAACTGTTCAGTCAGAATACACTTCAAAACATTCAAATATGATCAGTATAATCAAATATAGATATCACCAGCTAGTTAACCATACATTAGAAGTTATTGGATGGTTGATTCATAAAACATTAATGCCACATGCTTCATACAAATAATCATTGATAATCAACTATCACAGAAAAGTTAATGATTTCTTCAAAATGTTACCATAACAGGATACAAATCAGATTTAAGTAATAGCTGAATCATTTGCCTAAAATCATCATTTTAACTCCTTACTCATTTATAGTTAATGGTTTACAAAAATGCTAATAGCCATTGATTTGATTTTGACTTTAGCAGTTTATCAACCTATCCTGAATCAATTAACCACTATCTCAAACCATTTCAGATCACACCTCAGTGTGTACAGGGAAACAAAACATGCCAATACAGTCTGAATAGACCTATCAGTTTTCCCAGAAAGCTCTCCATGAGACATGAGCCACTGATAGTGACAGTCCTAGACAGACCCTCACATAGAGCTCATTTGAAGAATGCAACACTTCTGGCAATTCATTGCTGTTGGTACAGAAGCTTGTATGTCCATTTTTGATTCATTTGCTATCAGTTAAAAAATACCAGCTGTTCTTTATACTGTGTCAAAACTTCATAATCAATAGAAATGATTTCACATAAAATCAAATTGTATTAACTCGTGTCGAAGTATTAGAACGTTTATTGCTTCTCCTGTAAAGTTATACAAAGATGGTTATTTAAGGGTTCTTTAGGAATGGTTCTATTTAGAACTGTTTATTCTTAGATAGTTCTTTACATGATGTAATAGTTCTTCAGATTGATGGAGAATGTGCTGTAGATTTTTGAAAAGGGTTCTTCTACTATTACAATGTCAAACTTGTAACAATAGAAGAACCCTTTTTGATGCTGTATAGAACCCTTTTCAAAAAGGTTCTATGTAAAACCATAGACAACATATTCTCCATCAGTCTGAAGAATGCTTTCATGATGCAGAAAACCCTTTGGTCATGCAAAAGGTTCTTTGAGTGTCAATGGTTCTATATAGAACCATTTTCTTTACTAAAGAACCTTTGAGGAACCACCTTTTTGAGAGTGTTGTAACCAGAAAAGAAGCCTTTTTGGTGCTATATAGAACCATTTTCAAAAGGGTTCTATATAGAGCCAAACACATTTTCCATCAAACTAACTGGAGAACATGTAAGCATGAAATGGTTCGGTTCTAAATAGACCTCGTGGTTGCTATTACTAAAGAACCCTTGGAGAGCCATTCTTTCTAATAGCATACCTTTGTGGAGATACGAGATTTTGCCCTGACAGAGAGGATATTTATATGTATGTAATTAAGTAAGTAAAGTTTTTTCACTGTAAGATAAAACTATCCTGACTGTTGAGAAATGTTAGCGTTGCAAACAGGCTTATATAACTATAGCGTGGAAACAAATGTTAAAGATCCCATCACAGAGAAGTAGCGTCTCCCGCTACAGCGCATTTCTGCACTTTCCACGGTTCACATTGTTAAGATGGGCTATAATTTGCCCGCAATCCTAATTCAGTGCTATGTTTAGACAACTGCCTTTCTGAGCTATAGCTCGGCGGCTGTCACACTCCAGCCTCTCTCGTCCAATCACACGCTGGTGCGTCCACGCTCCTCACTTCTGATTGGCCCGCGGATCGCCTTAAATCAGACTCCAAAATATCAGGTTACGTATGGGCTCTGTGAAGTTAGCAGGCTACACAGTGGAGCACAGCAATGAGCACAACTGTTACCAAAGGTGAGAAACAGCCTGGCTGGCTTTGATAAGTGCTACTGTGGGACATGCGGATATTTTCCAGAGTGATGCGGCAGAAAAAGGTGGAAACTTTTTTTTGTCTGGTAAAATGCGTTGTAACTAATACAGCGGTGAATAGCTTTAGCCTTTATATGTGGGTTGACTTTAGCCGCGACTGTAAAAAAGTAGGGCGGAGAAGAAGGAACTACATTTCCAGACACAGCAGAGCTGCTAACTGGAACAGCACGATGTCAAGTGAACCTAGTAACCCTCCGCGGTAGCGCCGCGGGATGCAGACGCTGTCCGTGCTGAGGTTTTTATGGGAAGATTTTTTAATGGAAAACGTTTCACGTCGACTAAAACAGCCACGTTAGTTTGTAAAACGCTGTATAAGTTGCAGGGAGCTCCGTGCGGGCTTTTCTCAACGTGGCGGTTCCGCCCCATATCGGGTGGCTCTGGTGAAGAGGGGCGCATAATGAACGGAGAAAGTGAATGGGGGAGGGGCCAGGATGAAGGGGGCAGAGGCCCAAAGGCTCCATAATCTTTTATGGATAGTTGGGATCTTGTGGAGGTCCCGCCTCAGAGCTGATGTGGCCCATTTTAAGGCTGGTCCTGGATCAGCTGCCCTGAGGTTGACCACTGCTAAAGAGAGAATGCACTGAAAACTGATCTCAGATCAGTGGGGAAAAGGGCAGCTTTGGATGTAGGGATGTTCTAGCTTGTTTTAATGTAATTCTGTTGGCTGCTTATTTATCTGTGACTAAAGAATAAAATTATTTTTAAACATTTATTTATGGATTTATTCATTCTCCAAATCTCTTAGAGTGCAGGATGAATAATGGGGTGAATGGTCATTATGGTGAAACTGAGGTGGACCGTTCGGAGGGTGAGCTGTTCGTCTCCGAGGCTTTCAAAATAATCTTGGAGGAGGCAGTTCACAAGGCCACAGATGTGAAGGAGAAGGTACCATATTGCATGCTGTGGCTTTCAGTTATTATGTTGTTTTTTGGTAAACGGGATGCAAAATGTTGGACAAAATGATGAGATATGGGTGCATCTGCGTTTACAGGTGTGTGACTGGAAGGATCCAGAGGAGCTGAGGGCTCTGATGGACCTGGAGCTGGGAGAGCATGGAGAATCTCACCAGCAGCTGCTGCAGAGAGTCCGCGATGTTGCCAGATACAGTGTCAAAACAAGTAAGTGGCCTTCAAGACAGGCCAGATCACTTTGAAGAACCAAATCTCAAATGTCTAACTTCTTCCTGTGGAATGCGCTATATGGTTACTCAAAAACATCCCTCAAACTGTATTAGGATTACTTTATGTATTACTTCCAGCAAAAGTAATCTAACTACTCATTACATCTACAATTCTCTATAAAACCCATGCAAATCTGCACCACCTGGAAAGAACAAGCAAAAAACTTATTATTAATTTAGAAAGAAATTACAGTCAATCATTTATCCATCAGCTTAATATTAGCAGGATTAGATACAATAAAGTTGCACAGTCAGCTGGCACAGGTAACACAGTGTGCCCAAATTACACATTTAAATGTACCTATTATGGATTTAAATCCAAATTTGCTATTGCTGCCTTATAGACATGTGTATAACATGCAAAACAAAATTCTTATTACGTCAGTAACTGCAATGTTATTAAAAAAGTTTCAACTATAACGTGTTACGCTAAAAAAGTAATTAAATTACTGAAACTCATTACTTTGTATCATGTTAGCCCCAGCACTGACTATTGAGATGCCTGTCTAATAAGGAGCCATTTGGTATTCGGCTGAAATCGACAGCTTTTTCCTCCTCCACAGATCACCCTCGCTTCTTCAATCAGCTGTTTTCTGGAGTGGATTACTACGCCCTGACCGGGCGCCTCCTCACGGAGACACTCAACACCAGCCAGTAAGTGTGGCATAGTTGGCACAGTACACAAGAAAGATAAAAACATTGTTACCAGCAGCCTCAGAGGCAGATACACCCTGTAGGCCTGAAGTAGAGGATCTTTTATGATGCGCCTCCCAGTCTGAGTGCTGGTTTAACCCAGCGACTGCCCTGTTACATAAACAACAATCAGTCTGACCTCTGATTCTCCAAAACAGCACAATAAGGACAAGTCATTTTGCACTATTTCTCAATGCTGTGACGCTTTTAAGAAACCAGGCTTTGTTTTATGAAGAAGCCTTTATTCTGAGTTAATGTTATTTATTCCAAACTGTACTAGGACATTTTTTATAAAGTTAAGCTTTTTTTTTTTAGAAATTGTACCCTAGAAATAAAGAAAGAATAATATATGCATTAAAAATAATCTGTGCATTAATAAATATAGATGCACAGGCTAATTTTCATTGTATTCCAAACTTTCATTGAGGTTCAGTTCTTATATGGTGTAGAATCACCAAAATGTGGCATGAAGTTGTTGTCTATCTGCAATGTAGCTCAGAAATTTTCCATTAAACCTTGTATCAATGATTGTCAGATCAGTGCACTGCCTCAAGGTTATCAAATACGCTCATGTGACATCATTCAAAACTGGCCTCACATACCTGAAACACTTGAAACACTTGTGCCATGCTAAAGTAGATGTATTTAGTCATGATACTGGAACATACCCAAAATGTACATTCTGAGATTCAGAGATAAACATCATTTAAACTGAGAGAACATAATTTTAAAGATAAACTTTTGAGAATTTCATTGCATACATGTGTAGCACCATTGCCAAGATGCGACTCCAAGGGTCACTGCCTAATAGTCCAGGGTGGAATATTACTTCAAAGCAAGTCTGTCCATCCCTGTCTGGGAAAGCTGTAAAGCTGGATTCTTAGAGATAACTCATGTTTAACAGCATGTTTATTACATTATTCATTTACACACAAGCAAGTTTATTTACAGTACTGTGCAAACGTCTTTGGCCAGCTGAGAAAATTATAATGAAAGTTATACTTTTTCAGAGAAAAACTCTTAAACGTGAATTCCAGCAATGCAGTTTCTGCCCATTTCAGTTGTTGACACATTCATTCAGAAGAATTTGATGTGAAATGCTGCACTGTGTAGAAAATTATCGACTCAAGATTTCTTCACAGTGGTGGTGATATGAACCGGTGATTGCGGTGTCTGCAACACAAATACAGCATTTTATTTCGTATCTAAAGACCAGTGAACCTACACGTGTCTTCTGAGTTTTTATATGTAATGTTGATGATGGTAAAAAATACGAAATCTGAAAAATACATTTTGCCTAACAACGCCCTGCATGTTCCTTTCCACCATGAATGAATAAAAAACAGTTTTAAAAGTTTCAGGCCAAAGCCTTCTCAAAACTGTTCTCAAAACAATATATCAGGTAACAGGCAACACATTGGCAATCATTTCATGCAATAACGTTCTGTGATGTAGCTTTTAGAGGAAATAAATACTTCAGGTCTGGTTCCCATGACCACCACTATGAACAATTCTGACTCTGTAAATTTCTAAGAAGCATTTCACATCAAACCACTCTGAATGACTTTGTTTACATCTTAATGATTTAATTATGCAGAAATTCTGAAATTTTGAAAAATCAGTGTGTTTTCTTAACCATAATTAACCATGTGCTACCTTGTGTTGACTTAACCGTGCTTAACCACGGTTAATCATGCTTACTATGCTTATGGTGGAACTGAACAAATCCATGCAATGATTAAAACTGTAACAAGTAGAGGAACTGGATAACAACAAACTAACATCACTGAAAACAAAAAAACAATTACACAATTTTCTTGGCTGGCCAAGACTTTTGCCCAAAACTGTGTTCCATTGGCTAATGGCTATCTTACATTCTTTGCAATGTAGCCACATTCAGATTCATCCTGTACAAATCACCTGCAGGTACACCTATGAAGTGGCTCCAGTGTTTGTGCTAATGGAGGATGTAGTTCTCCGCAAACTGCGCTCCTTGGTGGGCTGGTCAGAGGGGGATGGCATCTTCTGCCCTGGAGGTTCTGTATCTAACATGTATGCCATGAATGTGGCCCGCTACTGGGCTTTCCCGCAGGTCAAAACACAGGGCCTGTGGACTGTCCCGCGTCTGGCTGTGTTCACTTCACAGGAGGTAAAAATAAAAACATTGTTTCTGTTGACAAGAACGTTCTTAAAATTAGCACCAAGTTTCAATTCAGATCAATTTTATTTTAATTATTTGACAGTTAAGCAAAAAAATTAATTACATTTTTCCCTTACCTTAAATCTAGTTGATCATCCAATACATGTTTGGTGTCCAAAGTTTGCTTCTTCAGTTTTTTGTACTTCTTTAGTTTAGCTACAAGGTTAACGAAGTTACTTGTTCACAAGTAAAGGAAGCTTTACCCACCTTTTAGCATCATGCAAACTGCATGACTAAGTTGTCACCAGTGGCAGTGTTATACATATTTCACTCACTTTTGTCACTTGGCCTCCCAAAATGACCACTCAAATGTACTTTTAACATGAAAATCTCATTGATAAATAAACCATACACCATATTACATTATATATGAAATATTACATAAATACAACTAGTTGTGCAACTTTGAAAGTGGCTCAATAAATCTAAACACATAAGTGTCAGAACAATAGAAAGAAATCGCAAAAAAAGTTGGAGTTGGAATTTTGGGCACCACTGGCCAAACTACATATTTTGTTTGATTTTTGAAGTGGAAAAAAGTACAACACAATCTCTGCAGCAAACAAAACTAAAAAATACTTCTTTTTTGACAATATTACTAGACAGTTACTTTATGGTTGATTAACTTAAAAATGTTAGACCTTTTTTAAAAAAAATCCAATTTTGGACTATCAGAATTGTTGTAAGGAATTGTCAGCTGATGACAATTCCAGAGCGAGATAAATTCTCTGACTCTTCATACCTTGTTCTTACACCCAAAAACCCTTGGCTCTTCTAAGCAGCTGGTTATCTGAAAATGAAACTAATTGATGCTTTCAAAGTAGGGGAAGGCTTTCAAAGTGCTCACATTTTCCACTGTTTGGAATGTCATTAAGAAATGGCAGTTAACCCCTTATATTCCCAGTCTTATTACATACTAAGGTTTGTTATTCAGGAACTACAGGGACTTCAGTGCAAACTGGCTGAGCTATTCTTAGGTTATAGAAGTGTATAATAATACTGCGGGACTGCTGGAGGGCCCTGTCCATGTAAGGGGTTAAGTGGAAGAAAGTGGAAAGCAAGATCTGGATGACCAGAAAAACTGTGGAAAAACAATGGAGTCTACTAAGTATCAGCAAATTCTGAAAGCAAATGTGACACATTCAGTCAAGAAACTGAAACTAAAAAGTGTCGCTTCAACAACAGGACAGTGATCCAAAACGTACTTCAAAATCCAACATGAACCACTTCAAGAAGTGCAAGCTAAGCTTCTAGAATGTCTTTCACAGTTGCCTGAATCTGAAAATCTGTGAGTAGATTTTAAACATGCTGCACACACAAAACGGCTCAAAAATATCACAGAACTAGAAGTGTTCTGCGGAAGAATGAATAAAATTTCTAAAACACAAAGAGAAAGACCTCTGTGAAATCTGCCAAAGGGTGTGCTAACTTGCTATGGTGTCCAGACTTTTGCACATCTCACAATCACTATTGTTTATGTTTCTTTTAAGTTAATCAAATGGAAAGTATCTGTGCATTAACATTAATGTTGTGTTGTGTTTTCTTCTTTTCACCTCACGAATCAACAAAATTTGTGAAATGGCCAGGGGTGCTCAAACTTTTATATACATGTTGGATATGCTGCTTCTTTGTGCACAGCAAGTTTAGATTTTTGCCTAGTTAAAAGTTTTATGTATTTCAGTTTTAGTTTTTCTTTTTCTTAGGTTACTTAACTAACGCCTTATAGCTATGGTTAGTGCTTTGTTGCATTTCGGTTGTGGGAGTGAAATTCAAAATTTGGCCCACCAGCAATTTCTCATGTGCATCCAAAACGGCAGGTCTAGTGCCGCTAATGCTCATCTTAAACCACATCAAACAGAACTATAAAAAGTATAAAAATAAATAAACATGTGGACGAAATTCAGACTTCAAAGTGGCTGCCACTGTCCATTTTTGTCATTTTTTTGATAACAGGACGTCACATAGCGGGAGAAACCACATCAATATGTATGAAGTATCTTATGATTTAGGCATGCAGTTTGCATTAGACTCATTGGTGGGACTTTTTAGATATATTAGCCTCATAGCTGCTGTCCAACTTCTCCAATACATTTAGGGTAAGGGGAAAATTGTGTAAATTTGATATTTTGCCAAACTATTGCTTTAATAAGAAGTCAAATTATGGAGCAAATAAAGTTGCAATCTACTTTTACTTTCAGAGTCACTACTCGATGAAAAAGTCTGCTGCGTTCCTTGGCATTGGGACAGAAAACATTTACCATGTGAAAGTGGATGAAAGGTACAATAGCCTCAGCAAGGCCTTTGCTGGTCATGTCTGCATATGCCCACGTCACCTGTAGCCTTCACTTCATCCTTCTCTAACCTCTCTGTACCCACAGTGGCAGAATGATCCCAGAGGACCTTGAAGCTAAAATTGTTCATGCCAAATCACAAGTATATGCATTATCCTTCCAACAGACTTCTTTGTGACACATTCACGCATTTGATTCACGCTTTAGAATTTAGCATGAAAATCTGGAACTGAGAAACACTAAAAACTAAAACTTTAATATTTTAGCTAGTTTTGTTATGTTCCACATTTTTGTAATGTCTGGTGTATGTCTGGGATGTTAGCTTCTGACTGGACCTTCTCTTTGTCCTGCAGGGTGCAGTGCCATTCTTTGTCAATGCCACGGCTGGTACCACTGTGCAGGGAGCCTTTGACCCCCTGGACCGAATAGCTGACATCAGCGAGAGGAACGGAATGTGGATGCATGTGGATGTAAGTGCCTGAGCACTTATTTATGACTTCAAAGGAAGTCATGTTACGTAAAAAGACCTGGAACAAAAGAACAAGACGTGCATGGGCACTAGTGTGAAGTAATGTCACTGAATATATAGTACCTTGAATTGACATAACTTCCTTGTTACAGATATATTCTTATGTAAGCTCAGCGTATTGATTCCATTGCCTGTCTGAACTGGCCTGGAGCAGAAGTCAAATTCCTAGAAAGATCTTTATCAGATAAGCCAGCCTTGTCCTGATAGTTGTCTTCTTCTCAATCTGTTCCACAGGCCGCTTGGGGAGGAAGTGTGGTGTTTTCCAAGAAACACAAGCATCTGATTGCAGGAATTGAAAGGTATCTAGATCACATATGCACGTACACTGGCCACACATCTAACTTGTAGGCCCACCTTGCTGATTACTTTAGCTCATCAGCTCATCTTTATTTTATGCACAGTTTGTGTTTTCTATCCTCTGGCCTCTCGTTGAATTGTCACACTTGGCTGGATATTTTAGGTTGGACCACACTTAAGGGCCACATGGTAGGGCCAACCTACCATGTCCATGTCACTGTTTGAGCTTAAAATATTGATCCGAACTAGTAGTAATTTATATCCCTAAAATGAACTATATCAAATATATCAACTAAAATGTCTGATGGTTTTAGTACGTAACACAGTATATGTTTTTAAATATAACCATTTTAGATGCTTAAGAAAACCTTTTTTGTAGGTTAACAGTGGCTTACTATTCAGGGATGTCCCTTCCTGTTTTAATAAGAAACATTTTTAACAACCAAAGTAAATCTGACATAGTTTTATTGTGCAAAATAGTAAAAACAATATGTATATTGCTGCTGTCAGAACAAAACCTTGTATCTCTAAAATGACAACTTTACAGGAGAAGAAAAAAATATATTTTACTTTTAATATAAGTCAGAGGAAGCAGACTTTTTTCCAAGTAATTTTGGGCCATTTTCTTTGGTTCATTCATTGTGAAATTGACACACAATGTAAAGGGCAACAGGCATTTTTAAATGATGTCAAAAACTGAAAAACTGCAAAAATGGACATACAAGGTTTTGTTCCGATAGCAGCGACATAAACCTATGTCTGGCTCTTGTTTGGCAGCTTTATGATTGAATTTTCTGTGAACCCTTAAATAGAGTAACAGTTATATTCTAGGATGTATAGAGGTGCCAAAATGTAACTGCAACACTATTTAAGGTGGAACGAGAAATTTGAAGAAGAAGCCAACTTTATCAAAATTTTCAAGTCATTTGTTTCATACATGCATCCCATATCGCCCCTCTGACCATTAGACAGTGCTGGAATTTAGAAAATATAACAGTCATTTGTGCTATCTGTACCAGCTGTTCTACGGCTTGTTGTGGCAATAAGCCATAGAACAGCATGTTAGATACTGGTATAACCGTTCTGACAAAACTTATACCTGAGGACGTCATTTCAACCCATTACTAACAAACCTACATGAGGTTTGGACATAATTTTCCAAATATGTGTCAGACTCAGGTTCATATTTCATGTTCGGGTTTGACAGAGTTTACACTGCATTTCTCCCTGCTTTAGTTTTTTTCCCTACTTCATTCTTCTACTATCATTACCTTAAAACAGTTTTTAATCTGGCTTCAATGCTGGAGTCACATACTTGTGTTGTTGCAGCAAATCGTTTCAGGAAAGTAAAGTTTAGTGCAAGGACGTTTACTTTGGCTAAAAAGAAAAAAGTTATATATGTTCGTTATATTATACATGTTCTTTATATATAATTTATTGAACATATGAAACATTCTTCTTAGCTAAACAAAGTCAACTCTATTTCTTTACATAGGAGTTTTAGGATTAAACAAATGAAGGCTATATCTGCGCCACACAGCGTAAGAAAAGCACATTATGAAAAGTTTATCCAGACTAAAAAACTTTAGGATGTTGTTCAAAAGAATGACGAATCCGTCAAGTTACAGCAGGATTTAAACTTAAATTTGGCTGGGTCATTATTTTATTATAACACATCCCTTTATATTGTCTTGTATTTTATTAATTCATGACCTAATGACAGATATTATTGTCACTACACGGTAACTAGAACTGGTGCTATTCAGGTTTTACTCTGCATTTTTGGACCCAGTTTGGGTCAGTTTTGGTCAGAGTTTTGCTATACTCTGGTCAGTTTCGGACTCAAAACTTTTGGTAGTTCGGCTCAAGTCGGGTTCGGACAAAATTTTGTCAGGCTTGGGTTGGGTTTGGACTCAAAATGTGCTATTGTGTGTTGGGCTGAATCAGAGAGACAATTCTTGGGATGTTTTCTGGTTCAGATGAATACTTAAGTCCCAAATAAAGCTTTAGTCACTGCTATGTTGAGAATGGGCCCCCCAAATAATATTTGGTCACCAGTGGCCCTGTGGTCAGAAATTAACCTGTGATGAATGGGGTAAAGGAAGCCTGACCTATTTTGCATGACAACAGATCAGAACAGTGTAACTGTACACCTATAAAATTAACAAACAAGTTTGCCCTTATAACGTGGAGCTCAGTAGCTGAGTGGTTGAACATTGTAGGTGCTTGTAATAAAGTAGATATTAAGAACAGAACTGACCAAAAAGTCCCTGCCTGAGAAAATGAAAGGTTTAAGTTAGCTGTGCTAAAGCATGATTTCTGACAGCGATGGACGTAAAACAAGAGCCAGCTTTAACCCTGTTTTCTTTTTTCTCGCATCTTCAGGGCAAACTCTTTCACCTGGAATCCACATAAAATGCTGATGACTGGGCTTCAGTGCTCTGTTATTCTGATGAGAGACACAACGGTACGGGCCTGTGGCCCATGCTATCAAAACAGTTATTTCATTGTTTTTCATTGTCATTTCTGATCAATATTAAATGTACAATATTACAGTATGGTTACTGATTGTGAAGATATTACATAAAGTCCAGGGTTCCTATAACTCTTACAGAGTTAAACATTATCAGATTTTCCTCTGGAGGTGTATATTAACTGTAGAGATTTGCAGTGAGCATACATTAACTCGCCTGATAGAACTGGCATTTACACATTTCAAGGTACACTATATGGACAAAAGTACGATAGGGTTGAGGTCAGGGCTCTGTGTGGGCCAGTCAAGTACCTTTACATGCTTCTCTATCTGGCAGTCTGATGGACAAGTCCGGGTTCGGTGAATGCCAGGAGAACGTTACCTGCCTGACTACATTATGCCAACTGTAAAGTTTGGTGGAGGAGGGATACTGTTATGGGGTTGTTTTTCAGGGGTTGGCCTAAACCCCTTAGATCCAGTGTAGGGAAGTCTTAATGCTTCAGCAGACCAAGACATTTTGGACAATTGTGTGCTTCCAACTTTGTGGGAACCGTTTGGGGAAGAACCTTTTCTGTTCCAGCATGACTGAGCCCCAGTGCACAAAGCAAGGTCCATAAAGGCATGGCTGGGTGAGTTTTGTGTGGGACAACTTGACTGGCCCTCACAGAGCCCTGACCTCATCCCCATCAAACACCTTCGGGATGAACTAGAACGGAGATTGTGAGCCAGGCCCTCTCGTCAACGTCAGTATCTGACCTCAATAGTCTTCTGGATGAATGAGCAAAAATTCCCACAAGCACACTCCAAAATCAGTAGAAAGCTTCCCAGTAGAGTGGAAGCTGTTGTAGCTGCAAAGGGGGGACCAACTTCATATTAATGCTTATGGATTTAGAATGGGATGTGGTAAAAGCTTCTGTAGGTGTCCCAGTACTTTTGTACATATAGTGTACCACTCACAGTTGATTGTGGACTTGTTGCGATGGTGGCATCCTATTACAGGACCACGCTCAATTTCAGTAAGCTCTTTAGAATGACCCATTCTTTTACAATGTGTGTAAAGGCAGACTGCATGGCTAGGTGCTTGATTTTACACACCTGTGGCAATGGGACTGAAAGAAAAAAAAACTGAATTCAATGATTAAGAGGTGTCTCAATAATTGTGTCTATACAGTGTATGTCCAGAGAATTTTTTCAAAACTCTTATATATCCCTTTTCTCACACCAGAACCTGCTGATGCGCTGTCACTGTGCCAATGCTACATACTTGTTCCAGCAAGACAAGTTCTATGATATGAGCCTGGACACCGGGGACAAGTCCATCCAGTGTGGACGCAAAGTGGACTGTCTGAAACTGTGGCTCATGTGGAAGGCAATAGGTGCTCAGGGCCTAGCCAACCGTGTTGACAGGGCTTTTGACAGTACAAGGTAGATAATGTGTTACTTGTGCACCAACAAACAAAACTCCATTTGCTTCTCTGGAAAATTCCTCTTATAGACATAGTACCAGATGTGAGGTCCACATATGCAGGAAGACACTTATTGATTAGTTGCAATTAATGATTAGCTGCAATTAGTAAGCCACCAATAATTGTGTTTGCTCATTTAAAATTGCACAAAGGTATGTACTTGGCAGTTACTACCACTGTATGTGAAATTTTGCCCAAAGAAAGAAAAGTAAAATTATTAAAAGCAACAAAACCCAATTCTGAACAGCCACTGACAAAACCCTCACTTCTAACGATTGGAAAGCAAAGCATTAAGGTGTTCTACAATTACAAGTTAGGGTAGGAATATTTCTTTAAACAAATGTAGTCAATGACCAGAATATTGATGTCCCTTATACTATGAAAATGTCCCTTACAACATGAAAGATCTGTAGAGAAAAGCTCTTTCCCATTGAGTGCAACTTAGTTCTGCTTCTTTACTTAGCTTTGTAGGTCATAATTAAATTTGTCCCAAAATAAATATCAAGATATTAAAGTAAAAAACGCTAGGCTTTAGAGTCATACATTCATGACTGTATGTGAATTAAAATAATCAATGTAAAATTAATGGGTTACAAGTGTTTATGTAGCTAACTACATAAATAGTTACATAGCTAAGTAGGTATGCAGCTATGTGCTAGTGGGGCCTGTCTTGCTAACTGTAAACATAATCAGTCATAGTACTTCAGGCTAAACTACACTATTACATTGTGAAATTGTCAATTTATTTTATACTCTTTCCTTCCTGTCTGTTGCAGGTATTTTGTTGAGAAGCTGAAGAAAAGAGAAGGTTTTCAGCTTGTCTCTGAGGTGACATATTGAAGATATCACTCCCACTCAGATGGCAACAAACATGTTCATTCATATTTGAATGTTGTATTGATATGCTTCCTTTTTGGACTCCCCCACAGCCTCAGTTTGTGAACGTATGCTTTTGGTTTATACCACCCAGCCTGAGAGGGAAGGAGAACAGTGCAGATTACAAGGAGAAATTGGCAAAGGTTTGTCCACTACATTTGTCCAGTATTAAATCAATGAAGCCACATGAGTTTACATAGCTTAATAAATCTGACTAACAGAAGTAACATTTCTTTTGGATAAAAAAAATACCAAGTCTCATGTTATGCCAATTCTTCACCACCAGGTGGCTCCAATCCTTAAGGAACGCATGGTGAAGAAGGGCTCTATGATGGTGGGTTACCAGCCTCTGGATAGTCGGGTCAACTTTTTCCGCATGGTCATCCTTTCACCCCAGCTGAACCACAGTGACTTGGATTTCTTTCTCGATGAGTTAGAGAGGCTCGGCAATGACCTATAACTGCGCCGTGGGTGCTGCTGGTCATTCGCTCTTCAACATCCATTAATGCTGCGCTATATATGTATGTCATGTAGTTGATTTATGTGTGTTACTGCTTGGTGGAACAAATGCTTGGACCCACACTGTCCTTTTGTCGATAAGATCGGGGACCACTGAGAACACCTAAATGAAGGCTGTGTTGCTACAGAAGAATGCTGGTGCTCCTTTCACTGATCCCCTTCTATGTTCAACCCTCATTTCTTTCTGTGCAAGTATTTTCCAGTCTGTGTCTCTATCTTTTGAGTCTATACTAATTTTCTGTACTGCTCTGCATATTTAATTTTGTTATTGTTTTTTTTTTCAGCCAGTTTCTGCCATATTCTGGTTAAATCCACATTATGTGATGTGCAGGTTTAGACTAGACTTGCTTTTAGGCCTATATCAATCATTCTCCAATGTGTCCTTTTTTCCATCCATACTCTTTTTGCATTTTATCTTATTTCATCTGTCCATTACTATAGGTCTTACAAAAATAAAATGTAGCAGGTAAGTTTATATTAATTTTCTAAGACTTTGCTTCAGAAGGATAAAGTGAAGCTTTTCTTTGTCATTATAGCTCACTGTGCAACAGTAATGACAAAAATGCTGTTTGGTCAGCAAAATTAAAGTTGTGCTTGATCATGCTAGTGTTGCACTGGCCAGTCTTAATGAAGAAGCATTCATTAGTACTTGTTTAGATTAGAGAAGGCTTGAACTGATCACTTTAGTTTTTATGGATCTGCTAGGACTTAACAAAATAGATTCTAGCTGCTAGAACTTTAAACCCACTATAAAGTGTTATATATGTCCAAGATGGTGTCTTATAAACATGAGATTTTGATATATAAAAATGCATCCTTGATAACTGAGTCCTTCCATTTTAAATTTACTTAACTGTCATCCAGGCTACTTTAATTCTTACAGTGTAAATCACAGATACAGTTGTCTTAGTGAGAAGCACAATGGGCACAAAATGCTACTGAATTGTTTAGGCTGAGATATCATGCCTGTGGATAAGGTAATTTGTCACTTTTCATTTTTAATGCATTGTAATTACTGCTGTCAACATGTCATACTGACAATAAAATCATTTGTAAATCCATCATATGTTTTTTGGGCTCTTTGCTGTGTGTACTGGGTGTTTGTAGCCTGGAACAACTTTTAAAAGGCAGGAATGAAGGCCTACTAACAGAGAATATTATGGTTGTATGTGTGGTACACATTCCAACTTGAACGTGGTTTGGAGCTACTAAACAGATTTTAAGACATTAAAGCTCTTATCAGATTATTTCAGACAGATATTGTTTGGTTTGATGGTATAGTGTTGCCGAAATGTAATCGTATACATCATAGAAATCTTAACGTGATCGGTCTCCCATAGAAATGTTGTTACCAGAGCCAGTTTAAGGGGAGCCTGGCCTTTTCATATGACAGCTAAACACCAGAGGGCACTGGGGGTGAGTCCTCAATGAACGGGGTTGAATGGCTAAATGGCTAAAAACGAAAAATAAACTTGTTTCTAACCATTTGTGTGGGGCCTTCCTTTAATTTTAGAAAGTAAAAGGATGTATTTTCTTAAAAAACAAAAGAAAACTTACCCATATATTTCCTTCTTACAGCAAACAGTTTCTGGGCAGTAGGATGCTAACATTACTGCTACTCAGTGCTCATTTGTTAGCATTACTGCTACTGAGTGCTGATTTGTCAAACGGAGCAGCTCATTGGCTGAGTGAAGTGTTTCGGGCTCACTGATGTCATGACATGAGACACCGTTATAAAGTCCTATAACTGGAGTTCATAACCGCCCAAAAACATAACAGCGGTGTTAACATGTTTTATGCTGCTCCGTGTTCAGGAAATGAATAAATTTTCCATATAAAAACGTTTTTAGCATTTATAAACTCAAATGCTCCATAGTAACCCATTCATTTTAAAATCGCCCAGGAGCGCCATCTAGCGTTACACTATTGAGTGGCAATTCTCCTCACTACAAATTCGGTGGGATGCTCACATTAAATGTGAAGCGTTTGAGCTGCACGAACGTTATTTGATCTATATGTCACACACACAAGTCAAACACACACCTGCACACAAACACACGGGTCAAACACACACCTACACACACAGGTCAAACACAGTCCTCCCATAGCAGAGCAGAATGATTCTGTCAAAATGAAGGTTCCCTGAACTGTTATCACCTTGTACGACTCAAAGCTGAAAAATAACAAATATATAAAGACAAACCAGAAGGTTTTAAAAGCTGAAAGCACACAGATATGTATACATACATATATATGTATACATACATACATTTTGGGAGGGAGCGCCCTCTAGCGTTTGAGAAAACCGGAAGACATTGGTAATTCTCCTCTCTACAAGTTCTCTGATAAAGTGTTAATTAAACTGGTTAAATTATACTGGTTTTACTGGTCAGCGCCCCCTGCCGGACCGGAGGAAACGAGTCACTCGCCGTCTCCAGGTCACGTGCTTTGCTCTCCCCTGAGAGCACTTCCGGTAGCGTTTCCTGTGTTTGTAAACTGGGGAAAAAAAATTGGGAGTCCGAGGAGAGAAATCGCGCAGAAAGAGAAGAGAAGGTAAAGCGGGCCGAGCGGGTCTTTACGGAGCTGAGTGAGACTGAGTTATTTAACCTGAAGCCCAGTCGGTAAACACGCGACTGAGGGCTGTTTAATACGGGCCGCTGGAGTGAAGCGCACCGCCCCGCTGCGGCTCCGAGGCTCAAGTCGGCTGCTTTTTCGGTTTTTCCCGTTCCACCTTAAATGGTGCAGCAGTTATCATTATAACGCATGAGGCGTCCGAGTGTAACTGCTGCTCCATTTAAGGTGGAACGGGGAAATTCGAACAAGAATCTGGAGAACAAGGCGCTGAACTCAGCCTCGTCCTGCTGCTGTGTTGATTGAACAGATGGTGAATGGAGTTTAGCTTAGCATCAGGCTAACGAGCTCTACAGCACTTTAACGTTAGTGTATCCAGCGATGCTTGGCTGAATCTTCTATACTGAGCACACAGTTCTGTTGGGTTTCATTATTTCAGCGTGCCAGAAACCTGAAGAGGCAAAGTGCATAGTAATACTATTAACCATAATATATAGAGAGGAACTCCACCGATGTCTTCACATTTATTTAAGATGTAAACAAAGTCATTCAGAGTGGTCTGGTGTGAAATGCTCTGTTCTAGAGAAACTTACATAGTCAGAATTGTTCACAGTGTTGGTGATAGGAACCAGACGTCTGAAGAGTGTGTCCCTCTCAAAGCTCCCTCACAGAAAGCTATTACATGAAATGGTTATGAATATGCTGCCTGATGCCGTGACACAGAATTGGACAGTTTTGTGATAAACTTTTGGCTTAATATATATTTTGAATCATTTATTTTAATCTATACATGGCCGAGGGGTGCATCCAAGGCATTGTAAGGCAAAATAGTTCCCAAAGAAAAGTTTTTCAGTTTTATGACCATTTTGCCTTTATCAACATTACATCTAAAAGCTCACAAGACTCAGGTATGTTCTCTGGAGGTTTTGGATAGTATATAAAATGCCTGTATTTGTGTTGTAGACATTGGGACCTCTGGTTCCTATCAGCACCGCTGTAAAGAAATCTGAGTCGGTAAGATTCTCTACAATGAAACATTTCACATCAAACCACTGTGAATGACTCAGTTTACCATCTCAAGAACTGGATTGTTCAGAAATTCTGAAAAAGTGGTAGAATTCCTCTTTACGTATTCACATAACTAGTGCTGGGCGATATTGATCAAACTCAGTACCACAGTATTTTGTGAATATATCACTGTATTAAACAGCATTTAAGCTTTCATTAATAAAGTTAAGGGCTTTCTGAGTAGTGCTGTAGCACTCTAAAAGAAAAAACTGACAATGCTTTTAATTGTTTTTATTGGACTGCACATTTCCAGAAAGAAAACATGCTATTTTTTATTTTTATGGAACGATATGCTTTGTAGTAATAGGAGAATTCCACTGATTTTTCAACATTTCTGCATAATTCAGTCATTGAGGTGTAAACAGATTCATTGAGAGTGATTTGACATGAAATGGTTCACTTGAAGAGAAGCTTACCGACTTACAGTGGTGGTGATAGCAATGTCCACAGCGCATATATAGCCATTTTATTTGCTATCCAACTAGACAATTTTAAAAGCCTAAAGCATAAATGATAAATGATTTATGCTTTATATAATTCCTAAATATATAGCCACCTTACAAAAAGTTTAATTTGTAGTGTTGATGATAAAATAGTGCTAAATCTGGGGGAAAAAAAGGTTTTTTAGGGTCCTTTCACTGCCACTCTGAACAATTCTGACTGGACGTTAATCTAGAATGGCACATTTCACATCAAATCACTCTGTCACTTTGTGTACATCGTAAAGGTTTAATTATACAGTATTTTTTTATCATTGGAGTTCTCGTTTAACTACCAGGTTCTGGATATGTAAAGTACACAAAACCGAAACAAACCACGTGACTTGAACATCACTTTTTATGTCATGAACATGATGCTCATTATCTATCAAATATACTGATAAACACGTTGATAAAACTGAGAAGCAATAGCAGCATTGTGATATGTAAATATCACATTATACTGGTATAGATGATATATAACCCAGCACTATATAACACCTTTCATACGTTGAAGAGTGTCCGCACAGTTTGAAATAGAGCAAACACTGCGTTCAAGTATATCAATACAACATATTTTGTCATAGTTTTAAATACACCATTTGCTGAAAAGTAAAACATTTTTCTCAGTAAAAACTTTATCTACGTATTTGTAGCCAAGTAGCTCGACACACTTTTATAAGCGCTTACCAATTGTGACTGTCATTTTTAATCACCTGTACACATTTCATTGCTTTTGAATTTTTGTGTTGAACAGTTCCCTCCATTGAGTCTTATTTGTTTATTTTTTATTTAATCATGCTTCATCTGATTATTTCTACACTGTGTGGCTGCTGTATTTGACTTTGTTGGATGGCTGCTGTTAATTGTGGCTTTCCTCATTGCTTTCTGTCATTACAATACAGCAGGTTTAGCGGGATTGGTATCTATGAAGTAGGGGTGGGCATCTTCAGGCACCTTGCAATTGGATTTTTTTCGATTTCAATTTAGGGTGTGATTAGAAAACGATTCTTTATGCATCTTGATGCAGCTCATGATTTGTCATCAATAGGCTTTGCTGCAGCTTAGAACTACTTTATATTAAATTTTTGGCTTACGCACTTTCTTCACATTAATTTATTTACATTTTTCTTGAAAAGCACATAGTAAATACTATAATAATGAGGCCGCTTTTTGACAGCTGTTTCCCTGCTTGTTCTTCAAATGAAGCGTGACTTACATGCTTATAACCTATAAGAAACTTCAGAATGCTTCATGAGCTGTACTCATGTAAATGAGCGAGTACTAGGTATTTTCCATTGCTTTAGGACTGCTCTAAAATTCAGCTGTAGATGGCTGTGGAAAAACATAAAGTACTATATTTTCATAAATTTACAACTCAGCTGGGCCACCGGGATACTTAAGCTGCAATTTACTTAAAATGCTGAGAATTTTTGATGCGAAATGGTTTATTATAGAGAAAATTACTGGCTGTTTTACTGACTTTTTTTTTTTTTACAGTGGGGGTAACAGAAACCAGAGTCTTGCAATGTCTACAACAAATTTTTTTTTACTATTTTATTTACTATTCAGAATGACCAGAGAGCCTACATGTATCTTATGCGTTTTAATATGTAATGCTAATAATGCTAAAATAGTGTTAAACCTGAAAAAGTACATTTTCTTTGTGTACTGTTTGCTTTACAATGCCCTGTTTGTACCATTTCACATCAAACCACTATGTTTGACTGTTTACATCTTGACACTTTAATTAAGCAGAAATGTTAAAAAATCAATGGAATTCCTTATAAAACAAAAAGTCCAATTATAATGTTTAGTAAATCAATTCGGAATCTTTCAAGAGAAAATTATGATGCATCTAAGAATCGATTTTTTTCCCACCCCTACCATGAAGGCATCTCAAAGTAAGTTTATTAGAACCAGAAGTGATCCTTGAACACACTTGCTTTGAGAACTTTGATACAGAAGACCCTGAAATCGTCAGGCCTAAATCTAAAGATGCCTTTCTATGAGGGACTGTGGGAGAAAGAGCAAATGCCTGATTCTAGCATGTAAATGTTTTGATTTGTTGTCTAAAGCTGAGCTTCTGGGGGCTTCTTAGACTAATATGGGTGGACATTTTCTTGGCCTTACATCACCCCCCCCTCTGTTTTTAGGCTTGCGCCCCTGATGATTGTGGCTTGTGTGGTATCTGTTCATTCTCTCTACCCAGTGTGAAGCTCTCTGTCCCCCAACACACGCACACACTCTCATCCCTGCGATGTCACAACTTTCCAGCAACTCAGTCCGAGAGCACATGAAATGGGTCAGTGTTTGTTTTCCCCCTTATTTGCATTTGTTTCAGTTTCATATCTTTGCGTTCAGAGCTTAAGTCTTTTGTTCCTGTCACATGCTTCCACTGCTAGTCCTGTGGTGCCAAAATGTGCTTCATGTTCACATCCGCTCCTAATCTGTTTGTGACCTCTGCATACATTCTCAAATTCACCCTTAACCTCTGACTTAAACAACCCCCCAACTGGAAGTCAGCAAAATCAATTCTGTTCAACCTGACAAATCAATATTAGCAGTGGTCAGAAAAAAAAGGGAAATTAGGAAATGTCGATGGCTCAGATTACTTTAACACTTGTGTTTGTGTATGCAGGCTGGGTTGCTGGGCTGTGAGGCAGTGCTCTCCAGTATGGCTTTGATGCAGGCCAGTTCCACACCCAGCCATAAAAAGATGGCCACTCCATTGGGCCAGGGTCAGAGAGACAACCACAGCCACAGCCACGGGCATAACCACAACCACAACCAGAACCAAAACCACAACCAGAACCACAGCCAGGATGCCCATAGTCACCACAGCCACATGGTCCTGCCCTCTGGAGTCAGCTGCCCACCAATGGTAAGCTTGGCTCTGTTGCCACCATTTTCATGGAATCACAGAGGATTTTATGGAATTTGCCAGAGGAGGTCCGGTAATGTAATCTGCGCTTAATTTGACTGGCCCATTTGTACTGGATAAAGGATCTGTGTAATTTCCCCAAACAGACTGTATCAAAACATTACCACAGAGAGATTCCTGTCAGTGTTATGCAACACGTGGCACACTTCCATACAGTAACACCACCCAACAAAATAGAAATTGCATTGCCTTCTATAGGTATTTTGGAGATTCTTTCTCCTTGTAATTTAGCCATCGACAAAAATGGAAGTCTTGTCATAAACTTTCCTCCCAGATTTACTCCCATTGCGCTGTTATTACCATAACATATAAAACTCAGAAGTTTCAGAAGAATCTAATAGATTTCATTTGTTCGTGCTTGCAGCTCATTAATAAGGATGGAGAGTTCCACTCTTCCAGGCTGCTGGAGGAGAAGGACATGCAGTCCAGCCAGAACCTGCAGCCAAAGAAGAAGAACAGAAAGACAGGAACGCCTACCAAAGTGAGAGAAAAAGCACAGGCAAGTAACCAGCCTGTCTGCGTGATTGCATGCTTCTTTGCATGAATTTATTCGAAGTTCCATTGTCAAGTGTGTGTATGTTTCTTCCTTTTTGAATTTTATGTTTTTGTGTTTGTATGTATACAGGTGGAGATGCCCGATCCCAGCGATGACAGCTCCCTCAACTCCCAAGTCCAAAAGAACTTCATCTGTGAGCACTGCTATGGAGCATTCCGGAGTAGTTACCACCTGAAACGGCACATTCTCACCCATACAGGTGTGCTTTTCAACGTTAACAGACTCCTGCTTTCATGCAGCACAAATTCAGATGTAAAAGCAGAAAAGTTAAAAGGCAAGCACCTGCGCTGAGAGCCAAAGCTGCTTGAATCCAGCATTTCTTCTAAAAGTAGTGGTATTAATAAGGTGTTTGTCCCCTTTTTGCTGCAGTAAGTCTCTACTCTTCTGAGAGGGCTTTACAGTAGATGTTGGAACATTGTTGTGAGGATTTGATTGTATTCAGCCACAAGAACATTAGCGAGGTCAGGTACTGAAGTTGTCACTCCAACTCATCACAAAGGTATTGGATGGAGTGCCATCACTCCAGAGAACCCAGTTCCACTTCTCCACACCACAGTGCTGGGGAAATGCACCCCAAAGCTCATGTGGAGCAGCCCATCCTATTCTTTTCAATAGAAATTATACATGCTGTGCAGTGGAACACCTGTATCAGTCATGGGTGTACCTTAAATTAGCTGAATTAATTCAGATGACCTTGCTAAGGTCACAGGTGTTCAGACAGTGTCCTACATCAAAAAGTGCACATATACATATACACTATATAGACAAAAGTATTGGGACAGACCTCCTTATTATTGAGTTCAGGTGTTACAGCTATACCCATTGCTAACAGGTGTATAAAATTAAGCGCATAACCTTGGGGGTTTGGCAAATGCCAGGAGAACATTACATGCCTGACTTCATTGTGCCAACTGTAAAGTTTGTGGAAGAGGGATAATGCTATGAAGTTGTTTTTCAGGGGTTGGCCTAAACCCCTTAGTTCCAGTGAAAGGAAATCTTAATGCTTCAGCAGACCAAGACCTTTTGGACAATTCTATGCTTTCAACTTTGTGGGAACAGTTTGTGGGAACAGTTTTTTTCCAGCATGACTGAGCCCCAGTGCACAAAGCAAGGTCCATTAAGGCATGGTTGGGTGAGTTTGGTGTGGAAGAACTTGTCAATGTAACAAGCTCCGCTCACTTGCTGCACAGCCAGCAGTTCATTCTCCAGCTCCTTACACAGACCACAATGTAATCTTAAAAGTATCAGGGGGTACAGTTGTCTCTTGTTTTTATTATGCCTCACTGTATAAATTTATGTTTTGTATGTAGGAGAGAAGCCTTTTGGGTGTGATATGTGCGACATGCGGTTTATTCAGCGCTATCACCTGGAGAGACACAAGCGTGTACACAGTGGAGAGAAGCCTTATCAGTGTGACCGCTGTCAGCAGGTCAGTAACTCGCACACAAGATACCAATCTCCTGGCGTACACTGAGAGAACTGACTGTAATCATTGTAATCATCAAATAGTAAGAATGTCCAGAAAAGTTTTATAAACTTGTATAGATTGTTACCCCAGTCCTGATTAGAGTTGATTAAAATTGCCCCAGTCCTGGTCCAGTATTTATTTTTTCACAGCTAATACAGCCACACAGTGCACAGTTCAGGTGGAATAACATTATTAAAAACAATTTCAGTAAGATAGCAGCTGTGCTGCTTGTTATTTTAAAATGCTATCACATTTTTATGTATATGGACCATTCCGCAGAGTAAAAAAAAAAACAACTTTTAAAAAAACAGTATTTAAGTATTCAGTCCTTAGATATTTACAAGGATTATGTTATGATCTATTTAATCTATTTAAACTCAAGACATTAATTGAGATAATAATGAGCCAAATATATACAAAATCATAATTTATAAGGTGCTTTCCATTTGGAGATGGCTGTCCCAAACCCTAACCCCTAAAATTCAACTTGTAAAAAAATGCATTTATTCATTCATTCATTCATCCATTCATTTATATTTTTATTCATTTTTAAAGATTTATTGATTGCTTTTAAAGTAAAGTAGAAACATTTAAGTTTACCATGAGTTTCATTTTAAAATAAAAAAAATAGATATTCAAAAGAATTGTCATTACTAAAACAGTCACCACTGGAACATTTGGTAAAGTGTTGGTAGCGTTGTTTTTGTCAGTGACAAAATGGAATTTTCAGTCATTTATTTTCTTAAAATAAAAATAACTAAGGTATTAGTAAGGTATTAGGTCACTCAAAGCAAAAGGATTATAGTCAGTTAAAAGTCCGAAACGGGTTTTGAACTCTTTGAACCAGTTCAGCAGAAATGATGCACATATCTGCCCGGTACCGCTGATACCGATGCAGATACATAAACATTTATGGAATGTAGACATTGGGACGAGATCCACCTAGACCAGGTTGGAATGAAAACATGCAACCACACCGACTTTGATAAGATTGAACACCTCTGACATAGACTAACAGTGCAGAGACATATAACATTTAGCACAGTAGCCCAGCGCCACCTGAACACAATGAATACATCATCATCAAATATCAGTTTAAAACCTAAACACATGTCTAATCTGCCTGTAACAATATGACTCCAAAATCATTGTGACTCCTTATTAAAATCAGTTGGTTTTTAGATTGTCCATAGTGTGATACTTAACTGATACTTTTTTGGGACTGTTTTTTTTTTTTATGTGAAAAAGCATCTGCACACTCAAATCTGTGTAAATCTGACTAATTCTTTACTGTTTTATGTGTTTACTTTCAGCTGCTCTAACATGAGCAAACTACTGCTTTTCTCAGTGCTGTAGACATGCACTCTAATTTTACATGCAGTTGGTTTAGCTTTGTTTTTACTAAAGGCATCTAGCCTAACCGCAGTCAAAACACTGGCAAGTTTACATTTTCTACTTCAAAATAGTTCCACACTGCAAACATTTCAACTGCTTGTTAGCTTCTGAAAATGTACCTCAGTGCTACAGGTTGTGGAAAATGTCTGTTTATGTCACCTCTATGACAGCGGCATAAACACAGCACATTGGGGTAAAATAGCCTGAACAAGGCATTGAAATTAGATCAAGCTTTCAGACTGGACCTGGCTCCAATACTAATTAGAAGTGTAACAACACACTCAGCCCATGAATAGATTCGATTTTCCGTACTGGGTTCATGATTTGATATTTTCACAATATTTTGAACAAAATTCAAATGAAGAATTATGAGTATTAGTCTTGTTGTTGCACAACTTATTAATAACATTTGAACTGGGGGGCAGAAGCTATCGACCAGTGAAAATGCATGAAATGGCAAAATTAATCCATCGTCACAATGCACACTGCCACATTTTTGCATCTCACTGTCACAATGTCATGATGCATTATTACACCTCTAATACTAGTCTTTCAAACCAGAATGGGACATCCTGATGAAATAGTATTTTAAAGAGTTAGTGCTAGTGTTGTAGCCAAAAGTGAGACCTGGACAGACTCCTCGTCTAGCTCTGATCAGACTGTAGTCTTCTGCTTCAAATAACCAGTGTTCGTCTTTCTTTCTTTCTCTTTCTCTGTCACTCGTCCTCCTTCTCTCCCACCCACAGAACTTCTCTAGGACGGACCGGTTGTTGCGGCACCGGCGGCTGTGTGCTGTAGGCATTGCTAAGGAGGAGAACCAGTCGTGCTGTGAGGGCCGCTCTTACTCACAGGACCCCCCTCAGCACACAGCATCCTGGAGCCCCCTACAGGCCAACAGCAGCAACAGCAGGCTGGCTGTGTGAAGCTCTGTGCTCTGATGGAAGCCTCTGGTCAGCCAGCTCAGTCGGAGAGGAGTGGACTCAATGCAGCCACCTGGGGGCGCTCTACTGTGCCAGACTGATCCCAGAGTTTCTGGCAAAGACTCCATCTCCAGCCCCGCTCCAACCAGGTCAATATTCAGCCACAGACGGTGGAAGTGTTTTTTTGTATTGTTTTGACTTGGGCGGAGGGGGATCTTTTTGTATTGTTCTTTTTAAAGTAGATGGTACTGACCCTGGAAGGGTTGGAGTAGTTTGTTATACTGCACAGGCAATAATGAGTTCAGTTAGCAAGTAGAGGATCAGTGAGATGGGGTTATTACTACTACATCCTTTGATAGTTCAAGTGACAGGATAGAGAATGATTGACACACATAACACAGCCAGTTAAATGTGTTGAATTGCATTTGGGATGTCACAAGAATAATATCTTTGAACAGGTTCGGGGGCTTCAGCCATCGTCACATGTGGCCTTGAAATTGTCAGAACTAAAACTTGCTCCAACCTTTTGTGGCACATGTCTGCAGCAAGATAACCAGTAGTGCAAGGAGGTGCTAACCAGTGTAAAACTAACTAATACAACAGCTGAAGGGTTGTTATCCATTCTGATCATTTGAATTTTTCCAAACCAGTGCAAACAGATTTGGACAACCTGGCCCTTAAAGATGTGGTTCAGTGAAAATTCAAATTTACACAGTTTTCCACTGTGGCGTCCAAGTTTTGCTGCATTAGTTTAGCTCTGTGGCTGTGTTGCTAGCAAACACTAGAAGTCAGTAGTCACCCAAATCTTTTCCGTAAATACATCCCCAGAGCATGTCTCAACCCTCTCAAACCTCATTGAGATTTTCATTAAGGTTGCGCACGTGACTTGCTGTAAATTATAAATATGAGGTTGAAGTTTTACGTTGTCCTAAACTACTTTAACAATCTGCACAGCCTTAATGAAGACCTAGATGCAGTTTGAGCGAGTTAGAAGTTTTAGGGATGTAATTACGGAAAAAGATTTGGGTGATTAATGACTTCTGGTGTTTAGCAGTGTTAGCCCCGTAGCTCCAGCGCTAAACTAAAGAAGGAAAATTTGGACACTAAACATGTCTCGTCTGACATGGTAAGTGGAAATTGGTGTCCATTAGATTTTCAGTCAACCATTCCTTTTAACAGTGTAAGTGGCAAGAGTTTTGCATCCAGCTACAAGAGTACGAGACTGCATGGACAGATGTGATCTGGAAATGAGAACACATGTCTGGGGACAACTGTCAAACTTTTGGAGCTAGGGGACAGCCCCTCTAAAACCTGCCCCCAAATTCCTCTAGTCACTGCTCATTTAACGTCAAGTATAAGCAATAATACCAGCAAAACAAACTAGCTAGAGAAACTGTTTATTTTTACAGCATGTAATGTGTTTGCCATGCACTCGTCTACATGCATAATTGGAGTTTTTGAGGGGATTTTTCAGCCATGCTTATGTTGACGTCCATGGAATAACGACAGGCTTGTTTGTCAAATAGTGCTGACGAGCCCACCTACTTTGACCTCCACCTTTACGAGGAGTTGGATTAGTTTACAAATTTCGCACTCTGTTTGTTCGCACCATAATAAGCCTATATTTCCATCCACATTTAGCCCAAGATTTCTCATGGCTGTCCCCGGACGTTCTCGTTACAAGATCCTGTCTGGTCCAGCGAATGATGAATCAGTTATGATCAACACTTTTGTAGCCCTAGCAGTTTGAAAGCCACTGATTCATACAAATGCTATCAGATGAGAAGCAAACAAAAAGTCAGATTGCAATAATGCTTATGTTGTTTGAGGGACTTTTCTACCTTCTAGGGTACATCTAGGAAATTAATACATACTGGTGCAGGTCATACATTCATTGAAAAGGTCATGAAAGGCATTTGTGTTTATCCTTTGCAATTTTTATGTGCTTATGAACTGTTCGTTTATGGATACTACTTGTCTTATAAACAAGTCAGATCCAGGTTGGAAATGGATCATTCAGTGACTGGATCAGTTTTTACTAGGTCTTGTATTTCTGACAGTGCGTCTTAAGAACTGTAATTGGACTCAAAAACACTGGATCGATTTGGGCCAAACAGTATGTGCTTTTAACACTTAGTCATAGTCATTTTTTATATCTGAACCTATTACAGACTTTGAGAACACAGACTACATGCAGTTTTCATCTGCTGAATTATTAAGTTAATATATTTTTTTATTTTTGCATTTTCCAAGACATTTTCTGTAGTTATAGTTTTTAGGCTGCTGCAGGTGTTTAAACTGGTAGTCTCGATAGTCCTGCCCCCTTTTGTAATAAGTAGGTTTGCATGAAGTTCAGTTCCTCAAAATGTATACTGTATTGTGATTGTTAAAAGAGAGAAGAAAGTATTTTTTGGAACCATTACTATTATTTTTTTGGTTTGTATTTTTTATCATGCTCAAACATGCACACTAAACTTTCTTACCCAGCTAGACATGTAGTGAATGGAGATATAGGGCCTCAAACACCAATAAATTGATTTCTTTTACAAGAAACATTTGCTTTCTTTTGCCTCTGTTAGCATTTGAAGACAGAAGGTCATACATAGGCCTATGTAGTTTTTGTTGACATGCTGTACTGTGTACTGCCACCAGGTGGCACCTCGTGCCCAATTCTTGTGGCAAAGTCTAATTGTATCAAAAGTACCGACTGCAAATGTTTGGCTTTTTAACCTCTAAAAAGGGTGTCATGAGTTTGCGATGATTTGTTGGCTATTACAGCGCTTACGACACGCCCAGCTGACCCACTGCAGTGGCCGTGAGAAGCATCTTAGGGTCCGGCGTTGTTCGTAATGACAAGAGGGTAATGAGGTTATTTCAAGGCTGCGCAAGCCAGCGGAGGGCACTGCACTACTTAGTGAAGTCATGTCTCCATCTCCAAGCTTCTGACCACGTTAAGGTGAACTAGAGTGGGTGAGATGGCAAACATAACGTCACAATTCTTTAATACCTTTTCATGATACACAGTATGCATTACAATATGTTTTAATTCAACATATGTGAAAATGACTAATAAGGAATTGTAATAAGAATCTGCTGGTGGAAATAGTAATAAGACCAGATGATGCCATAATGGGCTGATACCCAATCAACTACGCAATGCGAAGCCCTCAGAAAGTCTACACTGGAAACGTTAAAGGGGAATTCCAGTGATTTTTCACAATTTCTGCTTAATTCAGTGGTTGAGTTGTACATACTTTTATTGTGAAAAAACGGTTCATTTATAGAGACGTACTGACTCAGATTTCTTTACAGTGGTGCTGATATGAACCAGGGGTCGCCATGTCTAGCTACAATGCAAATATAGCCATTTTATTTACAATCCAAAACCACCACTGAACCTTCATGTTTCTTCTGAGTTAATATGTATAATGTTGATGATGTTGGGGATTATTGTGCCTTAGAACACCCTTCATGTATCCATCCGCCATGGATGTATGAAAAATAAACTGATTAAAATACATTTTGACAAAACGTAAACAAACTTTTCAGCTAATAGCTTGAGAGAACTAGCTACAGGTGTGTAACATGAATAAAAGTAAAGTAAGTGGCTCACAGGAGATTCTAAAAATTATACTACTAACTGAATCCTTTAGCAGGCTAGCAAAAATGGGAGAAACGGTATTCCAGCTCTCTTTTCTCCACCTCATGGTTAGTTTGTCCTCAACCGTTTTTGGCTAGTTAGCCGTGGCTCGACCCCATTGGTATCCAAAAGGCGGCTGGCTTAACTGCAGCATCTAAGTTGGACTTGATCCATGCAGTTGTTGAGTGCTGTAGAAGGACTGGCAGTACCAACAGTAAACTCAGAAACGCGTACTGGTGTAATTTATCATGACAATGATTACATATCGTCATATTGCACACCGCTAATGTGGACTAGGTAGATTTTTAACTACTGATCGCTGGAACAGTGAAGGGCCGCTTTCCCGGACATGGATTTCCCAGTCTTGGACTAAATTCCAGTGTCAGTGGTGAATCACCTTTTAGAATGTCTTTTACATCTAGCTTTAGGCTTTCCTAAACTCACAGTTTCACTCTTTAAAATAAAGGTGCCTGATAGAAGAAGCACTTTTGGATACTTAAAAAGAAAAAATTTGGTTCTTCAAAAAGGTTCTTCACACTCACACATGACATTCATAAAAAGCTTCCCTAAAAACACCCATTAAAAGTTTTTAGGAAATTTTTGTAAATGAGATGTGTGAGCGAAGAACCCTTTACATATTGTTAAGGTTCTAGGAAGAACCTTCAAATTGGTCTATGAATGTGCATTACAGAAATGTTCTTTAAACCTTTGAAAGGTTATTCATACTCACAAATCTCCTTTTCAAGCATGGTTCTTTAAGGAACCTGAAGTGGTTCCTTTATGGCATCACTCAAAGGACCCCTTTATGTACAGTACCTTCCATAAATATTGGCACCCCTGGTAATTATGAGCAAAATAAGCTGTAAAAAATATTTTTATTTACTTATTCTTTTGATCTTTCATTCAAAATATTAGCAAAATCTAGCCTTTATTTCATTTTATAATGAAAAAATTGAAAGGAAATATCTAAAAAGCATCTACAACAATGTTATGAAATGAAGATTTTTATTAAATCTATAGGTGTCACAAGAAATTCCTATGAGTAAAATCTAACTGAAGTATATTTCCACTCATATTTTATGTTTTTAAGTTCACCTGAGCGATTAGGAACACTTAAATGGTCAGCCATGACTTCCTAATTCACTGGGGAATATGTATGAGATGAAACACAGGCCAAATGCCCTCAGTCACCCATCACTATGAGAAAGACCAGAGAGTACAGCAGTGATGTGTGACAAAAGTTGTTGAGTAGCAGTGGCACAAATCAGGAAATGGCTACAAGAAAATAGCAAAAGAGTTGAAAATGTGCATTTCCACTATCAGAGCAATAATTAAGAAATTCAAAACAACTGGAGATGTTAAGAATCTGCCGTGAAGAGGACGTATGTCTCTACTGACCCCATGCACAGTGAGGAGGCTGGTTCAAGTGCACAAAGAATCTCCAGGGATCACAAATGGGGAACTGCAGAGATTAGTTAGGTCTTGGGGTCACAGCGTCTCCCAAACCACAATCCAAAACCATCTATAACAGTTGTGGTCAGAAGGTTAGACCTAAACTCTATAGAAAACCTGAGGCATGAGCTGAAGAGGAGAGTCCACAGTGTGGACCTCCGAATCTGAAGGATCTTTACATTAAGTAAACGTTCTTCACACTAACAAATTTGTGAGGTTCTTCACACACAAGACTCATTTTCACATATGGTTCTTTAAGGAACTTAAAGCGGTTCTTCAACAGCAACGTTCAAAGAACCATTTGTGGCACTTCTCTTTTTTAAATAGTGTGGCTTTGTATAAACTGATATCCTACTGGAGCATCAGCTATGATGTTCAGCAGAAATGTGTTAGAAAACTAGATAAACGAATGCAGGGTAAAGAGCAGTCTGGCTCTGCGGGGTTTCAGAGGGGATTATGGATGGTTTCTGCCCGGGTTAGTAGCTCTGATTTACTGTGCGTGTGGACAGGGAGCATTTACTGCAGTCTCTCCTTAATGATGAACACAGTGATGGGGTCGAGAGAACGTGGGGGTTGGGGAGATTCCTAGACAACCAGACCAGTCATGTAACGCTGGAATGTCCAATTCCAGTGCCAAGCAGAGCCTATCACAGCACTGCACAATTCACCTTCAGCTGATCGTAGTTTGGCTTTGGTTAGGCCAGCTGACCTGCTTGAAGAACTGAATCAGATGCGCAAAAGCAGCAGCACTCAGTGTTCTAATACACTGATCATATTTCTATGGCCTGGCAGAATGCCTGGGGATTTGGAGAAGCATTCAATGCTAGGGTGCACATCAGGAACACTTTGCATGGACATTGACTGGCCCATAGCTCCACTTGTAACTCATCCAGTACTGCTAATTAAGGCCTTTGGGATTGCTAGATTAGGGTTGGAACTAATGTTTAACCACATGGCACAGTGGTACTGTCAATGTCAAAATCCATATTGTATTAATTTCCATTTTCTTGCTTTTGGTGAGTAGTAAAAGTTGCTATTCCAATGCAATTATGAATCAAATCAAAGTAGCCAGAGTTTTATCTGCAATATAAGAGTTCCAGACAGTAGTGGTCATAGGAACCAGAGGTCACAATGTCTTCCATGTATATATAGCCATTTTATTTACTATCCAAAGCCACCAGTGAACCCATGTCTTCTGAGTCTTTTATGATGGTAAAATAGTGGAAAATCAGACAAAAATGTTTTCGTTTGGGACTAATAGTAATAAATCCACATTCTTTAGGCCAAAAGCTCAAAACTATCATAAAACAATGTCTCAGACATCATGCAGTGTATTCCTAACCACTTAAAGGCGCAGTATTCGGTTCTAGAGAATGATTGTTTATATTTGAACTCAATAGCAAAACAACTACACCACTCCCTTCAGAAGCTCCGCCCCCCAAATTGGACGAGCATTGTCAAGGCTAGGCGAAAGTTACTGGGCTGGCAAACTTATTTTTAGGTCTGGCCTTTAAAACCCGGACAAATTGTACGGACAAATACCATGATATAATGTTAGAGTGAACAACCACACAGCAAGTATTGTAATTAATATTAGCTGGGGTGTGCATTAGCAAAGTGTTGCTACAATTGCTGCTGTGAAGCTAACCAGTCGCTGTCACAAATATTAGCAAATGGGACAAAACAATATACTGACTTCTGTGAAACAGCAAAAATAAGTTAATTAAGTCAACTCTCAATGAAGGGAAAGTCCGCTACTGTAAAACCTAAAATGATAGTTTAAAAGTCAGAGGTACTGGCAGAGAACTTACCACTCTGTAATGTCTTCTGAGTTTCTCAAACGCTAGAAGGCGCTCCAGAGCAAGTCCAAAATGAAAGGGGTAAGATGGAGCATTTGAGCAAAATCATAGTTTGTAAATGCTTAAACATTTCTAAGATAAAAGAATACATTCACTTCCTGGACACAGAACAAACCCGGACCACATCCGGCATTTAGATGCGGCCCACATACCACATGGAATGACGGCACAGAAGTGGGCCAGATGCGGTTGCCAGAACCCAGCCTGTTTACTGCCATTACAGGGCCACATCTCAGCCACCCAAAAACCACCAGTGCCAGAACTGACCCACCACTTAAAACCATTAGTACAAAAACCAGGTCATTACAACAACTGCCCTCTTGGGTGGGAATGCTGCACAGTGCCATGAGGCTCAGAAAAAGGGGGTGTTTCCCACTCTTGGACTACCAGCTGCAGATGGCTATGGTGTTAATGAGATTTGAACTCATGATTTTTTGAGGAAGGAACAAGTGTTTATCCCATTGCACTACCCAGCTACTTCCTTTTACAAGCCTACATGTCCTACATGTTTACTACACTGTAAAAAAGATGTGCTTAATTTAAAATAAATAATTTTAAGTAGCCACAAATCATTGTAAACTAAATCTGAA